GCGGTCGTATGGTTTGAATTTAGCGCTCTCTCGCAGCGCCGCACTTTTGGTGCCCACAGTCCTAGAGGGGCCCGATTTTATCTCCGATGCCCCACGTCCTTCTAAAATTGCCAGTGCTCTTTCAACTTCTTCCGATGAAGAAAGCTGCGCTGCTGTTTCTGCCGCTTCATTCTCTTGTTCGCTTGCATGCGCTTCCATATTGACATCCTTCGAAGATTCTCGCCCAGCTACGTTTTCCTCACTCCCTCCCCGCGGCTGCTCGTCCTCGGCATCAGCAAGACGGAGTAACTTGCTTTCCTTGCCCGTTGGTGCCATGGAGTCGTGATCTTCAAATCCAGGGGCGAGGAGGTGTTGTTGCCTCTCATGCGATTCCATATCTGGGTGTGGTGGTAAAGAGGTCATAGATGTCAAACGAAACTCTCCTGGTGACTGTAGGGGTTGCATCAAGGAAATTTGGCCGTGCGAGACCGTTGATTCTTGTAGTTCTTGTAGTTCTGTGGAGGTATATCTTGACCCAACAGAAGGCTGCCCCGTGGGAGGTCTCGACGGGGCAAATCCAAATCCAGCGTGACTATGTTCTGATTCTTCATAGTCGCTGAAACCATGATCCCTTTCAATAAGCTCGCCGTGCTCCAGTTCATCGGCTGCGGCTGGTTCCAGTTCCATATCAGGAAGACCCTGCTTGTTTTCACTTATTATACCCCTACTTCCGGCGAATCCAAGTCCTGTTTCGGATGCTGGCTCCACTATCTCTCCTATCCGGCTGCCTTCCGAATCAATGCGCGCGATTTCCATGCCATACCCAGGAGATAATGTTAAGTTCCTGGAATAAGGTATAGAATGCCGGTCGGCACGTGAGGATCGGTGCCTTCGCTGCTGTCGTTGCTGTTGCCTCTGTAGCTTCTTCGCTTGCTTCTGCTGACGTCTCTCTCGGCGTGCATCTTTCAAGCGTTGCCGCTCTAAGTTGTTATCCTGCCCGGCTCCTGTACCCGCAGACCCAAACCGTTCTCTTTCACCTTGCGGCGAACGATTGCTCGGAATAAAAAGCGGTGACATTGGCAAATCTGGAGTTGGAGATCTACCCGCTGTGTCGTTATTTTCATGGGGTATTGACAGCTTGCTGAAGAAGGTAAAGTAGACACTCCTCCTCACCAAAGTGGAAGTAGCTTTTCGTTCTCTTTGGAGGGAATCACCATGGAGTTGGTCGATGAAAAGGAATTGACAATCTTGCAATTGGGCTTCGGCTTGCGGATGTCCACATCGAGTCTCTTTCTTAGATTCCCTTCCACCAACGAATTGTGCTGGAAGCTTATGGTCAAGAAGGACGGCCCTCAAGAAGCATTCACTGACTTTGTCGATCAGAGACTCAATTTCTTCCCTATTGTACCGATAACGATCTGGTCGACGGGCTCTTAAAAGAGCATCTTGCGCAATTTGCCGATCTGGCGACTGCTGGATGAGCTGCTCAATTTGTGGCGACCGAAACCCAAGTCTCTTTGCGAGTACAGCCATCTCATACAGTATCATAGGCTCCACCATCTCCCGATTAGGCTTCGCCGTAGGATCTTTCTTCTGTGGCTTTTTGGATAACTTTGGGTAGTGACGCATAGCATAGAGCCAGAGTTGTCGGTATCCAAGTTCTGCTGGGTCCCCCTGGGAGTGCAAATAAGACCGAAACCCAGCTTCTGATGTTTGTATCAAGAACTGCGCATGGGTGGGATCAAAAGACATGAAAGCCGCGCGCATGGCGGTTCTAATCGTTGGGAAAGATCTGGAAGGTGTGATAAGTCGTTTGATGCAGTTCGCGCACGATTCTAGGTACCAGAGATCTTTGAAGAACGTATACAGAGATGGAATTATGCCCTCTGTCCTCTTCAATCGCTTCCAAATTGACGCCCGCTCGGATTCTGTGAAGTTTGAAAAGACTTCGCCACTGTATACAAGGCCTTTCACGGTGGTTCTATCTTTCGAGGAGACTCCAGGTGCCAGGAGTTGCAATGTTTCGACCGTATGAGGGTCAACTTTGAACATCTTAGCACGATCGTGTCCCACGAGTGAAGACCAGTATTGCAGTAGCCTAGTTAACGCGTGGACTATCTCCTACGAACGTAATCAGCATCTATTCTTTTTAGAGTCAGACGACCTTACCTCATCGCAGTAAATAGCCAGAGCCTGCGGAAGAGATCCGATTTGCATTCCATGTATCACCAAGGAGGGCAAGACGAGTAACGAGTCAAAAGCAGCTCGGACGCTCGGATGAGACTCTAGTCCGCGAAGCCGCCTGGCTTTGTTGTCTGACAGCCGCGCCAACCATCGATTCTCGAAGTGTGCATTTGCTTCATTTCGATATTGTCGAACTTTTAGATAAATCTCACCATCGCTTGGAACTCTCTCGTTGGAATATTCATCGATAAGGCTTGTTTGAAGATCGGGACTAATGTCTTAGGGCTGTCAAAACCGCAGGAAAGCATGTGGTGGATTTCTGGCTTACCATCCAAATACAAGTCAACAGTCCACCATTGGTCGATCGATGGTAAATAGTGTTCTCCAGCCTTTAATCGATGTTGGCCATGAAGGCACTGTATGGAACCAGTGGAGAAATGGAGGCGTGGGTACCGGCTCGGTTGATCAGTCATCATGTCAGCGGCGTTTACTCGTCCTGCTTGAAGAGCCTCATGGAGATGCTGCCGTGACACAACAGCGCTCACGTGGTTGTAGATATCGAGTCTTCGACAGCCTTCTTTGTCAAATATCTCACAGAGTCTTTCTACATTTTTTGTGTTCATATGTTGCGAGATGGATGGATGTGGGGTAATCTGGCTGATGTTAATCTTGGCTGTTCCTTGGTAAGTCCGACACCTTTCTGTCAGAACCTGCAGTTCAGGGTCTGTGTGCATAGACTCGTCCATTGTGTTGGTGAAGCAGAGTCTACGTAGCAGGAGAGTATCGGTTTTTTATATTTAACTTGTCTTGGCCTCACAGAAGAAAGGGTCCACCTAGCTGATTCAGCGTCCTGGTGACCAATGTGACTGCAAAAGCTGGGGGTGGCCCCAAAACAAATTTAGTTCAATAGATATGATTGCATTATAAATAGGGCCCTCTTCGCGTTCAGGCGCTACACTTTTCCACCTCATTTTCCTTCCGACCATTTTGATCTGGCCCAAATATGTCGAAACAAGATAAGCACTGCACGGCGCTTGACTTCAAGAGCTACCAAGAACGGCTTGCGAATAATTCATCACGAGAGGCACCCTTGAGCAAACAGCCACACCAGCTTGATGCACCCACCCAATTGGACAGTAGTTCCAACTCGAAAAAGAGAAAAACGTCTTCCCGGAGCGAACATACACGAAAGGTTGTGAGTGGAGGCCCAAAGCGCCTTGTCTTACCTCAGGTGTGCGAGGAAGGTACATCTCGCGGGTTGATTGTGAGGGAAGAATCACCGTGGGACACTTATCGTCGGACTCTCAGGTGTAATCTGGCAGGCGAGGTTTTCATTACAGCTCGCCGTTCCCGTCCGTCCCAGGTGGTAGCCATTCGGGAGTACACCAAAGGGGACATGACTAAAATGCGACGGCTGTTTGGGATCCTTGACCACGATAATGTATTGACAGCCCGAGAGTGCTTCGTCAATGATGGATGCATGTATGCTCTCGTCAACGACCTCCAGCTCACTTTGGAGCAACTTGTGGGGTGTCGGTCTCTTTATCCCACGGAAGCGGAATTAGCTTCCATGATTTGGCAGGTATGTGACTCTTGACACTTCAACTATCTTAAGCTCATGACAGTGCAGATTTTGGATGGTTTATGTTACCTCAATGAAACTGGATTAGAACATCAGTCTCTGACATGCCGAAATATACTTCTCGGCCTAGATGGTGTTATCAAGATCGGTAAGTAGCAGTTGCCTCCTTCGTAATGATTTTTCTGACTCCTATAGCCAGCTTGGAGATGTGTGTGGAATGTCTACCAGGTCAAGCACAGAATGTATACATCAAAAAACTCGCTTCCATTACCATGGAGATCATGCAGAAGTATGTGAAAGATGATGGAATGGTGGGCGTGGATGACGTGGATCGTTGGCCTGTCGACTCGGACGCCTTCGGGTTTCTTTCCGCCCTCTCGACAGCAAAGTCTATTGATTCTTTGAAAGAGGTACCCAAGTCCCCATGTCACGAGTAGATGAATATAACACTAACATTTATCAGCAACCGCTTGTCCGCAAAAAGGATCAATTGGTAGGAGAGTTGATCCTGCTTGCTCGGTCTATTTTAGTCTCTGCAAGGATGTTCTATTCCTACGAGAGGTAGTTCGAAACACTCTCAGGGAATTGTGAATTTTGGCGTGCTCATGGTTTCCAAGGGATTCATCATATGCTCGTACGATAAAGACCTGTTGGCAGCTCCAAACTTAGCACTGCATAAAATAAGAACCTAGCAGTGCTATATTTGTTACTGTAGGTCCTAAAGCAGCGGCTAGATCCTAGTTATTCAGAATATCAGTGCAAAACTAATGGTTACCAAAGTTATGAGTAAAGGAGATCGTGGGCTCAGAATCTCGTCTAGAAAATTGAGATGGGAATGAGGCGCCATTTCTAAAAATGAGACGTAACTGCCACATAAGGGATCCATGCTGCAATGGATTCCATATATGCTGCATGATTGACTCATGTAGCTACGTGAGACCCATGACCGGCCCGCCGGGAGGCCACAGCCGACCAGAATCCTCTAATAGACCATGATCCTTACCACGAATTTATGAATGAACTTAGGGACAGACAAATTGGCGTCATCCGCAACCATCAACCCGCGCGCGTATGGGGAATACAAAGGATTGGTTGGAGGACATGGTCGAATAACTTTAGTCAGCAATCGCTACTCGGAAAAGGCCCCACCCTCTGGGGTGGGCATGGGTTCCCTACGGTCTAAGAGCCAGAGAAAAGCGATGGCATCGTGAAGATAATATATTTGACTCAACACCTGCTGGAACTGACCATAGCCTTAGAATCTCTGGCGAAAGATTAGGTGGGAAGCGGCAAGTCTAGAAAGAGATTTAAGGTTGGGAACCACCCATCTTTCTAGCTCGCATGGGTTTGCTTCATCCTCCACGAGCGCGTCTAGGAAAATGTCTAGTTGGTCCCGGGAAAAGACATTATCACCTCCAAGCATGAGGCCTACTGCCATAGGCTCAAACGATCGATAAAAACTGGTCAGAGCTGGGTAACGATTGAGAACATAAATGGCCAACGTGTCTACCATTTTATTCTGAAAAGCTGTTCTTCTGCCTCTATTTAAAAGTCAGCAAACAATCATTCCGTAGAGTATGAATGAGCATACACTTGATTTGCCAAGTCTTCACTGGCTAGTAAGATCACACCAAGCCCTATGCAAGTAGCAACTTTCCACCAACGCTCGCCCCAGCGGCATTGATCGCTCAAAAAGTCGCGATCTGCTTTTTGCGGAACGAATTGGCTCCCATGAAAAGCCTGTAAGATAGAATCTCTAGCTATCGTGGGGATTGCCCGACCTTTTCGGTTAAGCGGATGACCGTTTTTCTCACTTTCCTTCAAATCATTGGCATGATTTTCGAAATGAATATGGATCCAAATCTGCGCAAGGCGGCGATTCACCTCATCTGATTTCGAAACTGAACCAGTGACCGAGTTCAGGTACCTCAGATATGTCACGCATGCCGTCAGAGACGAATCCAAGTCAAACATGTCAACACTAGGTAAGGTATGCAGGTGACAGTTGACTAAAAGAGACTTTAACGTGGCAACCTGGCCGGATCGCATAATTGTGATCAAACTATCACGGCAGTCTTCGACGTCTCGGGCTTGTCTTTCGCTCATTGTCTCGCCGGTTGCAATCTGACATATTATCGGAATGCAGTCAACGTACTCAGCTGCCTGGGTCCGGTTATCGACATGCTTGTAATTGTGAAAGGTTCCTATCTCGATCTCTAGTACTTCCAGAAACTTGAAATCTGGTGAAGTGAGAACTCTTCTGTGGTTTTGATTCTCAATGCCGAAAGCACTAGAATGATCTTCACTGGGCTTTGAATATTTGGGTTGTCCTTTTTCGTTGCTCACGAGGGGTTGGATTTCTGTGTTTTCGCATTCTGCAGAGGCACATGCGCCTGGAGTTGTCGTTTGGAGACATGTTGTCATTATCTCTTTGTTGTTGTCTGTGGGCTGCGTCAATTGTAAAGTTCCATTTGATGGCAGTGAGACTTCTGGCCGTTGTAAATGAAGCTGAGGGACATGTTTCAGTAAATGCTGACGCTCAGTACAGTCCTCCGTGTTGATAAAGCTGCATTGTGAGGTAGCCAGATATTTTTCATTCTGGAGTGCCTCTGAAGTGAGCCAGTCATCCCAATCAACAGGGTCATCATCAGAGATATCGGGTCTAGGGGCGCCGTGAGAGACTAATGTGTCTGGGTCAAATAATACCATCATTCATATGCTGGTCGGCGACCACAAAAAATCAATGGTCAACTTCTCGCAACGGGCAACGTCTGGATAGCAGAAGAATTGACTCGTGTTCAGTCAACTAAAGAGTGAAGAAGAACGTTCACTGAATTCGAGAGAGCTGGATACATAAAGGAAGAAAGCGAATGGCGAGAAAAAAAAAAAAAAAGGGCACACAGGGATCTTAAGCGCCCCCAAAAGGCGCATCTTGAAAGGTCACAACTGCGTGCCGTTTGGTTGCGACACCTTTTGGGTGTCGCAACCAAACGGCAGTTAATCAGTTGACCACGGTTTTCCCAACCAGCCAAGATGACACACTGTTGAAGCATGTTTTGCCAGTCGCCATGCCCTAATAAAAACCTCGTCAACATAATATCAAGGTCATGGTCAAAACGGAATACACGCTCTCTAGGAAACCGTGAGGTGAATCAGGATTGAAACAGACGCCGGCCAGGAAGTGGTGTACACTTTGTTTAGAAATCGGGAGGTGTGCCGTGACTGGAGTAAACAGGAGCTGATCACAGAAACATAGAGTACATGCTGTTCCTTGGACCGGGAAACATATTGATGAATTGAACGGGTTCACTGTGACGGTGAAGTGCAATAGTTGAACGGTGGAAAGGGCTGTTTGTTTTCTGGAGGGCGGTGAATCAACCTGTGGTCAATCGGTTCATTCGCTGGGCCCACCCGCTCATCTCCCCACTTCTCAAATTGGTGCCTTCTCGTTACGGTTGAAACTCCGTCTCATGTAACCTTACTCTCTGTTCGAGGTGTTTACGAACTAATTCTCTCAAACGATCTCGTACGTCATGCGATGCGGATACTAGGAAGTTAGCGTCTGGTTTGTTATTCAAAGTGATGGACTTACCCATAACCAGAACCTCACCGCGGTCTTCATGAGTGTTTGGCAGCCGTTTTATGTTTCGCCCGGAAGCCTCTTCTGATATAATTTCATCATATCGAGGCTTTCCATTGAAAACTGTCGCGCGGCGATGCTGACCGAACGGCTTGCCATGTTCTATCATCTGGTTTGATGCCACAAAAAAGGACATTTCGAGTATCTGTATCACACTATCAGCGCGAGTATAGTTAAACAAGAAGAGCCAACCCACATAGCCATCATCCAAGATATCATCACTTAACAAGCTGTTCAGAAGTGGCTGGGCTGCAACAGCAATATCTGAGAAATTCAGCATCGTTGGTTTGCTCTTTGAACATGGAGACCGAACTTACCCAATGTTTGCACCTCCCACACGAAATGTACCCGGCGCACATGTGACGTGCAAGTGTTGTACCCGTAGAGGAGCTTTTTAAGATAGGATATCACACCTGCTATGCCGAAATCGGTCGCAATTGCCAAGACGCATTCGTAATGGTCTACGGATTTGCTAACTCCATACGGCCCGCTAACAAATGCTGTCAAGGAAGTATAGCCATCCAGGGCTGTACGATGGTGAATAGTCTCAGTGAGGCCTTTTCGAGGTTGAACAAAAAGCTCCAGGACATCCTGCTTTTCTGGCGACCAAGATGTCACCATAAACGGGTGTGTCTGGGCCCAGGAGAATAGACTTGCCGCGGGTATCCAGAGACTTATGTATTGGCCTGCCTCGACATGTAGGGGCCTTGTAAGTGCAATCCTTACTTTCAGTGGTGTTGCCTCTTTGCTCTGTTTTGGTGTTTGTTGCACCCGATCACATCTGATAGAGGCACGAGAATAGGGACGTGGGGGGAAGACACCGTTCCTAATGATGAAAAGGAAAAGTTCGACCAGCAATGCAAGTAGCATTGTGCCAAGCGGAATGTAAACATACAGCCGGGGCAGCAGAGTACCGGATGGCAGATGCCGCCATACAGAATATATGCAAGCTGTGGCCAGGGCTTGGTGCAGTCGAAGGAATGGCTCGTAAAGGAAACGGCGAACGAAAGGGAAGGATGACAATAGAATTGCGGCCATGATCACAGAGCCCTGAGAAGGATTAGCGCTACTAATCTGACAGGGTAGGTTGAGCGAGAGCGATGACAAACAATTAATGCGAAGAGGTTGGGCTTCTCGCGAAGTATCCAGCTCTTCCGATCAGCTATCATTGCCATGATGATATGTAAACTAAGAAGAATGCCAGTCATCCAACCCACAGCCCGATGAATGCGCTTACACGTCATCAAAGAAATACCCATGGCGTTTGCAAGGAATCCCAGATGGTGTGCCAAGAACAGGAAACTCATGTTTATCACTGAAAGGGTTCCGGCGCGGTCTCTAGCCATTGTTGTTGACGAAGTCTTGAAGACAACAAGGAACACATTTGTTACAGCGTACGCGAGATATGACAAGACATCTGCTCGAGTGCAAGGAGCAATCAGCCTATGGCGACCCCACAAGTATGGATATGTTAAGTGTTTCGTAATGAGGAATGACAAAACTTTGAGTATATTCAGAAAGGAAGGGGCTATGCGAATGAGGAAGAGCGTTGTCAGTAAGCACCCCAGTGCAATGGCGTAAAAGATCGTGATTTCCATTGCCAGTCAGGACTTAGGTTATCACATATTTTTCAAACATTGCAAGGAAACCACGGCGCTTTATACTCCCAGGATATTAAACTTCACCAGTAGGATGACTAATCTTTATACCAGAAGCAACAACTCGTTCAGCGTTACCACAGTGCTTTATACTCCCAGGATAGTAGACTTCACCAGTAGGATGACTAATCTTTATACCGGAAGCAACAACTCGTTCAGCGTTACCACGTTTAATACTCAGACACCCATATCGCTGCTTGGAAGCGTTGTTACTCTAAGGTGTAGTTATACCTCGTGATATAGTTTATTGCAGGGCGGCTCATCTTCCTTTCCCTGCCCCAGTTTGGCGGCTCTTCCCGGTCAAGCTTCGAGCTTCTTCCTGCTTTATTCATGAAGCTCGCAATGATATTGTGGACTACTGTGGTATTTGGCTTGGCACACCCTCTGATATACTTCTTGACATAGCAAGTACGAGAGTGAAAGGAAAAGCAACAACTGTTTTTCACAAAAGGTCTACAGGCAAAAACATACTGCAAGACGGGCTGTAATACACTTAGTATACAGCACTGCGTTATAAAGTGCCTATTGTTGCTCCCTGAAAACTGTCTCCTCCCTGGTTTTCTCCAAATCACGATCTGTCATCACAGTCGGAGTCGGGTAATGAGAGCTCTGGCAAGTCAGCGCTCCGCCTGGTAGATGATGCCATGTAGTTTACATACCAATTGCGAAGTAAGAAAAGCCCAAAAGCCCGAAGAATCCGCCGACAAAATATGCACCTGACCAGTCTCCCGCATGCGAATACCCACGCATACATCTGCATCACACATCTTGCTATATTCAGATGCCTTTTTCAGCATATTTGCCTTGCGACGATACTGTTTTTGGTGCATCAATTTTCTCGTCGATGAATTCTTGGATCGCGTAGTTTTCAAAGCAGCCATTGTAAGCTGATGTCTTTCTCTTTTGAGGAAGCGACGGTCTATAACAGATCAGAGGCTGAAGGTGGCGCTTATAAAGGCTGATTTACAAGAGAAACTCAATAAAAACAGGTGCTATGTACTTTAAAATACAAGTGCGAAAAGTTGGATTTTTGAACCTTTGAACCTTTGATATGTGAACAAAGAAGCCACGATTTTCTTTGCGTGAAGGGACCGTTGTCTTGTGTTGATTAACGTTATGAACGACCACTGAAACAGCAAGTTAACCGCCATCGTAAAACTGCCGTCACCATATAGCGATTGCAGCCCTCTTTCACAGGCAGGTATGGCCCAAAAAGGTGCTGCAACGATTAGACTGTTCCCCCGAATGGTGAAGGCCGCGGGACATCGAAAAGTGCGAGTAGCATATGGCTTGGATTGGCTATGATGGGGAGTGGATCGCCGCCCCCAGATAGTAGAGGCAGCGGGACACCAAACAGTGTCGGGGAGTCTACGTGTATACAGTAACGAAATTAGCCATTTTTCGTGTTGTACAATACTTAGGGCCAACACGGCGGAATGCTGTGGCTGGCCCACCTGGGTAGATTGCGTTACTCAACTGTGCTCTAAAAATGTTTATGTCCACCATCGATAGACCAAACGTGGCCAACTGACGGTGGGCATATCACAACAATTTTTGTTGATGTGTTACTACAAACAGTGCGGTTCTCTTCTGTTTAACGGTTCAACACTGACGGATATTTCGGTTCAAACTAATTAACAGAACTCTAAACATACAGTGTCAAACAGACATTCATATGGTTGATTATTGCGGGACGATTTTGATAAACCCCACAAGTCTTTTGCCCATCTGGTCAATTTCCATTACCATAGATATTAATCTGGTTGAAGAGCACTGGTCTAAAGACAAGAAAAGCTGTCAAGTATGGATTCAACGGGATGGTCAACACATGGAGAAAGATGGCGGGCGGTGACGTTGCAATCAAATATTCCACAACCCAGGTGTTTAAACAGAGGCTGTGAAAGCGGAAGCTGCTGTTGAAAAAATTGGTGCACCTTTTACTTGAGGTAGTGTAAATAATATGATTGGCCAGAAAGTAGCAAATCCTCCACCCAGTCACTAGATCACGTGCAGCCCTGATACCCTGATACACCCCAGGTCTACAGCAAGAAAAAATTTCGACCCTGGCAGTCTATGTCGGATTAGATCGGATTGGGCCAGTTCGGAACGGGTCGGCCCGGTTAAGTTAAAGGTCTGGGAGCCATCATGATCATGGATATGTTCTAACCCATGCTGTTAAGATTTCGAAATCTTGTATTTTTGGAACCTTCTACGGTAGGACGCTAGCTGTCCCCAGATCACTCTCCAAAAACTACTTATGTGTCAATGTGCAGCGAAAGGCCGGATGTGTGAACATTCATCCTCAATATACACAAGTATTTCTCAGAACATGTGCCGTCGAACATGTGTGTATATTAGGAATTTGAAGGAGAGAACCAACCTTGGACATGCCCCTGGCAGCGGAACTCTTCAAATGACGCGGGCAAAGCTGTACTGGTATCACCAATTTAGGTCTAGTGGCACTCTGAACTACGCTAGAGAGAGGCTAGCCGGATCGCGCAGGTCTGACTGGAGGAGTCGTCGCCCATTCCCCCTCCACTCGTATATACAACTGGTGTTGGTAGGTAGTAATGCTACTAGAAACTAAGTAAATTTGTATTCTTCTAACTGCGTCTAGCGATATCCATTAGGCACAAATCCTGGGGTATCGACAATCTGGAGATGCCTAAGGTACAAGATGGTACAAGATGGCTCCCGTCATAGTGTAGATGAATACGGCATATAAACCTGATATCAAATCTAGCGAGGCGTTAACATGGTGTATGCCACTCATCAGGCAAGAATTGCCTTAGCACGATCTTTGAGAGACGCTCTTGCTTGTTCGTAAATAGAGGAATGCAGAAGGTAGAAATATTCCGATAAGTACCCTAATACAGGTTAGTGGGTCTTGGCGCCAGGGGTGGCGAAACAATGAAAGAGGTGATGACACCAACTTTCCGGAAGTACTGTATAGGGCCGAATAGTTGGTTCTATTTTGTGACTCTACACTGCCTATATTCCCACATATTACCAATGCAAGGTCATCGACCTTGTTTCGTATATGTATCTCCGGTGACAGCTAGAATCTTCCATGCAAACAGAAGAAATCCCCACAATTGTCCAAATATCCCAGTCTCTTTACCGAATGGCTAGTTTTGTTCACCGAACAAATGTATATATAGCGAGGCCCGCACAAGTTAACGTGCGTTCGTCCTTCGCCGTACACTTTCGCTGTACTACGCCTTACCCTCTTTGCAGCCACTGGTAGCCTTGGATATGCAATATGACAGTAAGAAAGTCCATAGCCATCTGAACTAGGGCTTTATTAATGAATACATTGCAGGTTACCCTCTCTCTTGACCTAGCAAGCATACGACCCATTCGCCTTGCACCCCCTCCGGATACACCACCGAGGTGTACTAGATGCGATTGCCTGGGCAGCGAAAAAATCACACGTACCACAAATCGCAAAGGAAACGCTGGTCGGCATTATTATAAATGCCTTCCTTGCGACAAGTTTCTTTGCTTTATTGATGACCGAGGCAATGATCCAACCAACCCATCCTGCCATTGCGAAGTATCCAGCAAGACATACTTGGCAGGCTCTGAAAAACGCGTTCCACGGGGCTTGTTTTTTGCTTGCAGGCTAGGAGCGTGCGACTTCCACCAACCCTTCAGAAATGGTCGAGGGCAGCATATTGCTGTCTCTTCCTATGACTTGGCCGACCATTTGATCAACCTTCGTCTTATTTAGTGGTTTCGGCAACAAGGTAGGAATATGCTACTGTCTTTTTTTCAATTGCAGCTTGCAGGCTATCAATGCTAAGACGTTTTCATAGCACATTCGATAAACTACCACTCGATCTTTTCAACCTAGAAGAGGCGAGCTTCATCTATCGAACTCATTTGGTTCTGCAAGAGCAAATCCAGCATTAGAATCCCGGCCTATCTTGAACGGAAAAAGGTGGTACTGATATTTTAAAGTGACATATTGTATCATGAAATTATTGGATACAAATGTTTTTAAAGATGCGCATATATGCTAGATCAATATCAGAAATGGATGCTATCATCGGAACTGAAACTTCCCTGAATATTATCAATCTTCTCCTTATACTTCTGAATTTTGCTCTTCAAGCTACCAAGTCGGGATTTCGCTGACATGTATTGATCTATTTAATGCACAGATAGAAGGACATTAAAAAAGGGATCAGAAACTTCGATATTTCGTATATCCTCGCTTTGCGCAAGCTGGCGACTGGTGCAAGAGATATTGTTCCTTTTGAGGGGCAGCGCGAACAATTTCCTCGAATGATTGGATTGCCCGAAGAGCAACAACGGAGACTCTCCACATGAGATGCACTTGTCCTTCGCTCCGTCCATCGATGAGCTCCCACTGAAGACGAACATTGGAGTCACCCCCAGGAGCTGATACCCTCATGAAGTTTAGTACCCCAGTCACTGTGGAGTAATCCAACCAGAGATTTTCTTCAGGACCAGGTATACCGTAGACAACGCTACATTCTGAAGAGTACCGAATCACTCCAGCAAATACCCCGAGGGTATCTCCTTCCTGAACTGAAATGATGGGACAAACTTTGAGAAATACATCATCTTTGGGTTGAAGGGTAACAAAGATAGACTTGTTTCGCGTTGTTTCTGCCTTTGGCTGCAGGTCAAAGAACCCACCGAGCGGTACAGCTGACGGCTCGTGTGATCCGCTCAGTTGGAAGACTGTTTCCTCTACGCTGGAGGACCACGGGTTGATAGCGCTGTTCCACGCAACTTCAGGAACACTTAGTCTGTCCGCTACAAGCGGCTGGCTCAGCCATAGTCTTCCTGTGAGATCGCCCTTGCTCTCCTCGGCCACACGCTCTTCCAGCTGTTTGATATGGAAGCCATACTTTCCTTCCCAGTCCCGGACCATCCTTACCAAAGAAGCCCCAGCTTCTGATGAGTAGCTTTTACAGAAGCGGTCGAATTCCTTTGTGCGATACAAGAGGATTTTGTAAACACCCGCGTTCCGCATCTCGAATAGTCGTTTCCAGAAAAGACGGCACTGGCGTTGATTAGCGAGGCTAAGTCCATAACCCGCTTCCCTCATGAAGCGCTCGGTGGCGACCTTCTCGGCCATCGTGAATTCATCAAGAGGGCCTTTGGAGATTGGCAAATCCTTTGGGTTAAGAAGCTCGGCGCCTTTCTTGATGATTTCCCAATACACGGTCTCGTTGAATCGAGACTGGATACTTTTGCTTGCCGAGAATGCATTCTCCTGCTTGATTAGTTGGACTGCATCGGGGTATTGCAACTTGACAATGTCATCCACGAAACTCTGGATCTCTTCAACCTTCGTTGTCATATTTGCCTGCTTTGACCGGTGTCCGTATCTTCCAAGTGGATCGTTAAGCTTGATACAGTTGACAAGTATGTCCTCGACGATACTGCGCGGCGCTTTCTCGCCTCGATAGGTGTACATGTCAGTCAAGGACATCCCAGCCTGAGGTATGCTCATCGCCGCGTTCGCTTCAGTCGTCGATGGAGGTTCGGCTGATATGTCCCCTTCCCGAACTGCTACGGCGTCATCCGCCTCTTGCGCCATATCTTTGGTAGTAGCCTTGTTCGATTTGGCTTTGTTTCTCTTTTTCTTCTTGTGAGACGGCACATCTAGCCCCTTGTAGTCCGCTCTACTTCGTTTTTCAGGTGTTGGGAGGAACCGGTAAGAACCACGCGTTGCCTCGGGATTCGGACTAGCTCTGGGAGTAAGAAGAGGTGGTAGATCTGTTATTCCTACCCGCAGTCTCATTTCGCGGACTTTTAATGTCAGTGGAAATAGTCTCCCAGGCATCAATCCAGGGGCTCACCAAAGTCAGAAATGCCTAGGATGTGTTGCTTAATAGGCTCATCGTTGCAGTCGCCGATTCCGCAGATTACAAGCAACTCCTGAACTTTGCCTGCCGTCAAAGACTGAAGATTTTCCTCCATGGCTCGCTGTGTTATGCTCCAGTGCTTACCAAGAGAAGTCGATGGGAGAAGTCGCGCTGCCGGTATTTTCGGTTGCGCGGGTAACACTAATCCGTAATAGGAACGGTTTCGTTATTATAGGAGCAAAGCGTTTCTAATTTATGATTGGCTCGTGGTTACTCCTTTCTCCACCTTGGAGTAGGGCCGGACCCGTCGTATGGGAGAAGAACTCGGTAACCCTACTGGCTGTCCCGCCGATTTACAGCCCTATCGACGAAAGTGGCCGGATATGGTTAGCGTATCTCTTACTCTTGAGAGTGCCACTAGACCGAAATTGGCAACACCTCACTCCGTGTGTTTCGAGCACCTTCATCGCTTCTTGACCTGGATGCCAGTGTCGATTTTCTCCCGCGGCGAACTACCACAGGGAAGCTAGGGTGAGCCAGCCTCGTTTAGGTAAATCGTTAACAGCTATAGAGGCAATGCGCAAAGGCGGTTCAAGTTCTGTATAGCAAACAAGGAACTGCGCTTATTGCTGCTTTTACCGATGTTCACTAGTGTCCTCCCTATAACTAGGTCACTGTAAATGCCAGAAATCCGAGGCATCCAGCATTCTCTATTGGCCTTGGGTTGCTATTCCGGGAGCAGGTACAGGAAGTGCAATGCGTGGTTGGTCTGCTACTCGAAAGTTCTAGGAGCTTTCGCGAACCATGTGATGATCGTCGTCGGTTCTAGTTGGAGATAATGTGAACCGACAGGATCTATTTTTTGTATTCTTTCCCCAATATCCCAAGGATTCGATGTTCTTGAGAACTGGCAATCAGATCCATCATCCCTTTGCATTCTGTCGTCTGCGTTGGGGAGAAGGGACTTTGGTCTGGAAGGATTCTGAGACACTATTGGTTACAGTAGAAAATTCGATGCGAATTTTGCCCGGCTACCAGATATTTTAAGGACTATGCACAAAGACAACAGGAAAAGCAGCAAACAAGATAATGGTCACCAACTATACGGCAATATATCTAGCTCTGCAGCAGTCTCCCCGAGCGTGAGATGAGACTTCGCCGACCCAACCCGGAGGTGACTACCGACTCCCATTTCTGTAAACAGCAAACACCCGCACACCCTAGCAAATAACTGACCCATTTCAACATCCCATGTTTGCAATAGATCGACCGGAAATGATTTTCATCCTAGATTGCTAAGACGTTAGGTGTTGTTTGTAGTATTCAAAATTGTGGGTGGCATACACAGGAGGGGCGGAGCATTAGCTCGGCAATCGGAGCACATATTTCCCTGCGAGTAGGGCTCGTCGACCTCGCCTCCACAAGAAGGGAATTTGCCGCATCGACGCACGGTCACGGATCCAATTTGGCCGAAACATCGGCTGCAGATTTCCCAAATTCGGTCGCACATCGTGAATATTTTGTGATTGTATTGAAAGTGTGGAGTGTAAAAGAAAGTGAGGTTCAAGTTTGTTTCAAATTGTGTTGTTGATTTTGAGATGTTTCGTAGATGAGCGGACACGTCGGATCTTATACATGGTTCAGACCACCAAACCTATTGCCTAAGCGCTGATGCAAGGCTGAAAATGACTGGGCGCTTACCCAAACATTTCACCTATCCAATGACTAGGCGTCTGGAAGCGCCTTTGGGATCAAGCATGCCTCAGCGGCAAACAGCTCAGATTTGATGGACCTAGTCATAGACATTGTGATAACGCTAAGATAGGCGCTAGCCCCAAAAAAATTGCCAAGAACGCGAAGTGAGCATTTCCAATTTCCCAAACCTTTCACCTGTCCAATGACTAGGCGTCTGGAAGCGCCTTTGTGGGGTCAAGCATGCCTCAGCGGCAGACAGCTCGGATTTGATGGACCTAGTCATAGACATTGTGATAACGCTAAGATAGGCGCCAGCCCCAAAAAAATTGCCAAGAACGCGAAGTGAGCATTTCCAATTTCCCCAGGAAACCGCGCGCGTATGTGTCTTCTGCGGGCCGATCTCCACATAGTGGCTAGCCTCTTACCCCAATACGTAATAGAGAGAACAATAACGCTCCTAGGCCGACGTCACTTGTTATGGGCAAAACACAGAACAGGTTTCATCATCAAATATAGATCACCAAAGCCGTAGTCAGCGGCATGGCAACAATAACATCTATAAATATTAATATCACATAGCCACGAATCAAGACGAAATGGTAATATCATAGAACAAGCTTAACAACAAATTCCTGGCAATCCATGTCACCTATTTCTGCTTGAGTATACCTGCAAAGCACAGGTTCCTGTTCAGCAATACTCGTTCTTAGGCGAGCGAAATTCCTTTGAACTTACAAGCGACCTCCCCTCTCTTCCTTTGTCCGTTGTGCGCGTTTGGTCCAATCATTCTTGGACGCTACTAAGACTCACTGTTGATAGGATCGAGCGCACAGCGGCAAAACTAGTACCAAAGTAAATACCTGAATCATTGCCCCGGCTGCACGTTTCAGGCTGCGCCAATTCACTCTAGATTGTGATCCTTCATTTCCGTGTGCACAGTTGAAGGCTCACCAATTGCGTCGACATGGCGGGATCTTCGATTCGTAATTGGTGCACTCTGGTTTGAATTTTGACATGATGGATGGACTCGTCGTTTCGCTTTGCTTTTCTCCGTATCGAAATGCTGGATAATGGTAACTTAATGAGGGTGCTATGTGATGTTAGCATAAAGTGGGGCTGCACATGACCTAAGCGAGAACGAGTGCCCGTCTGAGAAAAACCGAAGTCGATTCCACGTTCAGGGGCCTGCTTACAGTCAGGGAGCGAAAGTGGTACTGATTTCTGTGAAACAAATTGATTCTTTATCGAGATGGTCTCATGTATGTCTTCAACTTCAACATTTTAAACCTGGTCCTCAGGACCCAAACTAACACCATCCACGGCAGCACCTCAAGATCTCCGACCCATCGTCATCTCCGGCCCTTCAGGTGTCGGAAAAGGGACACTGGTCCAGAAACTTTTTGACGCACACCCTAATACATTTGGATTCACTGTATCCCATACCACGCGAAAGCCGCGACCGGGCGAAATCGACGGCGTCGCTTACTTCTTTGTCTCTCCCTCCGAGTTTTCCTCTCTTCGCTCCAATGGTGCTCTTGTGGAACACGCATATTTTAGTGGCAACTACTACGGCACGAGCAAACAAACCATTGATGAGCAAGCCAGCAAAGGATTAGTTGTGGTGTTAGATATTGAGATACAGGGTGTTAAGCAGATGAAGGCAAATCCTAGCATAGATGCGCGGTATGTTTTTATCAAACCACCAAGCTTTGAAGCACTCGAGACGCGTCTTAGGGGTCGAGGCACCGAGAACGAGGAGGATATTCAGAAGAGACTCACACAGGCTAAAGTCGAACTTGAATATGCCGACTCTCAGAGCAATGACAAGATCATCGTCAATGACAATGTGGAAAAGGCGTATGATGAGCTTGAGGAGTTTGTATTCAGGCTAGCATAGCATGACCATAGATGGAATAAAGCGGAGTTGGTGGACCAGCAAATTGATCGGTAACTGCAGTACTGTCATGAATGGATCGGTGGTTGGTCCTCTTGTTATGGTACCGGGTCTGGTGCTGTATCGGCACTTGTAATGATGATGAATTCATTTGCCCGATGTACATAGCTCGCTCTAAACACATGTTCCTATGTGCGAGTGCTGTCAGGCCTGCCGCGGGTTGTCGCAGCAAGGCGTATGTTAAAGGATTGAAAATGTGTTCGCTTTCAGTCAGCTTCGGACATTTGAAGAGCTGCTTCTGATAATCTTCACGATAACTATGTTAAGTGTTTCGTTATGAGGAATGACAAATCTCTGAGTAGGAGAATCGTGACCTTCATAGAAAGTGACCTTTTCGATGACTGCATTTTGGCGCGGAAGGGACAATATCGTTGCTTGAAAGAATACTGTGGCCAGTTGCTGGCTAAGTCTTGTGATCTGGACCGGATTGTCGAAAATACAAGGATACTGAATACTGTTAGTGTCGCTCTCAATGTCGTCCAGAGTAATCCGAAACCATCGAGTCGACGTATATTCCAGAAAGTAAAGGACTGAATTCAAAAGGCCAAAGCGTGTTGGTGCCTTTGGTGCCTGAGGCATGAATCGACTCTAGCCAAAAGGGTGAGTAAGCTGGTTGGTAAACATCTGGATGCATTCCGCTCTGACGGGCCACTCCCCGGCGCCAGACAGCGAACCCCTACTATGTTGACTTCGATTTGCATCATTCGATTACTTGCTGAATACTGATTTCAACAAGCGATGGAAGAAACAATCGCCGAGCTACGACGTCAGCTTGAGGAGGAGAGACAGGCGCGAGAAGAAGAGAGGAAGGCGCGAGAAGAGGCAGAGCGGCGAGTGCAGGCCAACACACTGTTTCGCCTTCTCGATCGCTGTCACAACTCTTTATCTCAAGCGATCCGAGTTGAGACGGATGCGACCCTCACGACCCAGGGCGATGCGACCGACCCGGTGAACCGACTTTACCCCAAGCGCATAGTCCCTTGGCTTGATTTCCCTCAGCTCCAGGAGCAAGTCTGGAGCAAATTCGACCGCACGGCTGCCTTTACCTCGCGCCCCCTCTTCCCTTCTGATACCCAAATAGATTATGTCGTTATGAATATCCAGAACAAGCCGATTTATTCGGAAGCGTCCCTTCGAAATTTTGAGCGAGACACGGTGGATAATTTTGTTGAAATGGTTATCAAGGCGTTGCGAGATGAAGAAGTCTTTCGGCATGAGTTTGGAATCCAGGGTCAAGTCACCTTTTACGACCGCGCGAACCCATCGGAAACTTCGCTGAAGAACAGCTTGGAGCAAATGAATCTTCAGGACGCGCGAACACCCCAACGACTCGCGAACACTAGGCCTGGGAGAGGCAGAGGAAGGGAAAGAGGAGCGGCACAGGGGAAAAAGAGGGATGGCACTGCACGAAGACGCAATCGTCGTGCCGACCAGTTCTGCGTGCACCTTGTGGCTGATGAACGACAAATACCAGTATATGCGGTGGAGTTCAAAGCGCCGCATAAGGTGACAATCCCCGAATTGGTGGCGGGTCTACACCAGATGGATCTAGCTCGCGATGTCATTAACCAGGAAGGAGACACGTTTGAGTTTTATGCCACCTGCCTCGTCGCCGCTGTGGTCACTCAGATATTCTCATATATGATCGACAGTGGGGTTCAATACGGCTACATCTGCACGGGGGAGGCTTTTGTTTTTCTCCATATCCCGGACGATGATCCCACAGTTGTTCAATATTTCATGTGTATCCCGAATCAGGACGTGCAGGCGGACGATGAATTGCGCCTCCACCGGACCGCCATCGGTCAGGTGCTTGCATTCACCCTCCAAGCGCTAGCCGCCGAAGCTCCGTCTCAAGAGTGGCATGATGCGGCACACGATAAGCTAAGGACCTGGGAGGTCGAATACCTGGATGTGTTGAGAAAAATCCCCGAGACTCTCCGTAAAGACCGACGAGCCTCCAATTATCGACCCTCGCACTGGAAACTAGAGCCGAAGACGCACAATACACGATCCCGTGCTCGCTGCAAACCAGACATGTCTACTCCAAAGCATTCGTCGACCGAAGGCAGCGGCAGTGATGAAGAATCGCATTCGCCATCCATCGCTGCAGCGGCTCGCAGCAGGTCGAGCCGCGGCCGAGGGAACAACCGCCAATCAACTAAGGAAAGCGAAAGCAGACGAGCCGGTCGGGACAACAAACAGACCTCTCGAAAAGATGGGCAATCTACACGACCCTACTGCACAATTGCCTGCATCCGCGGCATCGTCAACCGAGAATCTCTGGATAAAGAATGCCCCAACTGGAAACTCCACGGCGGCCAGAGACACTCTATAGGGCCGCAGGAGTTCACACGACGGCTTCACTGTCAACTTGCCAGAAACCGAAACCATGGGTTTGAACAACTTCACGTCTGTGGTCGGACAGGTTACCTCGTCAAAGCTACCCTTCTATCACACGGGTACACTGTTGTCATTAAAGCTACCACAATGGAGAAGCAGCATCGCCTTCAAGCGGAGGCGAACAATTATCGTCACCTCAGGAGCTTGCAAGGAAATCAGATCCCCGTCTGTCTTGGATCCTTTCAGCCACGGGTCGCGTATTGGTACCATGGTGAATTAATTGCCCAGATGATGGTCTTGAGCTGGTCAGGATCGCGACTTCAGCATATAATCAATGATGAGAATTCCAGTTCCTTCGATCAGGAGCGCAAGAAAGTTCTGACCGTGCTCCGGTCACACGGAGTTGTCCACAATGATAGTGAGTGGCGCAATATGTTGTGGGATGACCTCAGTGGCCAGTTAATTGTCATTGACTTGGAGGATATGAAATGGTTGAAGCGCCGTCGGATTCTTGAATCAACTTCTGGCAATATCTGGCGTGGTCATCGCGTCGGCGCGGGGAAAGCAAGCAAAAGCTCTTGTCTAGCTTGACAGTTGCCTACATATGACGACCGTCAGGCCACAGACCATCGCGTTAGTCGACTCGGTTGACGACCGTACCGTCAGATCATGGGACGGGAGAAATTATGTTTACATTATTAGCTTAGCTATCGCATAATGCAAGATAATTATGCGTTCCTGCAACTAGCACTGCCTACGCTGAACCAGCCTGCTAGAATGCCATCTCAAGAAGGTCGGGTGCTCATGACAACAAATCATATTGAACACTGGCTAATACGAGTTGCAGGTTGATAAATGTGTTCAAATTAAGGAGTGAAAGTATGGGAAACAACTGAAAGAGTGGGGGCCTAAGATCGATGGTCCAAGAAAAAGACTGGCAGGTTAGCAAGGTACCTAAAGGGCAAGGAAAATAACCAGAAAAATAGTGAACGCCTCAAACATTAAACCAACATCCAATCGGCGACACAGGTTTCGTCAGTCCTGTCCACAAACCAAATATCGTCGCGGTGTTATGCCCCTTTGCCTCTCCATTGTGCGGGTGCCCTCTCTTCCTAGTTCTCAACGTCCTTCTTGTACCCAGGAGCCCTCTCTCTTCACTTGGCTCCCGGCCTTTGTCTTCGCTACCCAGTTTTCAACACAAGTAACAGCGCCAAAAGGCGAGTTCTTCTGCTCCAATAGGAACGACAAAACTTCAGCTGGACTGAAAACTTGGTCTGGCACCTTGGAAGCAAATTCGTTGGCAAATCTCTCAATCGCCTCATCGCCGAATTCATGCTTTGATTCCTTGTGCTCTGCCGTCTGCTTGAAGACCGTGTGAAAAAGTTGAGTGGAAATCTTCTTATCGGCAAGCTGGAAATGCACTTTCTTGTCTGCGCGGCCAGGCCGAATGAGTGCTTCATCCAGTTGTTCGATATGATTGGTCGTCATAACAAGCACCCGACCTTCTTGAGACGACACACCATCAAGAACATTTAGAAGACCGGATAGGGTGACTGCAGAGGCTGACTTGTCCTCTTTGTCTGTATCGGAGTCGTCCCTACGCCCCATCCCAGCGGCGTCCACATCCTCTAGGAGAACGATGCAGTGCGGCGGAAGCTCAGAAAATAGCTTCATCAGCTTGCTGTCAGAAATCCCTGACAGTTGAAGCGTATAAATATCCAGTTCAAATTCCCCGGCCAGGGACAGACTGAAGCTGGATTTTCCGGTTCCAGGAGGTCCATATAAAAGGTATCCTCGTTGGTAGGGAATGCCGCGGTCGGCGTACCACTTCTGTGTATCTTCATTCAGAAAGTCCTTCACATCTCTTAAAAGGCCATCTTGTACTTCTTTGTCCATAATGACTGTTGAGACGGGTCGAACTGGTCTCAACCTGGTTTTCTTCCAGTCCCCTTCACGGTGCTCAAAGACAGTGATCTTTTTGTCAATGTTATTAAGGTAATTTCCTCGGCACTCTTCAACGAGCTGTTTAAGAATATTTGGATAAAGGCCAATGGAGGAGATGTAGATGTCTTCTCGATGGTCTTTGACAGCGCAGTGAAGTATGAGCAGGTGTCCCTTATACCAAAAAGGAAAAGATCCATCCCAAGGCGAAAAGGTCAAAGGCTTTTTCTTTTCTTGCTTTTGGATGGTTGTTCGCTGTGGAGTTCTCACACGAGCAATTATTGAGTGAGCGTTGCGGACAAACGGTTGGTGAGCTATCCAATCGACTAGCATGTCATACGCTTCGTCATAATATGAGACATGGATTGTCGAAGCTGCTGGCTGTCAGACTCATCCCATCACAAGGGAAGAATTACGAACTGAAGTAGCTTCTTACTAGCTCCCCAATATAGCGGACTGCATAGCGAATGAAGAGGACAAGCATTCCTAGGGTACAAAGGAGTCGAGTATAGCTGTCCAGGTTACCGGCAAGCAGCTGCTGTGCAGAGGCAGAGGCCATACTGAAACCGGGAAAAAGAACATCCATAAGGGACATCTGGGAAGGGCTGTGGTATGAACCATCTCCGCTGATAGCGTTCATTCCGTATAAAAGAACCGAAAGATATGATATTCGTAGTTGAGATAAAACAAGAAAGGGTTGTGACTGCTCTCATTTATATCTTCATCCCTACTTCTTTTCAAGTCGCATCGTTTGCTCGAGGACAAAGGTACGAGAGCTGAGCTGCATTAGTTAATGCATACAGTGTGGCGTCATGCAGGTATCCCACGGAAATTCCACCGAAATCCCACTAGAATTCCGTTCGAACTACTAAGTAAATTCTACAGCTATAATATTCAAATACGGAGAAAGACAAGATAATATTTCTCAAACAACACCGTTCAAGGATGACTCTTTTCTTCTTCAAGATCATTTTATTCGAGTGAAGTACAATTTGACAAGTTAACGATACCCAAAGTCACGTGCCTGAGGAGCTCATGATTTGGACGAACCGAGGGAGATGCCCAACCTTTGCCCCCACCCAACACAAGGCCACTGAAAATAATGATCACTCCTAGTTTTCATCTATATCTGTCGAAGGCCACTACTACTACAAAGTCGCTGCGACGTCTCTGCATTCTATGCCATAACTAAGCGATTTCCAACCAAGTGTTTTCCCTTTGAGGTTGGATAAGCCCATCGCAACCCTCCTCGCTGCCCGAGGCAGGATACTCCGGCATGCTGCGCAAGATAAAGGTCTCGAAATCTGCGACAGAAGAGGAAATTTTGGATGAATGCAAGAAACAGGCAAGCCATACATTCGCCATACAGCTGGTTTAGGTCAATAATTAACGTCTACAGGTCGGTCACGATAGTTGCAAACTTATCCGCGGCCCAACGGTTGAAGTTGTCTTTCAAACCTCGCCTCCTACCGATACTGTTGCGGTTGTTGTTGATATATCATCTGCTGGCGGTGCGATCAAGATTGGGGAAGCTTCAAATAACAATCTTGGGGTTACTGCGGTCGGCATGGTGGGAACCGAGGATGCAGACAGTTTGGTTATCATGCCATGGGAGAGCGGATGGTGGTATTATACAATCGGTGTTATCACCGTGCGATATATCGTGAAAGTATAATAAGAAAATGTATATTGCTTATTCACATCACTTGCCGGCGCTGAGCTCCGAAAAAAAGACACGCTTCATGTGTGATCGATATGGTGATGAATGGGAGGGAGGCGATATCGTATGGTTCTGTCATCCAAACACTCGAGGCCATATGTTCGGACATCACAATAGCACGAGCATCCTCATGTGAAAGCGCAAATACTCTCCCAGAAAGAGCACCTGACAATGTTAGTCCATTCGTCAAGGAACTGTGAGGAATTCGTCATACTTGGTTTTGATTCATTTGGCCTTACTGAGGCGGCATCGGATTGCAAAGCTTCAACCTCGGAGACGGGAGTCTCTATAACGTTACCAGGGGATAGATCTAGGTGTTCAAGATGGGAAATTGGCGATAGAGTAGAGCAAGCTTGGGGCTGATGGCGAACCAACTGTATGCCTTCAGCTGATTGCTCGTTATGCTCGGATGTTCGGTCAGCTGAAGATTCAGTTATTATCCTCAACGTATCATCAAAGGCTCCAATACTAACCATTGCAGTAATCAGTCCGAACGAGCCCTTTAATGAATGGGGACTTGAATTTGTCCCTGTGCTTTGCTACTTCACCTGGGAGGCGGAGCCGGTATGCTTCCCTCATGTTTCCAACCGCCGTCTGACCCAGCCCAAGGGCGCATGGAATTACCACTTCTGGCCCACAGCGAGTTCGGAGTTCCCTTAAAAGTTTTCGGTAATCCTCTCGTCTCTGTTCTGCCTTGGTGTGGGGGACTTTTCCAGGCTCATCAGCCAAATGAAAGGCAGTCTCAATACGTGTGTTCTGGTGCGGCTTGACAGATCTCCTAAGCTCAATCATCTCAGCCGCTTCGAATAGCTTAGACAATGCTTCGGGGATTGTAAGAGAGGAATAATCATGGTGTCTGGTTGATCTATTCATCTTCTTTCCTGAGGATCGCTCGTGCAACATCTTCGAAGCCGGGATAAATGGCAGGAAATACAAGAAAATTTCATTGAAATTAGGTTGGGATCTGGCTGGGAATTATGCGAAGCATCAATATTAATAAAAGATATGTGGTCTTTGCATAATGCCCCTTTTTTGTACGTGGACACGCACGAAGCTACGCATTGAACCACATGACATATGTTTATTGATTCAATTGGGTTGTCTCACTCTTGGAAGGCGCTAACTTATGCACACCACTAAAAGCGGCAAGAGCTGTAGGAGCGAGTGATGTGATAAAGGATGCATGCATGCTGGCTTTAGATGTGGCGAATAGAATAGGCGGAGAGTCCAGTGGAAATCCAGTGGTATTGATTGTCAATCGAGCGGCATGAGCTCGACCAGCCCATTCTAAATTCTGAGCCCTTAGCCATCGCTCCCGCACCCAAGGTAGGCTTCGTGTATGTTGATCATCATTTTTGAAAGAAATACTTTGCATCCTTAATATCGTTACCAATTCCAGATCCCCGCTTTTCATGCGAGTAAGACCCTCACGTTCCAAGGATCATATCCGGCCCCAGAAGAATCCATAGCGTGTTTACTAGGCACGGTCTTGGTCGCTCCTAGGAATCAGAATCATAGTTCCCAGAGGACCCACGGCTCCCAGGAATTATGTAGCTACAGGGAACGAGGTGGGTTCCTGAGCCTCGGTGTCGGTGGGTCCAGTGGGTCACCCCACCGGATAATTGACAAAAGATACTTAATTCGCCCGAATCTCCCCAGTGATGTCATGTAGTATTTGGTGCAAACCTACTAAATATCCACTGGTATTTCGCAATATTTCTCAAACTCAACTGTCAACTGTCAAAACACTGCACTAAGCAAGGTTGTTCGACGAATCGAATATCGATCAAGGTCAATACGTTTCATGCATGGTAGAAGAGAAAAATGAGTAGAAGACAGATAGGAAACATGTGTTTTGTGCCACTGTCTTTATTTAAATGATAGCTGGAGCCATGGTCTATAGTCAAGGATCTTCGTGAGCTTGAAACCAAAAGAATGGACCTTGGCCTAATATTCCAACTGGTCGCGTCAACAACAGCAATGCTTTGCTCCGGCTCAAGTCTTGCATTCTGGCTCCTATACACTAATGCTTTAAACCTAACAGAGCGGAGCAAAAATCGACTCATTTATAGCCAGATTATAATAGGTGGCATTGTTATTCTTGGCTCAATTGCATCTATGATACTCGCATTTAAAACGACGGCCTCTGATAATGGTATGTAGATCAATTTGTTCAGCCAGATATAATTATCCTAACCAGATATCAGATCTGTCGCGTTCGATATCTCCTATGGAAATCGGCTTTGTTTTACTTTTGCTCGTTCTAAACGAAGTAAGTGCAGTGAGTAAGAGCGAGGACGACACTAATACTCTTTTATAGTATCTATATATTTCAACTTTACAGTCATATTTGACTCATATGATTGCCGGCTTATTTTTTGTCAGTGCAACGGTCGTTCTGTCTTTAACCATTTACCAATCGGTAAGTTTGAATTAGTCGCTACCTAAGAAGTTTCTCGTTAACAGATCATTTCAGCGGCATCGCAATGTTTTGCTTACGTTATTCACGTTTATGGTTCTCGCCAGTCAAGGCTTTCTTCATGCTCAATTCATTCGATTTTGGTATATATGCATGAAACCTATGTCTGTATCTACCACCACGTTCAATTTAGGTTGGCGACATCCAGGCCCCACGGCTCCCAAGCATCAGAAAGCTCTCTGGGTGGCATCAATTGGGTCAATTGTGTTTTCCCTTTTTCACTAGGTACAACAATTCTGGTGTGTATAAGACCATGCCTGTGGGTCCAATTCACGACGGTATGTACCTTGACCAGAACAATACCCCAGTCACTCATTTGCTTCACAGCTCCAAGTTGCCATACTAAGCCTGAGGAAGGTTGTGATTTCGACATGTGTTTTCTGATTAAGGAAGGATGTTACTCTGACGGATTTCTATACTTCATGGACAGAGATCGATAATGGGCCCTGCCGATCTATATTTGCGAAGAAATCTTTATACGGAACAATTCATGTCGTTTTTTTCACCAGTAGAATGTATCCTTTGTTGAGACCATTCCAACCCATCCAAAAGAGCTCAATATCGCAGTAGTAGACGGAGGTGCACTCAGGGTGACTTCAATTTACTTGGATATAAATGAATTTTGTTTAATTTAGCAAATGACCCAAGTTGAAGACTCGTGACATTTCTTAGGACAGGGATTTTCGTATGATCTTGTGGTTCGTAGGTGAGTTAGAGCTCGCAGAGAGCCTGGATTCCAACAGAACAGATGAGATTCTGTAGGGATCGCATGGTTTCTATTGGGTAGTGCTAGCTAGGCCACATAACTAAGTGAATGAATGTAACGCCTAGGCTACTCCCTGAGCCGTGGTATCCTCAGGCACCGACTCCCTGGTGAATGCCTGAGGCCAACAAGAAGTGCAAACCCTGCAAACCCTTGATAAATCACTATTTTGCGCGAGAATTGCGACGCGGTCTGCGCCAATGCAGCATCACCGAAAACCGCCGCGTTTCAAATGGCTTTTATACTCTTGTCGCAGACACTACGGCGATTCCTAGCAGTATGTTATAGCCTCAAGGACTGGATAGAGATTGCGTTGATTTCTCCTTTGTCACGCCTGATCCACTGGCCCACATGTCACGATATTGAAGCGGTATAAGTCGAGCCCGTCCCTTTCTATCGCAAGAGCTTCCTGACCAACTTACATAGGGACCTCAATACGATTACGAAGCAAATGAAACTAGACAAGGAAAGGTCGAAACCATTAGCAGGGATGCTCAAGGACAATTTATCTCTGGTGGGCTAACTGGGATTGTGGAACTCCTTGATGATGGTACCGTCCTCAAATCGCCATTTCCTGACGCTGAAATGGAAAACCACATCCTGGACATTGCCAAAGAGGCCAGTATTTATCATCGCGTTGGCCCACATGAAAGGCTGGTACGGATATTGGATCACTCCAGGGATGGCCTTATTCTTGAGTATATGAAAAACGGTGACCTCAAAACCTATCTTCAAGCCCAAAACTCGATTCCGATGAGCCTGAAGTTGAAGTGGGCATACCAAATTGCGCAAGCCGTCTCTCTCCTACATAGTAACGGCATAATCCACTGCGACATCAAACCGCGAAATTTCCTCTTGGACGCGACTCTCAATATCAAAATCATTGACTTCTCTGGCTCTTCGCTAGACGGGTCTAAACCGGCCTCTGGTGAGGGAACTCGATTCTATCTCCCACGACATTGGAGAGACCCACCTACCGTGGCTACAGATTTGTTTGCGCTCGGGTCGACTCTTTACGAGGTTTTTCAAGGAACCAGTCCCTACGAGGATATCCCTAGCGATAAAGTGGAAGAATATTTCAAGAGAAAGGAGTTCCCTAATGTTTCTGCTATTCCATACGGACAGATCATCAAGCAGTGTTGGTTGTCCCAAGTCGATTCAGCCGAACATGTGCAGGCTTTCATGCGAGATATAATTCGCAGCAAGCTCAACGCCGACCATATCCCTCATCTCGATGGTTTAGACATTGCTCGGGGTATGTTGATTGACCAAGTGGGGTATCCTTAGGATCGGAACAGTCGATGCCGGTTTGTCTTGCTTTGAGGCATCGATTGAAAGTTCTGGTCGTCGTGTCGCATGATGTTGGACAGCCACGATAATGCTTGGTGGACACAAGATATTCACACATCCTAGAAGCTGTTAACTATTGGTGTTTTGCTCCTTTTTGATGGGATCCAAACTTTGATTGCACTATTTCGTCGCTAGATAGAAGGGCGATAAAAGATGGCGCCGATGTCTGCGCAGATATTAGGAACCACGGCTGTTGAGGTAGCCGTCATTTATACTAAAGCGCCTGCCGTCTGGATAGGCGTCCAAAAGCGGGGAATTACTGCCTGGTAAGACGCCAACGATATGCCAGCAAAATATTCCTTGGGTTTTCCGCCGGGGGAAGGAGGGGGGCGCTACATCACGTCACATACGTTCAAACGAGGAAGGGTAGCTGCAGTCAGCACACAAAAAAGGGAGACAACAAGGACCCTCATTGGAGGGCGAATGTCGCCATGTTTCTACTGGATTTCCACTGGGTTTCCCTTAAAAGCCTCTAGTCTAATATTGTCACAGAGCATGCATGTATGCAATCGATGTCACATTAAGATGCTTGGTATCAGCTTAGCGCGTGAAATGCGGATATCGGGATCACCATTATGATTATCAATCGGAGAAACAAGTATATTTTTGTAGCCATTCAGGCATTTTTGCTGGAATACAAGATAATTTTAGGAAGGTGAGAATTTATGCGTATTCAAGACTGCGATCTGGCTCACAGCAACTCAGATGGAATTAAAAATCGTGCAAATACGGGATCGTCGAATCCGAAGCGACGGATCGCATTGGAAATACATTTTTGTGATCCGCTAGCGCCTGGGTATGCATACCGAACCTATATCTTGTGATCAAAGAATAACTTCCCCAAAGACCGAAAATCCGAGCAGGCGATTGCTTGGTTGCTAGGTTTAGATATGAGATCGTCGATGAGGCATTTTGCCATTGGATACTTGGGACAGGGCGAAGGATCTGTAGTCACCAGGGAACCAAGCCACGATGGAACGGAGCAGCGGAGACAACGAGCTGCTGGGCAGATCACGACCAGGCAGCCCCGGAGCACGGACGACACTAAGACAAGGCATTGGTAAATCATCGAATCGAGGACAAGGGAGGATGACCGAGGGGAGCAGACAGAGCATCCATTTGAAGAACAAGTAGACTATGCAGGCCGAGTTAGCGCCCTGTGAACGAATAATCTGTACCGTATTGCTCTTCCAAAAGCCGTGCAACCTCCTTACAAAACGCCACCTGCGCCAAGAGGCCGAATCCGATCCCAAGAGTGGAATGTAAAGGCAACAAGGGCTCAGCCGCAGTTTACGACCGAAAAGTAATATGGGGCGAATGGGGCAGTCGGCGAGTCCTATTAGGCGGGCGAGACTGCAGGGGCGCAGGCGGGGTGCGAGTCATCGAGACAGGACTTGGGTAGCGGCAAATATCGAGAGAATCTCGCAGAAGCTGGGCTTTGTCTTGGAAAGATTCCATGGCCGAAAGGATTCCAGGCGAAAACTGGCGTTTGACATTGTATGGAAGAGACGGCTGAGAACATCTTCGAGATGTGGTGGTTGTGGGTACTCATAAAACAGGGAAACTGGCAGAGAATAGAGAACTGGGGATGGGGGAGGACGGGGGATAGTGTATAGGGGAGAGGAGAATTTGAAGGGGTTTTGAATTACAATTTTGCCATTTAGGTGGAATGTAGTCTCTTTATAGACGACGGTCGCCCGTGAGGCGGAACCTGCCTTCTACCTAGCGTAGAAGATCCCGACTAGCTCCTAGAATCCAGGCCACTGCATCTAACACGCGGATCTACACCAGTTTCATAACCACGGGTTGTAGCTCACCGGCAAAAATTACCACGACTCTTCCTTACGGACGACCTTTGCGATGTATACCCCACACTAGTCGTCAGCCTGTCCTCCATTCGGTAGGTGCAGGTGAAGGTGTGATCGTAGTACGGTTTCCGTAGTCGCGGTCCGGCATTGGCCGTATGATGTATCGTCGACCGAGGTCAGGCGCGTGCGAGGCATTTTTGCTATTGGCCCATATCGCCGCATTATGCTTTCGAGATCATCGATTGGGTGTGGAGAAACCGGAGAGACCGACGATGACGACAATTGGGCGCCACGGGATTCGCGACGAGGCAACGGAGAGTCGTTCTGCGACATCAGGGGCTGTGCAAATGTAACCTCAGATGGGGCGGATGCGGATGAAGCGGGGCATACGGCATCGAAGATAGTATGCTGGAACTTTGCAATGCGTTGGAGGCCGGTGGAATGAGTGACGCCCAACGAGCAAGGTGCTCTAGCAGAGAAGGCGACCTAGATAGCTTCGTAGTACGATGCACTGTCACCCCCCTGGGAAAAGACTAGGAGGAAGTATCGACACAATAGCGAACGATGCGGCTGCGGGCTGGATCATCTCATCCCAGGGGTTCTGCTCCTGGGCGACTGGATGACATGGCAGCCCAGGCCGGCCAGAACGCTGGGCGTCAGATCGAGCGGCATCTCTGGTAAAATGAAAGGGGGCAGTGCGTCGGGCTGAAAGCAAATGTGCAGTAGTCGGTGGGGGCCAGAATAAAAGAAAGGGGGTGGCGATGAGTGCAAGATAGAGAGGTAGGAAGAATGAAAAAGTGAGAGAGGGGGAGGAAGAGCAGCGAAGACGGGTCTTTTATGTCGGCGGCATTGGAAGGAGGTTACGTGACGGCGTATTGGGGCGCTAAACCTAAAGAGGAAAAACTAACCGGATACAGTAATTCACAGGTCCCAATATTACATTTACAATCAAGGAAAGTAGGTTGATTTAGATGAAATTTTACACAGTTGGTGTAGCTTTTACAATATAGTTACCTATTGTAGTGTGGATGTGTGAAGCAACACGCAGGGTAGGTGAGCGGTGCGTCACGGCGACTCGTGGTACTCGTGGTACTCGTGGAACAGATAAGCATATCCTCGAAAAGGACCCGAGAGTTTTATTGCCATGTGCAAAGAAGCAACGAGTACATATAATAGGGACAAGGAAGCATGCATACCTAAGAAAGTTGGGATCCAATAGTTCAGGTTGTCAACAAGATTGTGGCATTCGATAAAAACTTTGATGGGCTGCCTTCGTTAATCAACGATGGCAGGATTTACAAGTAAAAACACTTTGCTTCCACGACTGGGCGCAGAGTGACGCAGACTCTTTTAGCAAATTCCCAAGAAGTGCGGGCCGGCCCGCTCGGGCGGATATTGACCCGAAGTGGGGCGGCAATGATCGACGACCAGACGGGTACATGAATTGGGCATAAGTATTGTAGTCGGGGAAATCAGCAGGTGGTGAATAGTGTACTAACGAGCAGAACGTCGTCTATAACTGGCAGAAATCAAGGTGTATCCAATGGCGAGCCTACTGGTAAATCCACGGGACCACGATGGTAAACTGACAAAAAGCAACAATGTCTGATTTTTCACAATCAGGTCAGACACAATTACTCTGTAGGTAAGTAGCCTGTAGGTTGTATCTACACATCAAAGAAGGGGAAAAAAGGAGAGGGAGACTATCGACTCGCAAGGCCTTTCATGGTGTGAGCAAGCATGGACTGCCTTAGGCCTTAAGGCCAGCATACACAAATCTCCTTCCTCTCACAAGAAAATGGACAGATATCTATTGAACGTGTATGTGTATCTCTGGGTAGCTAAGAATGACAAATGGAATCGAGAATAATACACAGAATTTCTTTAATCAAGGCTCTCTTGAAGAAACCGTCGACTAAGATCATTCTCAATCCACTCTTCAATTAGACCCACACAGTTTCCAACAAGATGGTCATAGTTCGCACCCTGTGGAATAAACATGGACTGATGTGCCATCACTTCGTCCATATCCTCCATTAATATTGGCTCCCAGTGGGAGTTGTCGTTGTACTTCCAATGATGCGATGGCAAAAGGATGAACTTCCGAAGTTGCTGTTTAGAGACATCTGGAGACTCTGTCACTGAGAGCGACCCACTCTCCGTTGAGAGGGAGACGCTTCCTGAGAGGGACGGGCTCTCGGTCTGGTCGATTGTGGCTGTGGTAGATGGTGCCATGCTTGCATTATCCTCTGAGAAGGAGTCCTGCTTCTCCCCAGTCTTTTCGATTATCGGTGAAGAATTAGATAGTGAGGGTTCCAAGGTTTGCTCTTTTATTGACAGATTGCTCATGGATTTGGTTGCTTCAATACTTTCAGAAACATCGAGCTTTTCTGGAGACTCCTCTGGGTTGATTTCGGTTGCATCTTGGATTTGCTCAACGCTTTCACTTTCCTTTGCGGTCTCTTCCTCTTTCTTCTTAGACTTTTTGTCCTTCTTTGGAGGTTTCGCCTTGGGTTTCTGCGGTTTGCGGCCAGTGCTCGCCGTATAGTAATTAACAAATCGTACTCTGCTGGGACTCGACTCCGCAGCTTCCAGTTCCATCAGATGCCGGTATCGTTGACGAAGCTCGGAGTAGTTATTGACGCAGCCCGCAAATTTCAAGGGCGACATGACGCGATCGAAGATGGATCGTGATAGATTGTCAGTATTTTTGTTGACAAAGTGCATAAGACCCTTGAAAAAGCCACGGTCAACCAAGCGGACATCATTCATGAATGGAGGATCGAAGTTAGGACTAGGAGCTGGTTTGAATGCCGGTTCCAAGCCGAGCGATCGTTCTTCGTCCGCGAGCTTTTCCTCAGGCGCGGGGTTCTTCTTTGGCATTGACCCCATGGTCCCAGTGGGTATCACACGGGGATGGATTCCTAGAAACGGCACATCGAACCCCACAACTCCTAAGATCCGATGTTTCTGTTGCCCGTCTTGTTGCAGGCGTGCAACGTCTGCGGCTAGAATCCCGCCAAGACTATGTCCCAAAAGGATAACGTCCAGGTCCTCTGCTTCATGGGGCGAGAGCCTGCAAGAAGTATGGTCAACAACTACTCAGTTTTCCCCCGAAGTTATCTGACCTCTTGTCAATTGATCACATACCAGGTACTGAACTGGTTCACCGCCGTTTGCATTTCGCCTTGAGACTTGTAGCGAGGATACATGCGAGTGTACACGATATGTGACTCGCTCAAAGAGCCTGTCAAGAGATCATGAACATGCAGTGGAAGGTCATGAAAACTAGCCTCGGAGCCCATGAAGCCATGGATATAGATCAATAATAGCCTGCGCTTTTCTGTGACCTGAGATCCTCCGGGCCGAGGCAGTGACAAGTTCGAATAGGAATTGTCGGTAGATGTACGAATATCCCCCTCCATCTCCGATGCAGCTCCGAAGTTCTAAGTTCTTCTGAGAAAGACTTGCCGAATGCCGATAGAGTAGAGGGAAGATGACATAGGAAACAGACTTCCGTTCCTGGGTTGCCTTAGAATGCGGGGGCCAGGGGTCTCGAGTCGCCACCGGCGCTTACTAAGATATCCAGTCAAGCGGAGATCCTCTCCACGTGGGATATCGGGATTCGGGATGAAGAAGATGAATAGAAGTGAAATCTCCAAGGTTAACAATGATACGAAGCTGTGATTTGTGATCGAAAGGATGTTTTTGAAGAGGAAAAAAACTCCGGTGAGAGCCATGGTTATCAGAGCGGCCCGTTTGCCCACTTTGACAACTCCCATGGATGTGGAATGAAATCCATTTTCATACTAATGAGGTGTCGGTTGTTCAAGAGCTACTGAATTATACAGTATATCAGATACTCCCTTACTGAGTTGGTACTAATCTTTGGGAAATTGCGGGGGCCGTTGGCTCCGAATGAGGTGTATATATGGCATTCACCTGAGACCTTGGAAGTTGAGGGTGGTAGGCGATAAGTTGTCCCTTGTTGTCGACTTGGCCTATGATTTGGCCTTGCTGGGGGACTGACACCTGAGGTTGTGGGTATGGAGCGGGCTGATAAACAGCATTTGAGGACGTAGCACCCTTGTTCAGGTGGCAATTGCGTGTATAATGGTTGCCGAGGGTGTTATGCAACTTGCACCAGATGACATCGTCTTCTCTCTCGTACTGCTTCGTCAAGTCAAACCCACCAACTGGCGTGAGCTGGCCAACTTCCAACCGACAGCTCCAGGCTTCGAGGCAACTTTTCAGTGATACATAAGTTATTATGTGGATTATTTGGTATCAGCAGAGAATTTTGATTAAGCGATCTCATTCGGGGCCATCAAAGACACCACGTTTATTCATTCGACCCCTGTCTATTCCAAGCAACACCTCGCGCCCGCGTCAAAGCAATACCTAACCATCCAATAATAAACCACCCATTATGAAAAGTACATTGTAGACCTGACATTCCTTCGGATCCCGGCCTAACTAGAAACTAAACGCAAAAGAGTTAGGGCTCGCGCAGATCTTACGTGGCCCCATAATAGCGCGGACATCGTAGGATTAAAAATAGCACTCTTCACGAGCCTCATGAAGACGGAGAGTTCAATGCTTTGTAGCTCCGAATCATTGATTTGAGTGGTGATAGATAGTTTGGAACTTTTCTTTGAAGGGGAAATGCGGCATACGTCGGTTCAAAGAGACCTGGCAAGTATGCGACGTTCATTGACGCCGAGTCTAGCGCTGCGTGTCCCAGCGCTTCTTTGTTGATCTCATCTTGAGGGCAGTGCTTTAACCCCACCTGAGGGATAATAGGCTGTACACTGTCAAGTGCAAACCTTGGAATATTGTCTCTTTTCGAAGCCCTCCAGGGTCTCTCGTAATACTCCATCTTCCACATATTTGTTGTCTTCTGTCCGACTTCAAGCTCGCACTGCGAGTATATACAAATCTTCCACAAAGGGATCTGGTACTTACTTAAAACGGCACTTGAATGGAAGGATTCTAGCGCCAGTCGTGTCTTTTGCGTTATCTGCAGTGGCAGTTCTTTGTCTTCACTTGGCAGCCCTCACATAAGACGAAAGTGCCCCGGGAACAACACTTTCGCCATGTCCGCGATGAGGAGATACTGGCCTTTTGCCGTGGTGGACGTTGCTATGAGTCCCGTGTATACACCAGAAGTGAACTCGTATCCACAGGAAACCATCCCATCAGAACCTGTCGGTGGATCATCAGCAGCACCAGCGGATCCGAATGATGGAGTCATTTTCACAACGACAGCCCGCGGCCAGAACAAGAACTATACACCGGATGTATCAGCACCTGCAGAACAGACGGTGACAAAGATCCTACCCACAGAGCCATGGCCGTCAGCCAGCGAGTTGACAGCATACTCAGCACCAGCCGAGGCTGCCGCTGCCGAAATCAAGACACCGACATGGGAAGCACCAACAACTACCTCACCAGATGCAACGAGTCCAGATTCTGTATCGCCATTGCAGTCACCATTATCGCCAGTATCCTCAACACCAATTTCACACTCAGCAGCGGGTTCGGTCTCGTTCGTCTCAACCGCATCCTCGGCCTCGGTCTCAACCTCAACGTCAACCACAGCCCCAGGCGCAGCCGCACTGACAGCAACATCAACCAACGAGTCGATAGTCTCGTCCGGCGGCACCTCAAAAACAACAAAAATAGCTATAGCAGTCCCAGTCTCCATAATTGGCACAGCCCTTCTTCTCGCCCTGTGCTTCTTCCTTGCCCGCCGACGACGCTGCCAAAGAGAACGCAACGCCCTACCACCCTCATATGATATCGCAACACAGCAAACAACCGCCACGTCAACACAAGAACTAATGATGGCCCAGAAATCTGCGACCCCAGAGCCATCGGCTTCAGTACCCACACCGACAATGGCAGTGCCCACGCCGCGCATCCCGCTTATCAGCGTGTCACCATCGACAGAGGACGGGGGTCGAACGCCGAGTCCCGGCCCTAGTACTGGGTCAACGTCCGTACACCGCATGTCGGCCCAAGGGCCTCGAGGTTCTGAGCCGGAGCTTGGGATTGCGGTTGCTGTTCCAATGGATCGGAGGTGGAGTGCTACGGAGGAGATGATGGGTCGTGTCGGGTCTGTTCGGTCGTCGCGGGGTCCGTCACGGTTGGCGAGGATGCCGTTTGAGGATTTTGAGGACGATGAGGTTGGGATCGGGATTGGTATCGCGGTTGGCGGAGATGATGATGCTGTTTCTGAGGTGTCGGATGATGGGAGGAGGGAAAGGGAGAGAGACTTTGATGAGGTTTCGGTGGTATCGTCTTTCGATGGTGTTTCGCCGATTGGACAGCAGGAGAGGAGCCAGTTTCGGTGATGATTACGATCACCCCCCTCCGGAGAAAGCAATTTTCATATATTGAAAAGCATGCTCACTCACTGTGGTTAACTTGGTGGCCGTGCTTTGGCTTTCTGGTGTTGGTTCAATTTAAGGCGTCGCTTTGCTTGCGGTGGGAATTTGATTTAGTAGCTGGCATGTGTATTTCAGACTATATATACTTGAATATGACGGGATAGTCAGAATTTTGTGCGCTTGAATGCCATGTATGCTGCAATGCGGTGTTGGTTCACATACGCCGTTGTTGTATCTTGTTTATCTCCCACTGCCGAATTCAGCCTTATGAGCCGCGACTTTGCCGCGAGTCAATTCCCGAAGCGCCATGGTGGCGTATTGGCTCGATCCCAGCTGGAACTTCAGCACAACCGCCAGCTTATCACCCGTGGTCTCATCAGCTATGGTGGTATCGACTTCTGTCTTCTCGGCCTTCAACTTGTCCAGGTCCGTTTCAACAAACTGCTCATCGTCCTTGGAATAAAGCTTGACATCGAAAGAGTAGTTGTCTCCCATCATGCGGCTGAAAATCTTGCGGTAGCTCCCGCTAAGACTGATGTCCTTCCACTTGCGACGCATATTGGAAGGGTCAAGACCACCACCCCGTTCACTTTGCATGAAGCGGCGGTAGAATTCCTTCATTTCATTTTCAGGGTAGATGATGTCGTATCCAGGCTGAGGAAGAACCAGATCGAAGATAGTATATTTGCCGCTGGCGGCTTCTTCAGCAGTCAGAGCACGTGCCCGCATGAACATGTCATCGGCCGCAACTGCACTGTCCTCGCCCTGGGGGTTGACAATAATTTCACCGTCAGCGTCGACGGTTTCGGCGGCAACGACGGTGGGAGCAGTTTCCTTTTCGCGGTGCTCTTGAACAATGATGAGGTCACCTTCCACTACCCGGTCACCATAGAGACGCCAGCGCTCGCTGCAGGCGAAGTTCCAGACAAGTGACTGGTATGCGTGCACATACATCAACCGCAGATTCCGGGGGATGGTCTGCAGCGCACCCAAATAATCCTTTCGGTTTCTGCCGAGGTGGCGGATCAGATTAGATTCAGCAGTGAATTTACGCGGAATCTTTTGCAAAGCATCGGCAATGCTACCACCGGTCTGGAACATATTGATGGCCATAGCGCGGTCCTTATCGTCGCTGCTGATGTTTTCAGTAGATGAAGCTCCCTCCATTGCAGCCCGAAGAGAGTCAGGGTGATACTGTAAAAGAGCATCGCATGCTCCCTTGTAGTCTTCCTGCAGCATCTTAACGCCAATGGTATCTGTCCGAGTGGCGAAAGTTCCAAACCGCTGTAGACCGTAGTAGTTAAAGTATCCCCGCTGGTAGAGGTTCTTCAATGATGTACCGACGACCTCGGAAGCCTTCGCAATCGCAGCCTGGCGATCGTTCAGGTCCAATCCGGGAATTTCAGTGTCACGCAAAGTAATCAAGAACTCATTGCCCTGCAAATCTCCAAGTTCCAGACCATGCTTGCGGTACTCAAAGTCTCCGAGACGAGCATTGCGCAAAGTCGGGTTCAGTCGTGCAAGCCGATCAGCATGGACGCGGAGAGCACAGGCGCGCTGCGCGGTGGCACCTCGCCTATCCTTGGTCCCGGCAAACTGGAAAGCCTTGACATTCATCTTGAGTGAGCGAGCAATGAAAGAAAGAACTTCCATCGTGTCCTTGTTCTCCTTGTAGAGGGTGAAATGCAGGTATGGCCCGCCGAGTTCCTCCCAATTCGTCCGGTTACCCTGAGCCCGTCCAGTGTTGCCCCGTCCTGCTCCGTTTGAGTCGCGCTTGAATCGGTTATTGGCCGCGGTGATAGTCATCATGCCCTCCGCATCGGTGGTAGACTCTAACTCAGAGTTGAAGATACGGCGAATGGCCTGGTGGATTTTGGTGCGCAGGTCACGATCAGACACAGCAACACTGACTTTTCCAAACTCGCTGGGTCGACCTCTCGGCTTGGACATGGCATTTTTGTGTAGCGCAATAATTCCGGTGGCATTCTGGGCGCCAAAGTACTCGACCAAAAGAGCGTGATCCTCTTCCGAAACCTTGAACTCAGCGGGGGACGTTTCAACCTTCGTCGAGGCGGCCTCGGTCTGCTCCTTAGCCTGTGTTCCAGCCTCTGCGGCCTTGGGCACAGGTGCTGTTTGCGTTGTAGCAGGCGCATTCGTGTTTCGGAGGTGAACGACTTCGCCAGTGGGCGTAATCTCATTGACGAGGAAATCTGTATATCTGCGCGCCAGTCTTAGCACAGTTCCCAATTCAGATGACCGAATCACTCACCTTTTCTTCAAGATACCCGAGAATCCTTCGGCGTCATTGCTCACAAACTCTGTAATTCCGACCTCGACTTCCTTCAGAGCCTGCGCATCTGAGATTGCGGCGGTCGCGACTTGGGTTGCGTCATCGCCGGCGACAGCCACTTCCGCTGAGCCTGTATCTTCAATCTTCTGTCGCTTGCGCGGAGACTCCACGATATCTGGCTTCTCCATTGCGTATATTGCTCGTGATGGGTGGGACTGAATGGAGAGAGTTGAGCTCCAGGAACTTTTCTTTATCGATCAGGAATAGCGCGGTAGGGCGAACGCGGAAAAGCCCTATTACCAGATTCGGAATGGAGATAGATATGCAGTAGTTACCTATTTCCTATCTTTGCACTTGATCACTGGCACTTCTAATTACTATCAGTTGCTCGAGGTGATTCAGGTGAATCGGTGATCAGATTTATTACGTCGGTTCAGATGAAGATACACGGGGATGGTCCATGGTGTCTTCAATTCTCCAACCTACTAGTAAACATCATCTGGTGTGGGGTCAACCACACTCAGCCCCAGGCCCAGGCATACGGAGTACGGAGTACATACATCTGGAACAATGTCTTCAGAGGGGAGATGGCTTGGAAATCGGCCGCTCGGTGAATCGGATTGAAGCCACTAGGTCTATCACTCATCACCCATACCTTACGCAGTGCGGCAGTATATCACTTCAAAAGAACGACTCGTATGGACTGTCACTGATCGACCTCTTGCATATCTTACTCAGATCAATGCACATTGACAAAGATCTCGGACAAATTCAAAAGCAATAACTGCTGAAGCTACACGTGTCTATGTATACGCAGCCATCTTTCATCCGCGCTTGACAACTCAAGCACTACTAGACATGGCTAGACATAGACGACAAAGTAGCGCATGTCGATACACATTCACATCCACACCCACCAGCGCGAACGCCGCAAATCCCGCCAGAATTACGCATTACAATCCAACTCCTCAGAAGAATTTACCTAGCAAATCCGCGTTTGAATCAGTGCAACTCTAAATTCCAAATCCAACGCTGTCATCAACACAGAACTGGAATTCTGCACGCACTGAAACTCAACTAGGGATATGACCAGTCTCAGAGCCGAGCTGAGCATTATGCTGCTGATGTATTCTGCAGGGAAATCAAAATCAAAGATTGGGACGATGGTATAAAGCTGGGCTGCTTTTCCTCTGTTCTGAGTATCTATCTGTATCTGATCAGGAATCACAACCAGACAATCTCAGGCTCGGGCATTCGGTGAGTTGCTTTTCGGAGGGTTGTACTTCAACTGTATGGGAGATATAAGCTGACGATGGACTGACACTGGGAAGTATATCAGTTTCAATCCTACAAGCAAGCGAAAATGAAGTCCAACATCCTCTTCGGTGTCCTTGGGATGACTCTTGCTGTTGTTGCTGCTCCTACCGGTATGTCTCTTCCCTATGTATCCATATCAACACCCCGTACTATCCGACATAAATCAACGAGCGTGCCGTCTCTGACATTGTTGAATAGATAAGGACAGCGGCTTCGGTAAAGGCAGCGGCCTCGGCAAGGGCGAGGGTTTTGGTAGTTTGGGCGGCAGCGGCTTTGGTGGCCTTGGTAGCTTTGGACATGGCGATGATGAGGGAAAGGGGAAGGGGAAGGGTGGCTCCGGCAGCGGCTTCGGTGATCTCGGGAGCTTCGGACATGGGGATGACGATGAGGAAAAGGGGAAGGGAAAGGGAGGTTCCGGCAGCGGTTTCGGTGACTTCGGTGGCTTTGGACATGGGGATGATGAGGGAAAGGGAAAGGGAAAAGACGAGGGAAAGGGCAAGGGAAAGGATGAGGGAAAGGGAAAGGATGAGGGAAAGGGAAAGGGCAAGGGCAAGGACGAGGACGAGGGAAAAGGAAAGGATGAGGGAAAGGGAAAGAGTGGCTCCGGCAGCGGCTTCGGTGGCTTCGGTAGCTTTGGACTTGAGGATGATGAGGGAAAGGGCAAGGGAAAGGATGATGGCAAGTGGTAGGGGCTGTTATCAAGTGGATTGGCTGGACTCATGGGATTAGGGGTTAGTCTGAAGTACGCTGATGTGTGTGGAAATGAGAACTTGGCTCTGTTTTCGGGTTGACTTGCTTCCATAAGATTGGTGTGGAGAGATTATTGTATGAAAGGCCTGGGTGGATTTAAAGTATTTAAAGTGGAGGCCTACCTAGAAAAGGATTTCGATACCACATGGTAGAACGTAGAGAATGAAAGATGTCAAAAATGCTAACGCTCAGCCCGAACTCCGTTGCGATTCTTTTTTCTAACTTCCAAAAATGGAGTGTGTGCATGATACATGGGTTGCGTTACAATGTGCAGTCTGTACGGGACAAGAACCAAGCAGGTAAAAAGGGAATGCGAATGCAAATGCAAAGGACAAATAGACAAGGGGGTTGCTTGATTTACAGCTCATCTTTGGGAAGATCCTCCTTCTCCTTCTTAGGCTGCTCCTTGCCCTTCTTCCCCTTACTCTTCTCGGCCTCAGGCTTCTTCTCCTTCGAAGCCTTCTTGCCACCGTTGTTTTTCTTCTGCTGCCCAGCAGCAGCAGTCATCCTCTCATACATGCGGTTGAGGATGCGCTCGAACTCGCGCAGCCGCGAGTCAATTTCCACAACGGTGAGAGCCGGGTCATCAGACTCGGTAAGCTTCTCTTGTAAAGCCAGCTGGGTCTCGAGCCAGGGTTGGGTGGACTCGTAGGCCTCGGTTATGGCCGTCAAATCGGCCGGGGTAAAGAGGGAGTACTTGGGACCTGTGGGTTTGGCCGCGGCAGCACTCTTGGTAGAGGTGGTAGAAGACGAAGAAGCGGAGTAAGGCTCCTCGTCGAGATCATCGAAAGCATCGCCAGAAGCGGCTGGGGCTGGGGTTGACGAGCTAGATTCCGCCTCGGTAGAGGTGGAGGAGGCGCTTGAGGCCGAGAGGGAAGAGGAATAAAGCTGCTCGTCAGTCTCGATCTGGCTCTTGATCAACTCTTTCATGGACTCGGCATTCTTGAGCATGTCTTGGAGCAGCTGTACACGTGCTGGGCGGGAGGAGCTCTCCTTCGCCCGCTTCAGGGCTGGATTGACGATGGCCTTGAGCTCCTTCAGTTTGGACTGGAAATCAGCAGTAACGGCGTTGTCGCTCTCTTCATACAGCCAGTCGCTGGCCTTGGAGACCTTCTCGGAGAGAATGGTGAGCTGATCCGGCTTGATTGCCTTAACGAAATCATCGTTGTCAGCGAGATCACGGCTGCGATAGATGAAAGATTCCAATTCGTTAAGAGCCTCTTCACGTAGGACACGGTTGCGGTCCGAATCATCAAAAGCGAACAGACGGTTCTTGATGCGGCTGAGCTCCGCAGCTGATGGCGCAGGGGTTCCAAGTTCCACGGACTTCAAGCCAATCGGGATGACTTCCAACTTGGTTTGGGGCGTGGCCTTTGCCTCTTTAGATGATGCAGTAGTGGTTTTAGAGCCGGCAGAAGAAGTGGCGGAGGACTCCGTCTCGGGCTCGAGGGTGATCGATTCACGAGGTTCGCCATCTTCGCCCAGGGGCTCCTGCTCGTCCTTCTTGCCAAGCCCGAAGAAACCCTTGACGTCTTCCACAATTCCTTTCTTTTCAGATTCCACCTCGCAGCTAACGGTACCAGCCATAACTTCAGGAAGACCATCAACAGGGCTGAGACGAATCGTGAACTTGGTGGTGATGTTCGCAGTAGTGCAGCCGAAGGTATCCTTCAGCTTAGCAACAGACGCAGTCAGGTTCTGAGTCTGAACGCTAAGGATTGGCTGCTCTTCATTCTGGCCAACCTGTTGAGCGAAGCTAAACTCGAAATCCTCCAGGTTCTTCACAGTGACCTGCTTCTCAGGACCAACCTGCGAAGTGGCGGTGAACAACTTCTGGTTTCTTTCCTTGCCATCCGATTTCCACTTCAAGGAGATAGGGTACGAAGCAGCGTCACCAGTGCGGATATCCTTGACCCGGAAACTCGGGCTCAGAGCGGCCCCCTTGAAGGCAGCACCAAAGACAGCCGCTTCATCGGCGTTGACATTCGTTCTGACCTTCTGGGGAGACCCAGCGAAGTTCTCCAATTGCTTTTGAACGAATGGCGTCCGGATGGCTCCGCCGTGAAGCACAATAGACTCGATATCGCTCAATTGAAGACCGGCGGCGGTCAAAGACTGCTCAAGTGGGCCTCCAATGCGAGCAACATACTCAGCAGCCATTTTCTCGAAGTTGGCTCGGCTCAGCTTGTATTTGAAGTTGACATTCTCATCGTACAGTCCCTCGAAGCTTGTTGAAGTCTCCGTGTTAGCACTCAGAACCTGTCTAAGCTTCTCCGAATCCTTCCAAAGTCGGGACATGGTCTTTCCGTGCGCTTTGATGTCAGCGGGTGTAACCTTGCCCTTAAGCTTCTTATCCTCAGCCAATTGGGCAACCATGTCGTTGACAATGAGGTCATTGAGGGAGTCGCCTCCGAGTGACTTATCCCAGCCAGATCCAACAACGTGGACTTCCTGAATAGTCTTGTTGTACTTCCCGACGTCCTTGACCTTTCGGCTCTGGAACCGCAAAACACTCGCCGTTGTCGATCCAGCACCCATATCATACACGATATGGTACTCGGGCTTTTCTCCATCGGACACACTGGGGAAAGTACGGCTGGTGGCGTAGTTCAAGCCGACAGCTAATCCGTCACTGACAAGAGCTTGGATCTTCAGACCCGCTAGCTCAGCCGCCAACTGGAGGCTCCGCTTCTCCTCCGCGGTATAGAACGCAGGGTATGTGATGACCACATCGCGAACATCGGATCCCTTGCCAGCCAATGCCTCAGCATTGGCCTTAATCTCCTTCAATTGCATGGCCAATATCTCCTCGACCAGGAAGGCCTCCTTCTTCTGCTCCTCTCCGAGCCGGTTGCTACGGAGAGCTACAGAGCCACGACCGTCGGGGGCAGACTCCAATTTCAAAGCGGGAAACCGGCTGGAATAGCGTTGAACCGCCTCATCGGCTCCATCGTTGAACTGAATACCCAAAAGTGTCTTCAAATTGATGTAAACGTCGTCCGGGTACCGAGCGGCGAGAGCTAGCGCATTGCCACCGTAGAAACGTTCAGGAAAAGGCGCATCGTGTTCTCTTGTTGGCTTGAAGGCGATAGCAGCGGACTCCTTGCGCTTCGAGTCTTTGCTGAGGACGATCTCGAGGGGGATGCCGGGTTTCACGAGGGCCGCCTTGAGATATTCGGTGCCGATGTCAAGGCCCAGGACGGCCGATCCGGCGGCAGAAGCTGGTCCAGCGAAGCTGAGGAGGAATATGAGGAATGGGAGAACGATGAGGGATAGCATTGGCGAGCTGGATAAGTGCCGACGATTTGAGAACGCCATGATCTCTGTTTAGGCTCTGGGCTGCGGGAGTCAGCCACGTTGCCGATTGGGGTCGCGGGTTGCAATTTCACAGGACAAAATTTACCCTTGTGCACTCGTATATAGGCAACCCAACAGATTGGTTTTTGCGCGCTCCACCGGTTGCCGAATAGTTTATCAGATGGCTTTGCGCCAGGCGGAATTTCGTGTGGAGCTATGGGAGCTTGAGATTGGTGCTAAGGTAGGGATTCGCTGGGACGAAAAGATGTAATAGAAAGAGTGATTACAAGAGATGACTCAGAATTCGGCCATCTGGAACCTTGGGAGTAAAGGGATACTGTGGCCACTTGGCGGTTAGTAACTTGAAGCCTGAATGAGCTGTTGGATGAGGACACGGGTCATCATGCAAACATGCATGCCAAGATATGATGTTTGCACTGCTTATCGTTATCGGCTATGTCACAGGCTACAGCCCTAACTTTAGACAGGCTCAGACAAGCCCTAATCCCTATTGCAATTGATGAGGCAGTAGATAGGTTTGTACATAATGGAAAATACTATTCATAAACAACCTAAAACTAATAACTATATGTACGACTATGTTAAGGGTCCCAAAATTATGGATAAGGAGCGTCAAGTCGTCAAGAAAACCCATTAATAACCGTCATCCTACTGGAAGTCTGGAACCCAGCCTTCGAAGGCGTGGATTGGAAGAACAGAACATGGTCACTTCCACGGCGGATATGCCAAATCTTTTTTTGGGCTTTTTTAGTTTTTTTCTCAACGTGATCGTGCAGCATGATATCATGGCTCGTGTGATAAATTAGATTTCCGCATAAACCAATTAGAGCAGAGCGAACAGAAGAGCCAGGCCAGGAATCAAGGCCGCTGCAGACTTCTGGAGAGTCGTAGCACTGTTGAAAGTAGGCGAGGGAGCAGGAGGAGCGGAGGTCGAAGAAGAGACAGGCTTCGGCTCAGTGCTCGAAGGAGGCTCCACCACAGAAGTTGAGGAAACAACGGGAGGAACTGTGGGCTCGGTGGGAGGAACAGTAGGCGCAGTCGGAGGGACTGTAGGCTCAGTCGGAGGGACTGTAGGCTCAGTAGGAGGGACTGTGGGCTCAGTAGGAGGGACTGTGGGCTGAATACAGCCCTCGGTGCAGGTGGCGACAGAAGTCACGGTGATCGTGCTGGTCTGAGTCACGGGATGGGTGAAGGACGTAGAGCCGCTGGAGATGGTAGTCCAGGTCACTAGTTATATTAGCAATTGCGACCAAGGCATTAGTCCCATTTCAACATACCTGGGCAAGTAGTAGTGGTGAAGGTAGTGGTAATGATGACCGGAGGAAGCGTGGTAGTGTCGGTCTCACAGGGAGTGGTAGGTGCAGGAGGAGTGGTCGTATCGGTCTCACAAGGAGTGGTAGATGCAGGAGGAGGAGTGGTAGTGTCTGTCTCGCAAGGAGTGGTAGACGCAGGAGGAGGGGGTGGTAGTGTCTGTCTCACAGGGAGTGGTAGACGCAGGAGGAGGAGTGGTAGTGTCTGTTTCACAGGGAGTGGTAGACGCAGGAGGAGGAGTGGTAGTGTCTGTCTCACAGGGAGTGGTAGATGCAGGAGGAGGAGTGGTAGTGTCGGTCTCGCAAGGAGTGGTAGACGCAGGAGGAGGGGGTGGTAGTGTCTGTTTCACAGGGAGTGGTAGACGCAGGAGGAGGAGTGGTAGTGTCTGTCTCACAGGGAGTGGTAGATGCAGGAGGAGGAGTGGTAGTGTCGGTCTCGCAAGGAGTGGTAGACGCAGGAGGAGGGGGTGGTAGTGTCTGTTTCACAGGGAGTGGTAGACGCAGGAGGACGAGTGGTAGTGTCTGTCTCGCAAGGAGTGGTAGACGCAGGAGGAGGAGTGGTAGTGTCTGTCTCACAGGGAGTGGTAGACGCAGGAGGAGGGGGTGGTAGTGTCTGTCTCACAGGGAGTGGTAGACGCAGGAGGAGTGGTAGTGTCGGTCTCGCAAGGAGTGGTAGTTGCAGGAGGGGCAGTTGGCGTATCAGTCTCGCAAGGTGTAGTGGTCTCAATAGGGGGAGTCGTCTCGGTCTCACAGGGAGTCGAGGTAGGCGTGACAACAGGAGGCAGAGTTGGGGTTGGAGTATCAGTCTCGCATGGGGTTGTGGTAGGCGTCACAACCGGGGGAATAGTCGGAGTGATAGTAGGCGTATCGGTCTCACACGGGGTGGTCTCTACGGGAGGAGGCGTCTCGGTCTCGCATGGAGTGGTTTCCTCCGGGGGCGGCGGACGCTGGGTGTATGTTGGCCGGCCACCATGACCTCCATTGCCGCCCCAGTTGCCGCCCCCGTTGCCGCCCCACCAGGGGCCGCCGCCATGACGGTCTTCATCACCGCCGCGGACAGCAATGTGGGCCTCGCCAGCATCTCTAGGAGTGATGACTATGCCCGATGCCAACGTGGCGGCGTAGAGCAGAACGATTGGAGCGCTCCGCATATCGACAAACGAATGATCGATATGTACTTGGATAGGTAGAGTGGTGATAGGGCTGATAATATCCTTTGAAACGAAAGGCAGCTGGAACCGTAGCGAGAGAGTTCCTAAAGGGGTAATAAGTTGTGCTAGAATCAAGCCTGACGGGCGAGGGAGAAGAGGGCTGTTTATATACCGTCCCGCGAGTTCGGGTGCTATCTAGAATCCTAATTCCGGTCTGTCTGACCTACAAGGTTGTCGGCTCCGCTATGGGGCCATCCGCCGAGTGTGGGACAACCGGTACAACGCTGGGCACTTAAGACAGACCAAAGTTTGAAAATGTGGCGTCCTGTTTGTTTTCCCTAGACCCGGCATGAACGATAAACATCAAGCGGTCAACCCGCCATACTTGCCAGCGAAGAGGCTGGTGATGATGTAGGCTATACCGTAACCCGGATATTGAGGTAAAAGCTAGTGCATGTCTGTACAAAGGCCTGGTAAACTAGGCGACCAGGTACTGGGGCTGGGCCAATGATAATCTGGCCAGGTCTCAGATTTGGCGTGTGAATTCATCTTACTCGATTACCAGGGCGTAAATATGCCGCATTGAAAGATATCAGAGCCCGACACTCCAGCGGATTGGCCAATTGACTCCGGTGATGCAGGTCACTGCTTGGAAATGCAATGCGGGAGATAGCTCTGGGATGGTCCGGGATGGTACCCATGTCTAGGCTTCCCTAGTGGGCGTATTGTCTCTCCTCGTTCTCCTCATTTGGTCGATAGAGAGATCACAATATCCACCTAGGCAGGATTTCGGAAAATATACGTCATTACAGCGAGTTAAGAATAACTCTCATAGCTCCGCCATGTGGTGAGATAAGATAGGTTTTTGTGGGGCGAGAATGACAGAAACATTCCAAGGTTGGGAAGCCGGGAACGTACCAGAGACATAGATTGTAAGGTTCCATGGTAGATTAGGAGAATAATAATATAGAATTCTGGTAAGCGACAAAAACACTTCTGTTTTTCAAGGTTGGAGAGGAAATTGGATGACCAGCGTGCATTTGGGGAGGTCTAGACTTGGCTCATTGGTCCCTAGAGGGTCTCGTCTGTGACCCGTTCCAATATGATCGGACCCAATTCAGTTCTCTGTGGATCAACCCGTCAGTGAAGTTGATACTACACGGATCATATTCATTGACGAGTCAATAATTTCCACCAGGTTAGTACATGTAGTCACTTTCGACTAGACGTGGACGTGTTCCTGGACAAGTGCCTCATGCAGGTGAGGTTACATGCGAGAGTTGTCTCCTATGGACTTGAAAGTGGAATATGTGAGACAGGCTCTGAGAGCTTTGTTGATGTGACACCAAAGGGATCCCATGGGCGTGGCAGGGAAGTTTCCAAGATCTCTACGGTAGGTACTTCCAAGATCCCCGTTTCTTTTTCTTTTCTTTTCACTCTATTTCCTCGTTATTTATTTTGATTGGTATTTTGTTATTCCTCTTTCTAGCCGAGAACATGCCCAATGGCCATCATTTTCGGAGTTTGTGAGACTACTGTGTACCTCGTTCATCATTCATCCTTTCTGTGTAATCGGAAGTCTAAACGTTGAATAAGTCTCCAGTACTGTACACTGGAATTTCTAAATGGACTAATGACGCCCCCGATCTTTGGGGGGAAAACGCAAATTGATGGTGGGACCGTGGGGTAGACAAGCTGTTGCATCTCCGGAAAACGTCCCTATCCCTGTTGTCCGCTGCAAGTTCGTTGTACGAGTAAATGAACTTCATCATTGCCTAAGAGTCACGCATCGCTAAAGCATCATGGATTCTGGATGATCGCCAGTTCATTTTGACCCGAAGAAAAAGAAAGTGCCAGAAAACAGTGCCCGAAGAGCGGGGTCATCGTTTCCAAGGAAACATGTTGGGGATGTCGTTTATGGTTTATTTTTAAGGCATTGTCTTAAACTCTCTGCCCACATGTCCGGGTCCGAATTGGCTATGAAAACATGACGGTGGAGTGAGGAAGTCCCAGCCTCTAGGAAAGATTGTGCGAAAGCAGAGGGGCGGATCCGGGGCGTATGATCGCATTTCGCTCGAGTCATCATGTGGCGCCTTTATACCAGTCATCACTTCTGGAACACTAGAAAGATAACGATGCACACTAAAGCCGGAATACTAGTACTCTCTGAAAAGTGGGCCTCAAGCCACAGGATTATTATGTCTTGTGCGACAGGGCTAGATAGTGGGACGAAGAACAGATTAACTACGGACTATCGTACCTACAACATCCGATGCAATGAGTGATTGCCAGCCGAAACCGGTTATATTCCCTGACACGTTTTTATTGCATGATATCGATGCTGCTCTTTCCCATTTGTGAGAACCAGTGTCTAATCGTCTTCATCGTCCGAGCCACTGCTCCACCCTGTCTCGTAGAATTCTCGGATCTCGCCGAGTCCATTCACCAAAGCCTCACGCTCATCGACTGAGAGCGAGCGAGCAGCAGTTGCCGCCAGAGCCTTAATTTTCTGAGATGTTCGTGTTGAGGCCGTCAGTGCGCTAAACACGTTCACCCCAGTACCTGCGTCGGGGTTGGGGAACATGTCATGTGGGAAGCTGTCAAGGATAGGCAGTCTGAGTGGCGCGTGGAAACTATAAGATAGTAAAGAGTGCGTGAGCATCCGGCTGAGACATTGAAAATTCAAGGCGCAACATTCAGAAACCTACCTCTGAAGCATTGATTCGGAGTTGTAACGCCTGACTTTGCGAATGTGTCCAATGTCCCTGTCCTCTGCGGACTCGCTGCTCCTTTCCATTTCATCGCCTCGCGTTACTTGGACTTGGTTGAAGATATGAGCGCCGTCGCTGTACTCGCCATCATAGGCGAAGTCAATGTCAAATTCAGTCTTGGCTTTTAGCGGCTCGTCTTCGCTGGAGGGTTCTTTGTGATGCCCATCACCGATTGTATTCTTATTAATGGAAGACTGCAATTCGAAAATGGTGTGCGTGCCATCTTCTCCCGCGAGGGATGCCTCAAAATGCTGATATGGCCGCAGTCGGGAAGGCAGTGTGACTGATTCGATGGCTGACGCTATCAGGGCAGTCTTCTGCCATTCTGATTGGCGATCAACATTGAGGTAGTCAGGCGTCTTCTTGGGAAGGTCGATGATTGGGGCATATAGCGAGGCCTGTGGGACGATCGAGTAAAGCGACCTCGCCTTGTTCGTATCCTTCTTGGACTGGTGTTGCTATATAAAGTTCGAAACTTAGCCAACAGAGCTCGCAACTTTTCAAGATGGAATAACTGTCTCACTTACCCGCTGTGTCCTGGTGCCGTCTTCGATAGCCCAGAACCAGATACTTTTCTTTCCAAACTCATCTCTCAATCTTTCCATATATTGGGCTGCGAATCCGCCCCAGGCATCATCTGACCCGGAGAACAGTTGGAGTGCCCGCAAATGATCACATTTTTCAAGGAGAGGTCTCAGATCACGATCCAGCAGGTCGTGCTCCTTGTCAAGGTCTTTGAACAGTTCTTCGCCAACATTCCAATCCTCGAAAGGCATGGTTTGTGAGTTCAGTTCGTATTCATTCAATTGAACAATGGACCTGGGATGATAGTACACTCGGTTATAATCTGACCAGTAGCGTACGGACTCTGAGGTTAAGCGGGGGGCGGGAGTGCCTAAATCCAAGCTTTTCTGATATTCACTCTGCTGAATCGGATTCTGCTTTTGGATAATCTCTTTTCCGTCCCTATCCAACATTAGTTGAGAGTCCATCTTTGTCCATTCGAGCCGCATACCATAAGCCTTGGCCGGCTGTGGAGTCTTCCGTCAACTCGTAAAGTGCATTATATCTGCGCAACGTGCCGAACCCGCCCTTCAGATCGTAGATTACTGTGCGCGGAGTGTAAGTCTCGGAGCCATCTGCGCCAACACCTGGTCGGAAGTGAACGTCATGATCAATGTCAGACTGTTCTGCATCGTTGTATGTGAAGTATGATTCCTGGCTTTATATCAGACCGAACTTCATGCGTAATCGAAAGATGAGAATTACCTGCAGATTCCAGAAATGTGTCGCTAAATAGTTAGCCCTCTGGCCAAGCTGAAGAGTAACAATTTCATGCATATTTCTGAATGCAAGGAATAGTTTGAGTGTAGCCCCTCAATCAATTTTGATATCGACGAGGGCTAGTCCTGAGACGCACAGACATAACCAAAAATGACGCTAGTCTTGATGTGGGGTGATAATCGCACGTGAGCACTTAACTGGATCGAGGAAGGTGCGATGGGTCACCAGGGCAACAGTCACCTGACCCTCCCAAAGTGGGCAATAAACATGTTTGTGTGGGTGCATCACCACCCTAACTCCACAACGGTGATTTTCCCTCGTGAGATCTCATTTCCCATCCCTGTGATGAGTCCTTTGACCCTGTGATCTTTATCGGTTGGATCCATTACTCGTCACGAACCAACTGCGATGGAGTCACCAACGCGTCCCATCCTGAGCCCCTCAAAAGCGCTTCACCCGGTCTCACCGGAACGCATGAATCAACAAACCATACCTGCCTCTCCCTCGCTCCCCGCCGACCTTCTCTCACTACATCACAAGAACACCCGAGGGGTCTCGGAAGTTCAAGCCAAAGTGGCATTCTTAAACGGTCTCACTCGAAGTGGCAGCCCCGCCAACGCAGCCAACAATGCCGCTGTACAAAGGGCTATCCTGGGCCGCGAGGAAGCTGAGTCCGCCTTGGTAGCTGCACAAGAGGAACTACGGGAAGCAGAAACGCGAGAACGTCGAATCAGCGAGCGCCTCGAATCATTGCTAGAAGAACTACATGGAACGAAAGAACGCCAGGCACAAGAACGATCGATTTTTGAGAAAGAAATTCGGAAGGCTCGCAAAGAAGCTTTCCGAGCTGGATCGACCTTTGTGAAGCTTCAGGAAGAACTGAAGCACGCGAAGTCGGAAGTCAAGGCACTGAAAGAGGAATTGGGGGCAGAACGCGAGGCGAAGGAGAAGGCCAATCAGGAGGCATTTGAACGTGCTTATGCTCTTGCCGGCTTGACAGAGGAACTTGAGGTTTTGAAAGAGAAGTTCCGCGCTCTCGAAACAGACAATCATTCAAGTACCCTTGAAGTTCGCGCCCATGAGATTCGGAAAGAAGACTTTGGAAGACTGTCTTTGATGGAGGGTGACCTGGCATTTTTGACTACCCCGCGAAGACCGAAGCGAGCTGCTGCGGGATCTGTTCGATCTCCTGCTCCAGTACGCGAAGAAGACCACGCTGAAGCCACCCCTCCTAAACGCCCGCGTCTGTCCGACTGCGCACCAACAAACACTGAGGGCGAAGATGCCGCACCAGAACCGGCGTCTGCCGAACTAGAAGAGGATACGTTGGAGGAAATAAAGGAAGAGCTCGTGTTTGAACGCCGTCGCAGAGTTGCCGCCGAGGATATGGTGCACTTCTTGAATATCGAGTGCCAATTCGAACGCTGCTCTTGTCGGATTGCCGAAAGCCAAGGTCGTCGCTACATCTACGACGCCGAATATTATAACAAATTCCAGAAGCCTCAGATTGAGGCCGAGGAAAGAGCCCGTGCTGAGCAAGCCAGCACCCAAGAGGCTAGTGTTCGAAGTGCCCAGCTTCATGGAGCTAAAACTCCGGAAGCCAGCCCTCCACCCGCACCCCCAGTCCATCGATCCCCTGTTCACCAAGCTATCACTACTCGGGGCAACTCCCCTCAGCCCAGCGTGCACCAGGAGGAAACCGAGTCAAGTCGAACCCCTCTAATCGCACCGCCTGTACCTGCTCACCACCATGATGTGTCTTCTGTGCAAGCCGAACCTACGGATCATCCCAAGATGCAGATGCCAGATGAGCCCCTAGTGACATTTTCTCCAGAGACTGGGACATTCACAACTTTCCCATCGCCCCTCAGGGATAACGTCCGACCTCTGCGATTGGATCTTTTTGAAACACCCAGTCTCAGTGAGCCGCAGCCAGCTGCTCAAGCAGATAATTTCCATGTCTCTACATCCCCCGATCAACATATTGACTCTTTCACCCCATCTGGGGAGCCGGCACCGGTTAGGATGCCCCGAGCCGTTCCGTCTAATGGCGCTTCTGGACATCCGCATGCAGCACTCTCAGCAGAAGCAAGACCATCGAGACGTGTGGAGAGGGAGCCTCATGGACACCGTCAACCCATCAATCCCACGAAGAAAGTCCCTCTCCGACACGAGCAACAATCACAACCCACATCACACCCTGGTGTCCCCGATACACCCATTGACCGCGAACAGGCTCTAGCGCAGATCAGGGCACGAAGAGGACGCGCCCACAGCAAGCAGCGATCAGTCAGTGCCAATGAAGCTAGCCGCGCAGCTCGCGCCTCAGCGGGGTCTAACCCGGCCTCTGGCTCGGCCTCTGTTCGGGGACCTCGGCGCCTTCCGAATCCCAGTCTTCGTGCTGATTCGAGGAGCGAGAATGACCTTGGTGAACGCCGGGACTTGAGTGCTCCAGTCCGAATGTTCCGACGTTAACGAATGCTTTGGGAAAAGTTCCAAGATGCGTGTACATGTGTTTCTTTTTGCATAGTTTGCCGGTGCTTGTCTTTTACCTAATACCCCCCGGCGCTCCCTCGATTTTCTGGTTATTTGCGAGGTGATTGGCCATATGTTTTGTATGATTTTACGTTTTGATCTCTCAGCTTCCAATGTCCAAGGTCCTGAGTCTTGCTATACTTGCATGTACTCACTTTCCCTACTCCGATCCCTACCTCTCATACAATTTCGGCTTCAGTGTCTGTCCCTCATTTTGGATTTCCTATGTCATTTCTTCTTCATTACAAGTCATGCATTCATACACTGCATATTTTCAGATACAAGTCAAGTACTTCCTTTGCTGTGGGAAAGTCATCCTTCCAGCAACCTAGTACCTTTTATATCCCCATGATAACCAGGGCACTGAGAATCGTTGAAATCACCCAAGCGTAGATCGAGGTTATCATCAATAAAGAACTGTCGTCGAGCTATGGAACAAGCTAGTGCTTATATCCATGTGTAGAGATACTGAAAGTAGTTGGTGGTGGCCCATGGTGCTGTTAATCTATACTTTTATAGTTCCTTTTTTTGTGCAAATAGTGATATGACACCAAAAAATGTATGTTGACGTACAATGCATACTATATTACTAACAATTGACTGTTCACGAGGGAGACGCTTCCAACATACCGCAGAGAACCAGCCTCTACAAAACTGAAATCCCACAACACCTAATCCTCGCACTATCAACCTTCGCCCCACGACCCCACCACAAAGAAACCAACTCCTCAACAAAGACCCGGTCCGTAGCACTCCACACATCAAGCCCCATCTCCGCCATGTCCGCCACCGTAATGGTAACAGTATCATCCGCACTGCAGTCCCGATGACCAGCACTAGCCCCATGACGGGCTGATGCACTCGCGCTCGACCGCTGCCGAAGCAGAGGCGAGGAGCCCTCGTCGCCGTGGATAGAATCACGGGACATGGAAAGCGAAGCATCGGTCTCATCGTCCGGGTCATCGATGTATGCGTCGTCATTGTAGGCGTCGTCATCCACGCAATCGTTGCGAGCGATGGCGCCAGCCAGCGTGACGAAGATCTGCGAGGTCAGACGGCGGAAGTACGCGACTAGCGCGATTTCGGGCGGCTGGTGATCTTCGTGATTGAGGGGGGTGCGGGGTTGGCCGTTGGCTGAGGCTGGATTGTAGGGGGGGGTGGGCTAGGCTCTCGACGCTTGCCAGAAGGCGAGAGTCCTGTTCGATTTGGTGTTCTTCTTCTTCCTCGGAAAGGCCTTCGCGGTTTTCGCCGGCGGAGGCCCACCAGATGAAGGATGTGTAGGCGAGGCGAGTCCAGGAGAGGGGCTCGACGACGGGGCTGGAGGAGTAGGTTGAGTCTGTGTCTGAGGTGCTTGATTCTGGTGGGGCTGGGCCGTCGTTGCCGAATCGGCGAAGGCCGCGGCGGAGCATGGCGTAGCGGCGGGCGTCGCGCTGTGTTGCTTTTAGCGGGATTTGTTGTGTTTGGTTGGCTTTGCCACCTGTGTGGTGGACTAATGTGATTTTGGGAAAGGTTCGCTCGGCGCTGTGTTGCGCGTATGGTGCGGGGAGAGTGATGAGTACGTCGAAGAGGTCGGGTTTCATGGTCAAAACTGTGTCTGTGGAGCATGCGATCCAACTCGGGTCTGTTTCAAGGTCTATTATGCTGCGCGACGGGTCGAAAGAGGATAGGTAGGGGATATCATGGATGCCGACATTGAAAAGAGGGCGAGGCCGTAATGGTGGCGTGCGATCGTCGGGGAGGAGCTGGAGGAGGGAGTTTGGTAATGACGCTAATAGAGATAGATCATATACTGGGTTCTGGTCAGCGGTAAATCAAGCGCAATGAGCATGAAGATGCGTACCATAGTTGCAGGTTGTGTGTACGGGAGCCTCGCACATGAAGAGAACCCTCTTGCGCAGCAGAGCTGCCCTGTAGAGGGGAAAGATCAAAGGACCGAAGCAATCCACGAAATCAGGAAGCGATGAGGCAGGATGGAACGGCGTCAAGGCCGGCCTAAACGTTTCCAATACCATTGCATCGCTGAAGGCGCGATTGCGACTCGAATGGGATGGCCGCTCGCCGGGTCGGAATCGGACACTGAGGGGCGAGTCGAGGGGTGACTCGGGGGCTGACTCGGATCCTCCAATCTTATATGCATCCCAATAATCGCAGAGGTCTTGCATATTCGACATGTTGTCGGCATATTTCCTGTATCAGTGTCAGTTGATATCTCATCCGTCGGGGGTGCCAGAGGATACGAACAGCGTCAGTTCCTTCAGCCTTGGAGCGTGTCGCCAACTCTTCCCCAGTCTACCAGTGCTAAGGGGCACCAGAACACCGATCGCAAACATATTCGCATTGCGCTCAGCCTCTGTGGCGGGATGGTTGAGGAACGCACTAATACCGGCATATTGTTCATGGACGAAGTACCTGGAAGAAGAACACGTAAGAAAGATGCAGCTTGAAGCTTTTGGGGGCCTTGAGAAACTTACACCAGGTCTTCGGTCACATTGTGTAGCCCGGAGGGCAGCGACTTATATTCCACAACTCCTTCAATCTCCACTGTTCACCCGGGCAGTCAGTATCGGGCGTTGGAACGATTGTCGCCGCGGCAGAATGATTGATTGCTCACCTCCCGGTATAGTTCGCTTCCATGAGACCACGTATCTGTTGTCGCGGGGAGTCAGCGATGAGTTCCGGAGCTTTGCAGCTGCGATCACCAGGGGCAGGAAGAGGAATTACCCGGTCCTTATGTCGAAGCTGATAAGGAATAAGGCGGCAATGCCCGGTGGCGACTCCATAGAGGAACGTGGGACATTAACTCCCAAGTGCCTAGGGGGTTCGGTTGCCATTGTCAAGGATAATCATGGAGAGCGACGCCATTCAAGACGAGTCGGGGAATCACGGTAAGTTGAGGGGTGAAGCTTCGTAAGGGTCCGGGGGACCTTGGCTAGGCGGAGTAAGTGCCTGAGGCAGCCACCCAAGATCCGTTAAGATATGAGATCCATAGATCACATTCACAGCTGAGGCTCTGGATACTTCTAAACATGCTAGGACTAGGAGATAAAGAAATTACTACTCATGGAGGTATTTTCAGTGCCGCTACTTTACTTTCATTTTCAATATTGATAAGTGCCTATCTCATGAAACACCAGTCCATAAGGTTCCATCTTCCTCTGTCTCCAAATTGCCTGAGATGGGGTCTTCATGATATACTTCCCAGCCATGGAGACATAAGGAAGCCGCCATGAGAGGGCAAGAGGGATCCATTGCAAAGTGTACAAGGCTCATTCAATGGTGCTGCGACCTAGAGGTCACTTCACAGGCCACTTCACTGCTGAATGAAAAAGGTCCAGCCTTGCAAGGGATCCCCCCTTCCCTCTCATCGAGGCTTCCTGATGTCTCCATGACAAGGAAGTACGATTGAAGGGAGGGGCAGGATCACTCGGGCCAGGCGAGGCCGAGGGCAGTGATAACCCTTTCGGTGGCATCACGGTTCTTGCCGGAATCATAATAAACTGCGCCAATTATGGCTTCCATGGTGGTAGCCATGGTCTTCCTTCCGACCGGTAAGTCCCACTGGGCCGGGTTCTTCACGATGAAAGATTCAAGTCCCAGGGCAAGGCCCTGGGCATACAGGTTGTCATTGGAGGCCACATTGGTGATGACGTTCTGAATATGCCCTGTTGGTGACACCATACTCAGCATACGTGAGAAATAGTCATTGCTAAGGGAGGGGGTGCTTACCTGGAAGTCTGTTCCTCTCTCGGCCTTGAACAACAAAATAGAGACGGTGTTCCGCATCGCCAACCATTGCGAGGGTCTTTGGACCGTTCGGGTTGAGAGCATTAGGGGCTTCAAGAGCCTCACGGATCAAAGCTCGGTTGGTAAACCGATAGGCTTGTCCGAGAACCACATTCTCGAAAGTTTCGATTTTCTCGTCCGAGAGGGGATGCATGAAGACAACCATGGCGGAATCTCAAAGTGTGTTGATAATGATGATATAGTTGATTATTGTGTCAGAAGCAATGGATCGTATGGGAAGTAAGTGAGAAATGAGGAGGAAAAAAGAGCATCTTATACAAAATGAAGAGGGAGATAGAAAGGCAAGCCAGATGGGCACAGCCCGACAAAATGGCTAGGAATAGTCATGTTGGGCTTATGTTGTGCTCAGCCTCACTTTTCTGTTGGCCGTAACCACCTCGTAGGGTACCCATGCGTGTTATTCCTTGTCTGTAGCAGCTTGCAGGTGCACGGGAATGTGCCCATGTATCCAGCTTGTAAGTTGTGGCGAATCATCATTGGTAATGCGAGATGTGCCACTTTGGATTTCGAAAAGAATCAAAGAGAGTAAACTGGTGGCTGTTGGCAGGTCTACTGCCTGCTTGTCTCAGACGAAGGGCAGGTTGTTGCAATTGCTTGCACAGGGATCGGATTCCGATTGTGTTTCTTTGTTGTTCTTCTCTCTCTAAGGGGTTCAGGTGGAAGGCTGGGTAGGCTGTACTTACAATACGCTGATCTCTAGCTATTTCAATCGCCATAAGGATAGGAGAGATTCCTCATTTTTGCTTTTGCTCGTGACTGTCAAGCGTGAGGCCTCCCTCAAAAGCTTCACAGATTACAGGGGACGTTGAGCGGCATATACTGTGTAGAAGATGGGAATCGACACGGGTGCATGGAACCATACACTCTCCCAAGTAGAGAAACGTGGGTAGCTGTTTTGGACTTGGTTTGGCTGTGGGAGACGTTTGATTCCAATCAGATTATCAGAAACATACTTGGTGTAAAAGATCATGAGAGATGAGGATGAGACAAGAAGGGAAAAAAATTAAAAAAAGAATTAGCATGTCCTGGTTTCGATCCAGGGACCTCCGGGTTATGAGCCCGGCGCTCTTCCCCTGAGCTAACATGCTGGGGTGTTATTAGTATCCGGCAGTTTTGCCATTATAAAGCAAAACTTGACTTTTCTCAGTTCTCGCTCTCTTAGTACACAGTAGGATGCTTCGTCAGTTACCCTTGGGCCTTACCTCTACGAACCGATGAAGAAATGTCACAGCTAGTCAGAGTGTCAGACCAGTGATATGTAGCCAGATAAAGCAGCTGCCAAGGTTGCTTTACGAGGTTTCATGGTGGGGACTGAGTAGAATGAATGACTATGGTAGTTTACAAGAAATTTGAGCAGCATGTTACACAGTAAGACATTTTCAGATTTTCTTCAGCGGATTATAGTAGCAAAATTCCCGAAAACTGATAACACCCCAGCATGTTAGCTCAGGGGAAGAGCGCCGGGCTCATAACCCGGAGGTCCCTGGATCGAAACCAGGACATGCTAATTCTTTTTTTAATTTTTTTCTTCTCGCTCTACCACCAGCCTCATGGCTGAGCCAGACACAAAATGCCGCCCTTGTACGGCGCGTCGGCGAAAATGTCACGGCGGTGCGTGCCTTCTTGTTTAAAATCGTGGGTTCCGCCCAGTTGCCATCGCTGCCTTAACATGAAGTCGCCGAACTTTGTACACCACACGAGAGCTCGGCGCATCCATCATAGACTACTGTAGATGTATATGTGAGGGGAGTCTGAGAGATATGTGACCAACGATCTTGTCTTTATGTACACGACCCCGCAACGAAACATTTTGGTCTTCCACATAACGCTCACTTCCAGGTTCAAAAAAACAATCCCACAACATTAGTTTCGTCTCTTTATCCTAATTCGCGCCCCAGAAGGCGGCATCAGAGCCTCAGCCATCCACCGATTCGCAGGTCTCTGTCCATTATACTCGGCCGGAAACTCGACGTCGTAATTCATCAGAAGATAGGCAACAATCATCTTGACCTCAAAGTCAACCAGGAACCTACCCGGACATGAATGGCCTCCATGTCCAAAGGGCAGATGCTCCGGTGAAGTTGAGACAAAGCTCAGATTACTCGCGGTAGACCTGCCTTGCGCGTCTTTGGGAGCCTGTTCGCGGACCCGAGAGAACCTGAAAGGATCGTACTTGAAAGGATCCTCGAAAGTTTCGGGATCGCATTGGAGCGGACGACCCAGGAAGGAGACGTATGTGCCTTTGGGAAGCTCGATACCATCTTCTGTCTTGATCCCCTCGACTAGGACCTTGCGGAAGACACCCCGGTTGGTGTTTGAATGCAAACGCATGGTTTCACGAGCCACACTGTCGGATTTGATCATCTGCGCAACTTTGTACTTGGTCCATTTGGTATTGCTGTCCGGACCGATGATATCCTTCACTTCGTCTCGAAGGACGGAGATAGTATTGTATTGGGGGTTTGAGCTGACGATGTTGAGTATAATGTTTGTTACAAGCAAGGTTGTCTGATGCACGGCTGCAAAATTGGCAAAACACAGCCGTCTGGACATGCTGGGAAGGTCGTGCAGTTCGCGTGGTCGCTCTTTCTGGGCGTAGCGGAGCATTTGCTGGAAGAGATCCTGCGGTGCTTCGCTATCGGGCTTTCCCGCGCTGTCCTGCTGGCTCAATGCTTGTACCCGCTGGCGATAAATCGGCTCTACTTCTTTCTTGACCCGTTCGATGTTCCGACGGATACTCATCGTAACTAACGGGCCAATAATTGGGCGCAGAAGACGTGGAGTAGCGCCGGTCAGACCTCCGTTCATCACTATCCCATCATTGACCTTCCAGCAGGCTCGAAGATACGCCTCGTTGCGGGCTATCGTTGTCCAGTTAGAAAGGTAATATATCAGTAAGAAAATGGAACGCACCTAGAGGAAATCCTACGGTAAATCGACTCGCTGCGGCAATAATGACCATTCGAATTGTTTCCAACAAATCGATTTCTTTCCATGACTCTGTATCGCATCCAATATACTTATCGAATGCATACTTCAATTCCTCGTTCATACCATCGCAGACCGCCTCCAGCTTGGAATTGATATCCGACTTGACAAGCATACAAGGCCAGGGATCGGCTTTGTATTTTTCATTGCCAAGTGAGTACTTCAGTTGAACAAGTTCCAAGACTGCGTCGGCGTGACTAAGTTCCTTTTCAGGACGGGCCATAATATCCCGCATTGTGCTTTGAGGCAAGACGATGTCGTGGCGAAATCCAAGTCCCGGGAGAAGGACTGTCTTGCCATGTTTGGTATACTTGATTCAGATCAGTATCGCTGTCAATAAGAGTGCAGAAGAACGCACTTTGTCATATGTTTCTTTGTATAGAGCCTCGCAGTCAGTATAGTACCTCCATCTCGTTCGCCAGCTGAATGTTCTTTTCCCTTCAGGCTCACCAGCTAGCGGGAGATTGGCGGGATATTTAATGGCAAAGAATGCTTGATAAATAAGAAAAGTGCATGCTACTAGAGCAGGAAACAGCACTGAAGCCCATGCCTTGTACTCTTCAGCAAAAGACTGCAAGAAAGTAGAAACTCCCATTTTTTGGAATGGGGGCTGCTGGTGTTGCTTATCCTTTCTGTTCAGATCTTGATTCTGAAAGTCTTTGGGACTCATGTCAGGGCAGTGACTGGGATATTTAGCCTCATAATACCGGACTAGAGTTACTAAGCTGAATACAAGCTAGCGTTTGCCAACAAGACAATTGTTTCTGGTATTTTCCGACTCGATCCTGGCCGATAACGGCGTGAGTGACGGATGTAACTATGTGATGGGGGCTACGAGACATGAAGAAGATGAGCAGATACGAGGATCCACTCCCCTGCATGACACGTTCCTCATCAAACAACCCGGTGTGTCAATTAGATCAGTTCTCTAATTCCTGATTCTTACGAGGTAAAGGCCACATGAATGAAAGACAGTATCGAATATTTTACATTCTTTGCGGAGTGATCGTAAGAAGGTTACCTATTGCCATCAACTGGGATGCCTATTCTACGGACCCATGAGGCTTATCTCGAGGTAAGCAACAAGGCTCAATGGCAGTTCAAGGTCTAAAACAAAAGTACGTTCATATAATATTTAAAGGATTCTATTTAGATCCACCGACCCGATCCACGCAGCCCAGTGCTTAGCCTAGTGCTTAGTGCTTACTCTTTGCACAGACCCCTTACCCGTGCCTTGACTGAACCGTCACCCTCCTTGGGAAAGGCGAACCCGCGCGTATGGTATACATCCATATCTTTCTGTGTCGTTTCGAATAGCTCCATATCTAAGGATGTTGCAACCCTTGCGATACCGAGGTAGAGTTTTGCATATGCCAGGCTAGAGATAAAGAATTAGCAACAGATCCAAGTGGGCTACAGGGAAGACCATACTTGATACCAAGGCATGCTCTGCTGCCCTTGCTGAAGCTGACCATGTATTTGTCGAGGTTGGTACCATCTTGTGCAGCCTTGACCCAACGCTCCGGATCGAAGATTTGAGGATTGGGAAATATGGAAGCGTCGTTATTGACCAGGTAGGTTGACTGGCTGACTGGTGTCTACTTTTGTGTCAATAGTGAGAGGATAGGCAGGATGGCCGATAGCGGACTTACTCCGGGTGGAATAACGAAACCGTTGTACTGGAGAGCTTCGTTTGGAGAGATTCTCGGGATCCGCACGACCAAACCGTACGTAAGTCGGATTGCTTCCTGGACGACACCTCTCTATAGCACATGTTAGTAAATTACCCGACAGAGGAACGATGGGAATCATACCATATAGGGCACAGCCTCAAGCTCTGTCGTGGTCCATTGTTGACCATCCGGCTTTGCAATAGTCTCCAATTCTTTGCGCAGCTTCATCAGCACCTTCTGATTGTTGAGTAAGTGGAACAGCGCAACGGAGAGTGTTCTAGCAGTGGTATCAATTCCAGCAAATATGATGGTTTCGCCCTCATCCAACAGACGATCCAGTGTTTTCTCCTCCTCGGGCACAGTGGGGTCCGTCAATGCGCTGACGATCACAGACTTGGATCTAGCATCTTTCATGGCCTTTTTCTCTTCATCGGGCTTGTCGAGATAGTTCCGGATCATCTTTTTGTTAGCCTCTCGCGCCGACACTACCCGAGGGAAGTTCGGGTTGATCAACCCGAGGATTGGCAACGGGAGGTTCTTGAGTGTGGTTGGAGGAATGGGCAGGAAACGTGTGAGGTTGTACAGATTCAACAACACAGTCAGTGCATCCTTGAGTCCATACTTGAAGTCCTTGCTGCCAATGTAGTTTGCATGAGAGCCATAGAAGTGGTAGGTGACAACATCCGCAGTGAAGGCAGAAAAGGCACACGTCAGATCAACGACGGTTCCCTTTGCCTCTGCGAGACGAGAGATCAATGCATCAAGACGCTCGTGGATGGCAGGCTCAATGTCCGCGACGGCCCTTTTGGAAAAATATGGATTCACAATGGCACGACGTTTGCGGTGAAGGTCATGTTCGAGAGTAGAGATGGTGGAGTGCGGAAATGTGTAGCCAGACACGGCTGACAGTTCTTTGTTGACCTTGCGGCCACTTCCAGCGTAGATGGTGTTAAAGTATTCCGGGTCGTGAATATGCAACGATCTTGAGTTGATGCGAACAATCGGTCCTTTGAGGGTGGTTAGCCTGTCTTGGATTCTGGATGGTTGAGGATGACCACTGTACCATATTTTTGGTGCATCTTCTCAATTTCCCAGAGATAAGTGCCATCTTTAATAACATCGTAATAGAACTCGTAGAAAGACCATATGGCTGCCCGTTTGGGACCGGGAAAGTTGCGCAATGGATGGAAAAACAGATCATAGATACATCGAGCGACTACGTATATCGCGAACGCGCCAAAGGCTGAACCGATGGCCACTGGAAAAGAAAGGTCTTGCAATAGCATGATGACGAATTCAGGTCTTCAGGATATCCGTGGTGATTAGCAAGTGACAGACGAATGCGAATATCGAGTTGCGGAGAGTTGAAAAAAAAGAAGGAAAGCCTCTGGGCCCTGGCTTACGAGGAGAGCTTCACATGTGGCAAAGGTCCTTGGCTAGATGAACGTGGAGCCGGTTTGTCTACGGAATCAGCTAACTGCTTCTGATAGTAATGTCCATTCGTACATTTTCGAGTACTCATCTTGTCTACACTCGCACCAGATGCCGAACATCGGGGCGTTGACCGAGACATGAATAGGTTACATGAGCTAGATTAGCCCCCACCAACAGATGCAAGTGAGAAATTAACGCGCTTGATCTCGGTGTGAATATTCAGGTGAAAAGCCTCATACACGATAAGCCAAAGGCAGCCATATGCATAAGCTAGCATCCCAACTGCTGTACCTAGTCTGCAGTAGTTCAAGTCTAGTGCATAATCCGTATCAGGGAAAAGGCGCTTGTGAAAACCTGCCTCTAATGCTCTTTGGGTGTTTATCAATTGATTCGATGCAGATCGAAGTGGAGACATGTCATCCCTGCCGATAGTGAGCCTGAATGAGTAACTACATGCGAAGCGAGATTTAACATGTGTGGAATCTTGAGCTCACGAAAAGATTATTCCTGGGTAGATCTCTCCTCTAGGGCTGGCAGCAGCCAGAGTTTGCTAGATACGGTTGGAATACAGGACGCTGGAGGATCCATTCTCCAGGGCTACTACTAGTATGTCTGAGTAATCTCAGCCGAGATCGGGACGGGAACGATCCATCAAGCTTTTTCGCTTCTCAGCTCATCCACCTTGGCGATTACGGCGTGGGATGTGTGGGGCCGTACTGTTGCGAGACTAATCCCTGTCAAGAGGTCTAGACATCCTTCCCCTCATCCATCTCGTGGAAACGGAAGGGTGAGATGGGCAAATTGCGCTAAACGATGGGGGTAGAGCAAGATGAGAGTGTGCGCCGGTAATCGGTCAGCTCTCTATGCCTTCTGTTCATCTAGTACGTGATGTTTCCAAGGTATATAAGTAGCTTCCGTCCCGGCCTGTCTGAGACATCAACACAAGCATCTCAAGTTTTCTTGAATTGCCGCCATCATGGATATGAATACCTTCCCTGCCAACACGTACTGCGACTCTATCGTGCGCTTCCTTGATGCCATTGAGTACCATGATGACAACCTGACACGCGATGAGCGGATTGAAGGCCTTCGTCATGTTCATTCCAAGACTGCACAATACTTTACTGAGCCACTTCCGAGGAGTGTCCTCAAAGGTGTGGCTCCTCGCCGGATTGCTGCAGTCACTCGAACCATTTCCCATTTCATTGTCTATTGTTGGAGCAAACTACCTCGAGAAGCCCAAGTAGACGTCTCCATATATCTGTCAATCATCAACGTTCTGGACGACGAGATCAGCAGCGATCCCAGTAACCAGATGTCCACCTTCTGGACCGACCTTATCCAGGGCAAGCAACAGAAGCACCCCTTCTGGGTGCTGTTCAACTCACATCTGCCCCGTCTCCTACGACACTACGACAGCTTCTGCTCCTTCAATATTATGCGCTGCACCTTTGATTACTTCGAAGGCTGTTGGATTGAGCAACACAATTTCCAGGGCTACCCTGGCGCTGACTGCTACCCACTTTTCCTCCGACGATTGAACTGCCTCGGTGGTGCTGTCGCAGGGACCATTTTCCCCGCTGCCAAGTTCGATGAGAAGAAGCTCTTTGCAGAGATTTCTTGCGTGATGGCGCAGATTGACGGGCCCGTTGCCCTTATGAATGATCTTTTCTCTTTCTACAAAGAATATGATCAGGACGAAGCCAATCTGGTCACCAACTGGTGCAATGTGGACGGCATCACTATGGACCAGGCCCTCACACGTCTCACCGACGATACAATCCATGCTTGTGTACGGATCTTGGACGTTTTAAAGGACAAAGACCCAGACATGCTAGCCACAATCCGCGGTTTTATCCACGGGTATGTGACGTGGCACATTTGCGACTTCAGATACAGACTGCGGGAGATCTATGACCGCAAAGATCTAGGAGAGTCTGGCGCCAAGTTCTGCAGTTACTTTGACAAGGCAATCGAGGTGGGATGGGTGGATGTTGAGGAGTGGACTTGCCAAGTCCAGGGCTTTGAAGTCGATGCTGTCCCGAAGGGATCTGAAGTGCAGGCATATCAGACCAATGCATTTGGGGTCCCTGTCGACACAATCCGGCAACACAACATGGATTACGTGGGGAGTTCAATAATCAGTATGTTTGAATGGGTGACCGGTTATCTGAAGGGAAAATCTCGCTAGGCAACGGAAAGGGATGGTGATGATACGGGGTTACGACATAGATAGCAATGTTTTGGTTTTTAGGTTATATTTGGCCATTTGTCTTTTTTTTTACTTGTGGATAGTCAGGAACAGCCCAAATGAAATACGGAAATAACACTTCTGATCTTATCGACGTGACTATGGGATCAACATTCGGCCAACAAGCTTCTGCAGATCCAGGTACCAATTCCCTTTTCTGGCTATCAAGGCGGCAACTTGCGCTCACTAGCTTGATCCTCTATCTTCCGGCGTTAGTGCTGGCCAATTAGTTGATGCTTATTAGACTCTAGTGCTGATTCAGATTTTAGCTTTGACGATTGCAATAAATTCATGGAGGACCCACTTGAGGACCCAAGTGGGGCTAATTCTGCGGATGTCATGCCGTGATCCGTGCCAATGGTGATCATTCCTAGCGGATAGATTAGGTTGGTACCGCCGGGTCTACCGCTGGTTCCAAGATATAGGCTAAATCACAGCGCCTCATACATAGCTCGCATTCGCTGCCGACAGTAGCCGACTCACTCTCTGACGGGAGCCGATATCGGAGAGCATGAGGCTCCGAACAATTGGCAAGCGATTGCCAGGTAACATCCAATGACGCCGCGGAGATTCGGAGATGTTTACATCTGGATCCTTCTGACACAACCTGGAAACCCACTTAGGTAGCTGTATCTCGGCTGTTGATAATTTCCACTGAGACATCTGATGCAACACCAATTCTATCCCCACAGAGGGTAATACCAATATCTACGCCTTGATTCGTTCGCAAATTACCTTCAGCGCTGCACCTCGCTTTGACCCTGATCGAGCTCGGCTGGATGCCTATCACGTACTTCCTCTATGTGCACGGCAGCACGCCTTAAGCACGTCTTATACGAAAAGTGGACCCCTGTACCTCAAGTAGTACCTAGGATTGAGCGGTACGGAGTATGAACGTATCAGTGCACTGACTCTAAACTAACCGTAGAATTACCTAGCAGACAGTACTGGTATGGTTGGAAAAACTCTTGCATTTACGAAAATGTAGCCCAGTATATCACTCAATATTTGCACAAAAATTGTATGCAGATCTCCCAGCGGGATACCTAGATCGGTCCGTCCGTTACACAACCATGGCTGGCATCGCTGACCAGGGCGCAATACTTCTTCAAAGTTCCCTTCTGGTACCTGAGCGGGGGTGCTTTCCACTCCTTCCTCCTCTTCTCGAGCTCTTCAGTCGGGACTTCCAGATCAACCACTCTTTCCTCAGCATCAATCACGATCCTATCACCATCTCGTGCCAGCGCGATCGGGCCGCCCTCCATGGCTTCAGGCACGATATGTCCGATCAAGAATCCGTGACTACCACCTGAGAATCTCCCATCCGTGAGAAGCGCAACGTCCTGGCCAAGACCGGCACCCATGATGGCTGCGCTAGGCTTAAGCATCTCAGGCATTCCTGGACCACCCTTGGGACCTTCATAGCGGATAATAACGACTGTTTTCTCGCCCTTCTTGATCTCACCCCGCTCAAGGGACTCAATAAATGCATCTTCGTAGTCGTAGCACTTGGCTGTGCCCTCGAATCGCAGACCCTCCTTGCCAGTAATCTTACCCACGGAACCGCCCGGGGCCAACGACCCGCGAAGAATCTGGAGGTGACCAGATGGTTTGATAGGATTGCTGAGGGGTAGGATAATGTCCTGGTCGGCAGGGAAGTCGGGCCATGAGGATACATTATCCTTCATTGTTTTGCCGGTGACAGTAATTCCTGAGCCGTCGATTAGGCCCTCCTTCAGAAGGTATTTGAGAAGTGCTGGTGTGCCACCGATGTTGTATAGGTCGTTCATAAGATATTTCCCAGATGGCTTCAAGTCGGCCAGGAATGGTGTCTTGTCAGACACGGCTTGGAAGTCATCGATAGTCAACTTGATACCGACAGAGTCCGCAATAGCAATCAGATGCAGAACAGCGTTGGTGCTGCCACCCAGCACGTTGACCACAATCATCGCATTCTCAAATGCTTGACGTGTCATGACATCCCTGGGCTTGATTTCTTCCCTGAGCATGTTCTTAACCACCTCGCCGATGTTTTCGCATTCGACCAGCTTCTTGGGATCGTCTGCCGGGCAACTGCTGCTACCGGGAACGGTCATACCCATAGTCTCGATGGCCGTCGCCAGTGTGTTGGCCGTGTACATGCCACCACAGGCACCTTTGCCGGGGCATGCATTGCGAATAATATCGAACCGCTCCTTCTCGTCGATCTGGCCGGTGATGAACTGTCCATACGACTGGAACGCGCTGACCAGGTCCAGTTTTTGGCCCTTTGCACTGCATCCGGGCTTGATGCTGCCGCCATAGACCATGATACTAGGCCGATTCGTGCGCCCCATCGCCATCAACACACCCGGCATATTCTTATCGCAGCCCGGTAGCGACACATTCGCATCATACCACTGGGCATTCATCACCGTCTCAATGCCATCGGCAATAAGCTCCCGACTCTGCAAGCTGTATCTCATTCCTGCTGTGCCCATACTGATCCCGTCTGACACTCCAACCGAGTTGAACCGCATGGGGACCAGACCCGCCCGGAGGACGGAGTCGCGGACGATCCCGGATAGGTCATTCAAGTGCATGTTACATGGGTTACCCTCGAACCACACCGAGGAGATACCAACCTGCGGCTTCGACATGTCCTCCTCTGTCAGGCCGGTGGCATAGAGCATGGCTTGTGAGGCACCCTGGGATTTGGGTTGTGTAATTTTCGAGGAGATTCGGTTGAGGGTCTCGTTGGATTTATAACGGCGCCCGACAAATGGAAGGCGTCTGACGATGATTGTCAGTAGTCAATTTTTGAGGAGGGAACCAGATGCATTGTGATGGAAATTTCTCACGTACGTATTCTCAAACCGAGCTCGCCGGCTCAGTCCCAGAGCCCTCGAGCGGATACTCGACGTGGCCATGATGCTTGTGAATATACGGAGTACGGGGAATGGAGCAGGTTGAGTAGGAAGAAAAGTAAAGAGGAATAAAGTCCAGTGTGTCAAGACACGAACACTGGAGGCTGAGGAAGGATAATTTCTGTCAAGCGTGATTTATTTAGGGGATTGTTATTCCCACTACCCCTGTCTAATCCCATTGCCCTATTTAGAATAGGGTGCATACTAAGATATCCGGAGATGTGGCCCAACTCCGGTCCCTTCATTCGGACAGCCTCCTCCCGTGATCTCGGCCCCCGAATCGCAGCTGCCCAGTAACTGGTGGAGCAACGCAAAAAAGGCAATCATTTTACGCCCCTGGTAATAAAAGAAAAAGAAATACATATCTAAAGGAGAAAGCGGCACACAAGGCCAGCAGCTCTACACACGGATCTAGAAGAAGAACGAAGGAAAAGACGGAACAGCAATCTTGGGAATCTCTCTGATCTCTACAGAACCCAGGCAGGAGGAAAGCAATACCCTCCTATGATTGACCAGACCATGAGAGGAAAGACAAGAAAACACTCACACCGAATTCCTACGGTCGGAAGCCTGCCAACAGGAGAAACCGGGAGAAGGTAGACTAGGTCTAGCGCTCAGGCCTTGCTCACTGAGTAACAGATATCTCTTTGCTGCAGGGTTTGGTTACCTTTTGCCATATAATTGAACACCAGATCAGACGCGGCTCGCAGTGAAAGATTATTGGGGCAATTCGTAGGGATATAGCCTTGCCAGTTGGCGGGAGGCTCACCAGTTGGCGGAAAGCTCGCCTCGCACTCATTGGAACTCAACACCCACGCCAGGGTATTGGAGTGTGTACGTGCTCACTAGCTTCTCCCCCTTATTAGCCAACTGCTCTCCATGTATATAGCATTTATCACAAGAACTGGCGTACGGTGGGCGTTTCCTCGGCTTCGCTGAAGCTGCATGGCACTTATTCGGGTTTGATACCAATACTGTCTCCTTCAGTGCTTGCTTTGATCATCCACTGCGAAGATGAGCATACCGTTACCTACGATCCTAATATAACCCCCGAGGAAGCAACAACAAATCATGGACCAGTCATCCCTTTTTGCTTGCCTTCTTGGACTTTTGTGAATACAACCTAACTGAATGTAATTTCACTTACCAAGATGCGCCAGGCTTTGCAACTTGGGGTAAAAAAAGATAACCTGAAAAGTGAATACTAACAACTGGACAGACTATTGACGAGTCCCCGACTACATACGCTGGGTACATAGCATGCGGGTATCATCTGGGGTCCATAACTAGAACGTGATTGGTACAACCGGAGATGTACCCGATCTGGGTAGATCTACAGGCATAAAGCTTATCTCCACATTGAAAGCTTACTAGTGTCAACATAGAAGCTGCAGGTTTACATTCCCAGCATAACTTACTGTAACGGCGAACGTGATACACTCAGAACTTCGGAATTTTTAAGGTTATAACGGGGGATTTGTGGGTTCACATCAAAGACAGTATTGTACAGAGCAGTCAGTGTGTCTACGAGTAGAACGACGTAAGACTGGGAGCAGCTCCGTACGTGTAGACAATTGCCATGAGAGGGGTCGCTAAAGGAAACAAAGCCCAGTTTAGTCGATACGCAAGGGGAAGTCAGTACTTAATGATCCGTTAACGCAGAAGAGTCTCTTAATCCAATTAAGCCTTGAATGGGTTGAAATCCCGGGTGGGATATTCGAGAATCCACATTTCATCAAAGACAGCCCGCTTTGTCGACCTCATTTGCCCTGGGACCTTTGAGCAGAGATTGGTGTTCTTTGTAGAATTCGGCCTTGACATACGCCGTTATCAGGTCGACGATCGCGGGAAAATATATGATGAAACCCCAGGTTGGTTCGGTCCATTTGAGCCGGTAACAAAGATTTACAAAGATTGTTTAGATGATAGAATAAGGGTGGTATTTTCTACATTATAATACTCCGGTTGATATCGACGAAGGTGCATGAAGATCCGCCAAAAAAAAAAGAAAAAAGAATTAGCATGTCCTGGTTTCGATCCAGGGACCTCCGGGTTATGAGCCCGGCGCTCTTCCCCTGAGCTAACATGCTGGGATGTTATTGGTCTATTCACATTTTCCACTATATCCCTCCTTTTACTGGCAACCCTGGTACCCACTACCGACCGCGACGAGAAATACGCAACGAGAGATATCCTGCTGGTCTGCTTTCAATCCTACATACTGCCTACTCACATGAAGATTACATGAAGAGTAGTGCATGATAATAATATATGATACAACCTTACCTAGACGTACATGTATCCAAGACTATTTCCGTTTTGCCTACCAGATGGCTGATCATCGGGCTGAAGTAACCTTGTTATTGGCCAGACTCAAAAACCGAGATCTTCGCCAGAAGCCAAACAATCTTGTCCGTCTACATTGTCTACCCATTTTCTACATTTTGTATTTCCAAATCATCAAAATTGGGCAGTTGGCCTGGATCACTCGACTCCCAGGGGTTTTGCCAAAATGTCTTCACTACCTCACCCCTACTACCCCCTTGACGCTAAAGTTGTGGGTTATGAGCCCAACCAGACTCCAGTGTTAGAGCTTCTGGTCTCCGCAGGCGGAGCATGTACAGTTCTCCTTGGTGTGACCTTTGCATTAACTGGCTATGTGCGACCGACACTGCGCATGGCGGATCGAATCGCCATCATGTGGTTTGTACTCTGTAAGAGACCGAGGAATCGACCCAACGTCGGAAGTACTCGATATTGACCATGTGAATAGCTGGAACTCTGCACTGCTTCTTCGAGGGTTATTTCATGGTTCACCATGACCACATGGCTTCTGCCCAAGATCTTTTTGGGCAGCTATGGAAAGAATATGCTCTATCTGACTCCCGGTACATGACTTCAGACACATTGGTGTTGTGTATGGAGACAATCACCGTGGTGAGTCCCACTCTATATACCAGACCAACTCGGGTAGTTTCACCGCTAATTTCCACCCAGCTCCTATGGGGACCATTGTGCTTTGTTGTTGCATACTTGACCGCAACCAGGCACTCCCTGCGCCACCCAATCCAGGTCATTGTGTGCATGAGCCATCTGTACGGCGACACGCTGTACTATGCGACCAGTCTGTTTGACGACTATGTCCACGGACGACCATATTCCCGACCGGAGCCGTATTATTTCTGGCTGTATTACTTTTTGATGAACTTCATTTGGATTGTTGTTCCGGCCTGTATGTCATGCAGTTCCGAACCGTTGCCCGTTAGACACAGTAAGCTAACTTCGTATAATAGATTATCTCTACGCCAGTATCTCCACCATCTCAGCCGCACTTGAACGTCAACAGGGAAAAGAAAAGACGAAGTAGGACCTCTTCGTCATCGCTGGTGCGAGTGCGTACAGTCCGGTCATTGGGCTAGAAGTGCGTTGGCTGGAAATATGATGGGATTTAGATAGAAGCGAGGCAGGAGATGCGTAAATGCCGGGAAAGCGTATATGTAATAGGTTAGTTATCGAGGACAATTGATATTCCCGTAGAATCTGCAGCTCTCCCCATCAGTACCCTACTGTGTACATAGTACCCTAATGACGCTCATGCACATATGCACAGGGCACCTGACCCTCGACTCGGCAAGAATAGCTGTGTAAGCTGTTACTCGTCCCCGGTGACCTCCTTAAATTTAGGTCATTTCTTGATATAATATTCAAAGTCATCGGGTCGAATCATGGGATGATTTACACAGTAAGTAGAAAAGCTCAGATACGTCAGGGTGCTTCGATCGGCACAGATCCCTTTGGTTTCCCAGCAACCGATTTAGCGCGGGAGGGGAGGCTTATCGAATCTCCCCGACACAACTGATTGTTTATGACCAAAGGATTGGCATTTCCTTGAGAACGTCATACAAAAGCAAATGCTTGGGATCTGTTAACGTTATAGGGAGATCTTTCGGGCCTTTGGTAAGTAGAGATCCCTGTGACGTCGGAGTCAACAAACCGTGTTCCCGTACCTGCTTGGGACAACAACACCTCGAAAACCTCCTCTTGCGAAATGATTGTGTCTTACTCTGTGACTATAGGTACCGATGCCATCTCCTGCGACGCCACAACGTCCCTCCAGTCGTGGAGGACCCGCGAAAACTACGCCAAAGCCGCTGGACATCGGAGAACCGCTGGGGTTGCACGACACCAACACCGTTCGCTCCAGAGTGCGTAAATGGCAGCAACAAGGAGGCGGGGTCGTGACGATCGACGATCCTTACGCCGACGAGGAAAATGATCCAAAATCAGATTCGAAGCCAATCCCGAAGCCGGCGAAAATCAAGGCGGAGAAGCTGGAGAAGACCTGCAAGGATAAACCCCCGACTATGAGAAAGCGCAGTCATAGCACACCCCGCAAACGAGTCGTGAGCGATGAACATTGGAAGCGAACCCGTAACCGAGCCTCTACACAATCCGCGTCGCGCAACCTGCCCACGCCCAAGCGCATATCGGAATACACCATAAATGATGGGCGAGCTAGGTCGGTACGCGGTAGACATGACGATAGTGAAGATGATTTGGACAAAGGTCGGCAGATCCCGCGATCGCAGGCAAAACGTGGCACTGGGGCGGGGCATCGATCACCCACTCGAGACACGAAATCTGCAAGTGCGCGAAAGAATGTCGATACCATCACTGAGAGCGACTATGAAACAGATTATACCGGGACCGTCGAACCTTCAGAGCTCTCGGATAGGTTCAAGACGCGCTCGCCTCCCCCAGAGGACGCATGGGCTTCAAGCGAGGCGGACTTCTCCGAGCTGTCGAGGAGACGCAAGCGCGGCCCAGCAAAGCCTCCAAAAGGTGGGATATTCGCACACATGATCGACGAGTCCAGGAAAATGTTTGGGATACCCGAGCCAGAGCCGCCGAGGCCTACCCCTACTCCAACTACAGGCCGTGGAGCCAAAATCGAGGCGTGGCTTTCTGAAACACCGGACCCTTTCATGGACGACGCCGACGCCGGATCTAAAAGGGATATGCCAGCTCCTCTGGATCTAAAGTCAGGCCGTGCAAGGCGATCCCAGAGACTTGGAGAGGGAGAACTACCACGTGGAACCGAGTCCGAGCCATCCACTACTAGCGAGCGGCCAAAGAGTTCCGAGTCTCGCCCAAAGAGCGCCGTGAGTCGGCAGTCCAAGGGACAGGAGGCTGTTACCTTCGCCGGCAAAACACAAGATTGCGAGAAACCCGCAAACTCTAAGCGAGCAGGCGTCGACAAAACCTCCAGACTATCTACCAGGAGCAAAGACGACAATGTCGTTCAGGAAAGGCCTTACCAGGATAGCCTTGCACCCTCGGAGTCCGATATCCAACCATTTTCTGATGGTGGCTCTGAAGTCTCGGGGCACAATGCACCTGTCCCACTTGGTCGCAAGAAACCATTCCCGACCACTGGCTACCATCGTTTATCAACGATCGCCTCTGCAGAAACATTGAGCACCACTCTTACCGCAAGGACTGAGCCTTCACCGAACTCTGCCCCTACCGAAAAACGCAAACCTACACTTGCCGAGGAAGCAGAAGAAGCAGAAAAAGATGACCAATTTGATCCAAACTCACTACCTGTGATTTCCTCACAATTGAAAAGACGACTTACTACTCACAATGACCTCATGTCTGTGCTATCTGTCTCGGCTTCACGGAGCAGAAGCATTCGGTCGAATCGGAGCATCCGGACTAACAAAAGCCGCCTCGCACACGCAACAGTTGGCGATTTGCTCCACGAGCTTTCAAATGACGAAGCGAAGTATATGCGTGAGCTGAAAACATTGGTTGGGGGTGTGATTCCGGTTCTCCTGACCTGTGTGCTTTCCCGCTCTGACTCGGCCATTGCTGCAGGCCTGTTCCGGCCGTCATTAGATCCTCGTGATGACCTGAATTTCTCAAAGCCGATCGTCAACATGGGAGTGGCAATCGAACGTCTCAAGAATATGCACAAGCGAATTCCGCAGGACAACGCGGATGCATTGCTTACATGGGCGCAAGGTGCTCAGAGAGTTTATCGCGAGTACCTTAAGGCGTGGCGTCTGGGTTTCAAGGACGTCATTGTTAACCTCGCTCCTCTGGAGGAGGGTGAGGCCACAGACAATGCCGACACCAAGAGCTTGGATGAGGGCTTGGAGCGAGACGAAAATGGCGATATCGTTGACAGTAACGGGGAAAAGGTCGATGTTGCCTATCTGCTTAAGCGGCCTTTGGTGCGCCTCAAGTACCTGGCAAAGAGTTTCAAGGGCATCAATCTCCTGGAGCCATCCCCCAAAGCCGAAGAGACCGCCACTGCCTATCAGAGTCTCGTTATTGACGCCCGGAAACGTGTCCGAGATGAAAGAGCGAGATTGGAGGACGAATCCGCTGCCAGTATTGACCCGACACGCTCAAGAGACCCGATGACATTGGCCGTCCTCCAGGGGATCACCATTGACCAGACTCGCCGTGTCCGCGCACGTGATTTCTTCAATCTTTCACTGTACCACTCAAGTGGTCAGCTAGTCGATTGTCGAGCCGAGCTCTTGTATCGAGATAATGCCCCGAGCAAAGGGCCAGGCGGCGATCTTTTGATTTGTGAGATTGACCATTCAGACCGATGGCTTCTCTTCCCTCCCATGGACCTTCGATGTGTCTCAGCACGCAGGGGGGACTCAAAATATGAGATCGTGATCATGCTGCGCAGTGCTCCCGGTGATCCCACGAAGTACTGGCAGGAATTGATATCGCTCCGCATTGACGAAGAAGACGTCGGGGCTGAGTGGATCTCACTGCTCGGGTCTGATCCTATCCCGCCCTCCATCTGTCGAAGCCAAAGCTTCATCAGCCGCGCCAAACAAAACAAAGCCTGCAAGCCCGTGGGTAATGTTTCTCCGCCCAGGCCAAACCCCAGGGATGTTGATATCCCCATTGGCGAGAAGGCTACCAGCAAAAGACGCTCATTGGACCCCAAAGAGCAGCCGTCTGAGCCAAGTACAGTCGGGTCCTCTGTTGCTGATTCCAGGATCTTTTCATACTCGACCAGCACCCGGGAGAGTGAGTGCACTGCTGGAGAGTCAGAGCTATCTGCAAGGCCCATTCGCCCTGACCTCCCTCTCCTTCCTTCTACAATCTCTAGGAGCTCGCCAGCTAGCGGGGAGAAGTCTTCCACTGGTCTCAAGCGATCAAAAGCCAAACGACTTTCACGCTTTGGAGAGTCTCCTGCTTCCGATGTTACCCCTCAGCCAACTGTCGTAACTGAAGAGGCACCCGAACGCAGCGCACCTGCAGTTACTTCACCCCAAACGCCAAGCACCCCAACGCGAGGCAGATTCTATGGAGACGAAACTGATGACTCCGCAAGCAAGCCTTCTCCCAAAGCAAAGTCGCGCTCGAGGATTCCCCAGCCTCAGAAGACGCCTGTCAAGGAACCCGAGCCGGAATCCCCCGGGTCTCATCCGTGCCCTCAGTGACTCTTCCATTGATTCCCAAAATCCGGACTTCCAGCAGCCAAACTCACTTGTCTACTCCGACAAGCCTCGGTCCCGAAGAGGAGGAAGACTATCCTCCACTCGAGAGCCTGCCCACACGGGAACCTCTAGAGACACCGACGAAGACCAGGAGAAGGAAGTCTCGAAGACGGCCAAAGGATGATGATAGCCCTCCGCCCCCTCCACCTCATCGCTCGCCTAGCCCTGCCAATGGCAGGCACTCCAAGACTCCGGTGCTCACATCCACCGGTGGACTTAAGCGACGTGGCTCTTCTCCTCTGAAGCACGAATATGAACCCTCTACGGCTTCAGACTACTCTGAGACAGACTCGGATGCATCGACAGTGCGTCACTACTCTTACTCATCCTCTGAATACTCGAGGTCTGGCGACCTGTCCGATTCGGAGTACGATTACTCGTCGATGTCTGAAGATGAGGAATACGACACCCCCAAGCCTAAGGCACCGGACGAGATAACCGACGCCAGCTCGCTGTCTCCTTCGAATTCTGCATCACAGAGTGGATATCGTTCTGTGCCGCTGCAACCCACCAAGACTTCCAAAGCTGTCGCGTCCGTGTTTGCCTGGTCGAACAAAAACAATTGGGAGACCCTGTTTCCTGAAGAATGTAGCATCGTCGTCAGTCCTGGTCTGATCGAGGCCTTTGCAATGGGCTCTGACCCCAACTGGAACCCCGATTCCCAATCCTCGAGACCGCTCATCTCTCTTGAACTAACACCGCTTGTCCCTATTCGTCGTGGCACCGCCATTGACATCAGCATCCGCTCTCCTCCCACCCAGCGCTCCCAAATCACCTCCAGCAACAACATCATGTTCCGCTCACGCAGCCCCGACGAATGTGACGCCTTATACGGCCTTATCAACCAATCCCGAATCAACAACCCAACCTACATCGCCCTCCAAAACGCCCGCGGCCCCTTCAACGGCCATGTTTCAACGTTCGAACAAGCCCCCAAATCCAGCGGAGGCCTCTTCGGCTGGCCCCGTCGCAGAAAAAGCTACCGCGCCTCCGGCTCCCCGCGCTCCCTCGCCGAGGCCTCCGACAGCAGCGTCGGAACAATGAGCAGTGCCTTCTCCGCCCTCAAGCGCTTCGGCGCAAGCAGCAAAATGTTCAACATCTCCCGCTCAACCGTCGAATCCCGCACCGGCCGCGAAGGAAGCACATACTCCGGCTCCGCCGACTCCCGAAACGACCCCTCCCTCAACACAGGCATCGGCCGCATCGCAGCAGCAATCAAGGGCGCAGATGGCATCGGCCTCTCAAACGCTAAAATCCGTCTCTACGCCCGCGAATCGGCTTCGAAATGGAGCGATATGGGCGCCGCCCGATTGACTATTATGCCTGCGCCTACTAGAACGCCTTCCCGTCCCGGGACGGGTGTCAGTGGGCGTAGCGATGGCAGTGTGCAGCAGCTTGAGAACGATGGCTCTAGTGGTACTTCGCCTCCTGGGTCCGGTGCTGCTTCGCCGCGTGGCGCTCTGCCGACTGAGAAGCGAATTGTTATTCGCGGGAAGACAAGGGGTGAGACGCTTCTCGACGTTTGTCTTGGGGAGAATGCTTTTGAAAGGATTGCCAGGACGGGTATTGCGCTTTCGATTCGGGGGGAGAGTGAGGATGCGGCTGTTGCGCAGAAGGGGGGTGTTGCGAATGGGTCTGGGAAGATCTTTATGATTCAGATGAAGAGTGAGGCGGAGGCGGCTTATACTTTTGGACTTGTTGGGAAATTAAGGTATTGAGGCCTTGATGTGGTGGGTTTGATTTTAGGGGTTGTGGTATGGGGTTTATGTGTGAATGAGGTATGGATTGGGTGGTGCATTGGTGGTTTTCTCTCTTTTTACATACTTTTCCTTATTTTTTTCGCTTTACATAGTGGCTATTCCCTTCTCCTTTTCTTTTGTATATTTTAGAATTCCTGATTGATATCCTGACTGTGGATAATGCTGTCATCCATACTTTGTTTCCATCAATGTTTTATGCTAGTGACATCTCTTCAATCATGCCTAGTTAGTTCACCATGTAGTTACGGAGTAGTTATCTATAGTATAGTCCAGTAAGGGAACAGGATGCATCATAACAAGCCAATATAAACCACAGTCTAAAATGCAAGACAGAGAGCTATCTAACTCTCTATCTCCGCACCATTAGTCTTCTTGAAGACATACCCAATCAAATTACACTCATCTTTCAGCATGGCGACAAGCACATCATCATCAATAGCAGCCTCAAGCTCCTCATCTTCGACATCAGCCCCAGAGTCAGGATCAGCTGCAAGCAGAGACGGGTCGATATGGGAGTACTGCGCCAAAGACTGATGCATCTTATCCTTCGGACTCTTGGAATCCTCCTCCTCGTCACTCGATCCCTTCTTCCCCTTCGCCATCTTATCACGATAACTCCCGTCCCGAATAGCCAGTTCCTGCTTCTCCATATCAACCTCAGAAGCCTTGATAAGCGAAGAAGGCAGAGGCAAGGACTCGTCAGAATCATAATCCTCATCTTCCGGAATCGACAATTCCCCGTCCGAAGCTCCTTGAAGAGTAGCCGGCGTCGCGGCACCAGATGAAACAGCCGAGTCAGATACAACGCCCCGCCCACCACACTTACACCCCAACAACTCATGCGTCTGACAAGCCCGCTCCTCGTCAAGACGGAATAGATCCCTCAGTTCCGCAGCAGAGAACTGGGCCGCGCTATTACTCTTACTCTTCTCCTGCATGACACTGTCCGCAAGTCCGAGTTTCGTAACTTGTCTCTGCCAGATCTTCTCTTCCAGACTGCCCTTGAGCAGAACACGGTAGATGCGACAAGGTCGTTTCTGGCCATCGCGGTGGATACGCGCCATGGCCTGGATGTCTGTTGCGGGGTTCCAGTCGACGTCGAAAAGGATAAGACGGCTGGCGCCGATGAGGTTGAGGCCTGTGCCGCCTGCTTTTGCGGAGAGGAGGAAGGCGAAGCAGGAAGATGCTGGGAGGCGGTTGAAGTCATCTACTAGGCCTTGGCGTTTTTGAGCTGGGGTGCTGCCGTCTAGACGGAGATAGGGGAGGCCGAGGGAGGTGAGGAGGTTTGCGAGGAGGGAGAGCGTTGAGGTGTAGTTTGAGACGAGGACGATTTTCTCATCTGTTTTGTTGCGCATGGTGTCGAGGAGTTGGTCGAGGACGCGGATCTTGGCGCTGGAAGAGGGGGAAAGGTGGCGGTGGAGAGGCTGAGGAATGGAGGCGATGAGGGAGGCTATCGTTTCGTTTGGGGTGCCGTCGTTGTTTTTGGCGGATAGGAGGGATGGGCTGTTGCTCAGCTTTTTAAGGATGGTTATGAGCTGCAGGGCACTCTCCGCGTTGCCCATTGCGGATTGGAAGATTGGGGACGCGAGGACGGCTTTGTAGATGCTTGCCTGGGGACGGGTGGGTTTGCAGAAGAGGACATATTCGGTCTTTGGGGGGAGGTATTTGGCCAAGATGTCTGCTGTTCGGCGGAGCATGAACTTGGAGGCGAGCTCTCGCAATTCCTCGCCTCTAGATTCTCCTTTCTCGATGTCCTTTCTTGTTGCTTCTGGCTGTCTGCTGCGAATGATTGGGGTTTCAAAATCGCGGACGAAGGACTTGAAACTGCCCAAAATACCCGGGTTGACCAGATCCACGGCTGCAAAGAACTCTTTCAGGTCATTCTGAATCGGCGTGCCTGAAAGAATGACTCTCTTCGTAGCACTGAGCGACTGAATAGCCATACCACTCTTGTTCTGCAGGGTTTTGAGCCGGTGGCCTTCATCTGCAATGATGATATCGACTCCAGAACTATTCGCCAAAGCTTCCTGAACCGTCCTGAGCTTCTCATATCCGACAATCATAATACTGTAAGCCCGACCCTTGGTGAAATCAGTGAGACGCTTGCTCTTATCATCAAAGACAAAAACCCCAATGCGCTCATTACCGAGCCACTTGCGGAATTCCTTCCGCCAGTTATTGATAAGAGTGACAGGGCAAACAATCAAAGCCTTCTTGATCACAGGTGGTGCTTCAAAAACAGGATTCTGCTTCAGCAGAGTCCAAAGCAGCGCGATAGTCTGCAATGTCTTTCCCAAGCCCATGTCGTCCGCAAGAATGGCACCCTCGCCATTGAACGACCGCATACCCATCACACACTCGTACAAGAACCGCACACCCTCGCGCTGGTGCGGCCGCAGATTCTTGGCCAACAGAGGATCAACAACAACATCGACAACTTGTGTTCCCTTCGGCACAGACTTCGGCCTCGGCATAACCAACGCGCCAGGTGCCTTGGGATCGTGACGCGGAACGACTTTTCCCGGAGCCTTGGCAATAACTGTATTCTCAAGTAGCGGTTTTTTGTACGCCGCGAAGGCGGCAGGTGCCTTTCCAGGGTTCGCGTTGGGATTGGTCACCAGAGCCAGCGAGCGCTTCAGGGACTCGGTCCGCTCAGCGGCCGTCGGCTTGCGGACTTCGCCTTTCTTGCGAGCGGGGGGGCTTCTTTCTTGATAGTGGGAACGGGTTCTGTGCTTGTAGGTGTGCCCTCCAAGAACCTCCTGCCGGAGAAGTATTCCTTGCGGGTTATCTCCGAGTCTATCTCGACATCTTTGCCGGAGATAGATAACGTCGTGCCGGGCTCGAGGTCGGATTCGTGCGTCCTCCGTCCCATCTCCTTCCCTGCAGTATCCCGTAGATGGACTAGACCTCCGCGGAAGGAGAGAATTCCATCTCCATCCCATGTTTTGTGCTTTTTGGCCGTCGGTTTGCGCCTGGGTGGGTTAGCTGGTACGTTCTATTGACCCTGGGTTCAGAACTTCAGGGTGTTGGACTGTAGCCTCTGGGACTTACCAAAGGACATTGAAGTATCTTTCGCCGGCTTTGACATCTCTGTCCAATTCTCCAGCCGATGACTGCGTTGCACTGTCTGATCCTAGGTTCTTGACTTGAATGAGTGGCTTTCGGCTGGCTATTGGTGTGGATCGTGCCTCGTCGGATGTCGATTCGTCTCCGAGGCGGGGCTTTTTGGTAGGGCGGATGGGCTCTTCGAGTGATTCTGAGGATGGGGCAGGGTTCCTAATCAAAGGGGACTTGAAGGGTTTGAAGACCATGACTGTGCTGGTCTTTCTTCCTTTTTTGGTAAGAATGCGTCGGGGTTGAAGACGCGACAAAGGCGCGGGACGCGTGGTCACGTGGAGGTTGCCTATCAGAACACAAGAAGATTCTGATATCTGCTACAGAGTACAGAATGACCTTCCGGGCGCGGCCAGTGCTACACAGTAGATTCGCTTTTAATTCCTGCTGTTCTCGCTGGGCTTATTCGTTCACGTTGGTTGACTGGCTAATGAATCCGAAGATATCTTCGCTAATGGAGATTGGATGCTTGAGTGAAAAGACCGTGAATTAATTTTCAGAAGCTGTCTATAAAGTCATAAAAGGCCAACACAAAAGAGGTGTACAAAGGGTGTATATAACATGAATGTAGCATCGTGAAAAGGAGTATCGGATGGTCATGAAAAGATCAGCAGCGAAGGAACAGCTATGCCAAGCAGAGGTATATGCAAAACAATCTCCCAGCGTTTCATCTGAACACAGATTTACCGCGCATCATCAGCCAGCGCCTTGTCGGTCAAGGGGACATGCTTCGGGCCCTGGTAGGAGCCCTGGTGGACGAACCACCAAATCGTAACGAAGATGGACAAACCACCAGTCATCAAACTGGCATAGTTCATCGACGCAGCATCGGTAGGCAAAGCATAAGGGAAGCAGAAGATGATGGCGAAAGCAATAATATAAATGCAAGCCAGGGAGTTGATAACATAGCCAATCTTGTTGTTCATGAAGAAGTATCCGGGAACGAAAGATGAACGGCGGGTTAAGATGTGAGGGAAGATAGCCATGAAGTATGAAAGACTGGATAGCTGCACGAAGCAACCCACAAAGGCGCTGAATGCGGTTGTAGAGCCAAGGTAGATGCAGGCTAAGATGGTGATCATGCAGCCACAGGTCAGGGTAGCGTTGAAGGGGTTGTGGAACTTAGTGCTGATCTTTCCAAGCCATCCCGCGAAGGGAGTGGCGCCGTCACGCGAGATGGTCCAGAGAGTACGTCCGGCGGTGATGTAGCAGCCGGAGGCAGTGATCAAGGTAGGCAGGAATGCGACAATCAGGAGACCCAGAGCGCCACCACGGGAGCCGGTAGCTTGACGGTAGATCTCGGCGAGAGGGAAGGTACCGGTAGTGCGGACCGCCTCGAGGTCGTTGATGGCATAGAAGATGGCGACCATGTAGCAGATACCTGTGACGAACCCAACACTCATTTGAGCGAAAACAGCCTTGGGAATGTTCCGACTCGGCTTCGGGATCTCCTCGGCCAAATGAGACGAGCAGTCAGGGGTTCCCACACTGTAGGCACCGTTGAGCATACCGGCGACGAAGACAAATCCTTGCTGGGTGTAACCGGTTCGGTTGTCCCAAGTGCGCCACACAAGCTTGTCGGTCGCATATCCAACGCCGTTCACATGGGGCATGATAGCACAAACAAGGATGGTGATGAACACACCAGCAAGGATGAAGAACATGCCGAGGTTGCCGATATAAGGCAGGAACCGGTTCATGAAGAGGACAATGCAGCAGCAAGTCCAGGTGCAGAGGAGGAAGCTGACGAAAGTGTTCCACTGCGAAGGCACGAACCCAGGGTGCATAAGCTCATACATGGAGACGGTCTGCTGGGCCAGAATCAAAGACATAGATGCAGCACCGAGGATCCACGCCAGACAGTTCCACCATCCAGCATAGAATCCGCACACGCGACCGTACTTGCTCCCGGCTGTGATGGTTGCCCAATGGTATACACCACTGGCTGAGGGCATACCCGATGCCAATTCGGCGATCGATGCGGCGACTAACCAGTAGCAGACAGAGACGGCCATACTGGGCAATGGTCAGCTTTAGTTTGAGAAGGGGGACAGGCAAAGACCATACAATTCATAGATAGTTCCCGAAAGTCCACCATTGCTCAATGCAGTCACAACACTGCCACCTTGGGCAATCCACGTGTTTCCAGTCGTCACTGCCACGGCACAGATACTTATAAGGCTGAAATTCCGTTCGAGTTCCTGGCGATGGCCTGAGGCGTTGACCAATTCTCCGTCCACCGGGCCATCGTGGCAATGATCGGGTGAAGGTGCGACTTCCTTCTCGGGGGTGTAAGGGACCTCTTTCTCGGGGAAATAACCCGCCTCATTTCCAGACGTATTGCTGGACATGGTTTCAATTTGGGAATTGAATTTCCCTAACTTCACAGATACTCCTTATTCCGACAGAGTTGGGGATTGAAACGAGGGATGTCGGGAATGCTTGCTTTTCACTCTCACCCCCAGATGTGATAAAGGACTGAATAGGGAGTATATTGAAGTAAAAACACAGTGAGAAATTTCAGAGAAGAAAGGAGCACAACGATAACTATATTATCATATCACGGCAAGGCCGATCAAGAGTCGGCTTGATCAACCCATGAATTTATCCCGACCCCACCCCCTTGGTTTCTCAATCTCCAACCAATCATATCTCGCTGCTAGCATCATCCGGTGGCTAATGATTTCGGAGTGGAGTCACCCCGGAGTTGTTATTGGGCGAAGTCGGAGGCGAGGGTGGTCGATAGGTTAAACAGTTGACTCCAACCGAAACTCTACTCACAATCGCGGAGACTAACCAACATTGCGCTTAACCCAGAAGGGGAGCTACAGCAGAAAGGCTTTTTTCAATCTCTTCTCCCCCAGAGCAGACTCATCTCTACTCATTGCCTTTTTGGTCTCGGGAGATTGACGGTATTCTGGGTCCTTTTTTTGCTTAAACAGCTTAACCATCTAGCGGGGTACGAACCATGTGCATTTGACCCCGGAGTCTTATTCACTGCATCCAATACTCTAGATCAATGCATATTATGCATGTACATACTTGTCAACAATCTACTTTCACATGATATCCGCCCCTGGAATTCTAGAACAACCTAATACATAAAATATGAGTGAAACAGATCAGCCCGCCGAGAGCATAGTGTAATATAAACCTAGTTATCGAGTGTGCTACTAAGTACTGCGTACGAGATTGAGTGGGCAATCGGTAAATCCGAAGTCCCGTGAATTCCTCACCAAGATGGCAGGTGGCACTGTCGGATAACACTCCTTTGGATAGTTCAGGTGATGTGGGCGCGGCAATCTATGACTGGTGAACTAGGGTGGCAGGGGGTAGGTACTAGGTAGTTTGTGCAGCGTACAACAGCCTTGTACTGTGTAGGACTTGAGGCCGGCCTTAATCAACTTTGATACCCACAGGGCACTTGCACCGTAGCATAGTGCACAATGTGGGTATTGTAAACAGTCGTGCATCTAAAACATCTACCGGACGTGATCTCGATTCAGGATCTCTTGGCCTTGAAATAGAACGTTCCCCGAGGTCTAGTCTAGCTGAAGGTGGATAGCATCGGACCATCGGTCGACGGAGCCCCCAGTTACTGTGATAAGGGTAACACTACTCTGTACTGATTACGAAAGCGGTCAGCATGATGAGCATTGGAGCTGCCCATTCCAGAGTAGTGGGATGAGGTAGATCTGAACTAATTGACTGGCGCCTGCCTCACTGTGAAGAGTCTTCTCGCTACGTACTAGTACCCCATAGGTACAAGAACCAAACTGGCTGTATTTTCTTTCTATGACCAGGACTCCCCTCAGTATATCTCTGATTCAATCATGACACATCCCCAAGGCCCAAGTGTACGGAGCGATTTGTATTTGAACAGCCCCATCGATCCGGCAAAACTCTCCACGCCGGTCGATCCAAGTGGGGGTGGCCTTCTCCCACCCATCCATGGAACGACGGTACGCAGTACCTCGCGGACGAGGCAAGTCCGTTGTTAGCCTCAGATCTGAGATATATTGCATTTGATAACTAAGAGCTAAATTTAATTAACAACTATAATATATTAAGGAGCACAATAATGTGTAGTTAATGTACTTATAGTTTCTCCGTGAAGAACCATCAAGAGTATGTATCTAGTTTAGCGCACATAACCCTGGAAGAGATATCACGCCAGTCCCATTCCGGTCATTCCGATCTACTCATGAACCACGCGATATCCAAACCTTCGCATTTCTTTCCAAGTGTATTGTACATCGAGTGTAACATATTGCCTCCTCGCCTCCGGGTCCCACAAATTATGGAGACATTCTTTCCCCCGCCATACCGGGTAGGGATCTTCCCCCGTTGTCTCCATTTTTCAAATCCCTCAAAAGGCAAGTTTGGAACCAACCAATGTCTCATGTCGTCACCCTCCCCCACTCTTCACGCTTGTCACTAGCGGCAAACTCTATCTAGATAACTCAGCTTCTGTTGGATGTCTGAATCAATATGATTTGGCAGGCCGTTGATCTGTTTCGGGTAAAGAACACGGGCGATGATTGGAAATTCGGATACTTGTGTGTGGTTCAACGAATGAGAAGTGGTATATCGAGGTATTCTCTAAGGATTGAAATAATTGGCCCTTCTCACTTTCAGAAACTGGCAATAGCTGGATCTCTCAGCTCCTCCACTGTGGATCTTGTTCTCCCCCAGATAGAAACCACCATGCCCATCTTCGAGAATGTTGTTTGAAATCCAGTGATTTGAATCGAGGCATTCGGAAAAATCACCCTGCTACAACTTGGTGAGATACTGTTAGGTTTCAGTCTAACTTGCGCTAAGAGATCGGTAAACTCTATCATCAGCCATACTAGATCGGGAGGCGCTGTAGTATCAAAGTCGATGGGCCAAAGGCAAAAATCAATACTCCGTACTGTACTCCGTAGAAGAAATAAATTCAGGCACAAAAAAGAAAAGTCAATCTGATCAATTTCCCAAACTCTGCCCACCCAAGGAAACACAATCCTCCAACGCCCCACTATCGAATGGGTGATCCTGCACGGCCGTGATAAGCCACAAGCCCTTTTCACAGCAATCTGTACCAACTTCGACCTGCAATTCTGCAAAATTACCTCCGATCACGCTCTTTTTGGCGAACCATACACCCCTGTCTGATCGTCGGCATATGGCCGGCCTATGGGATAGCCTATACAAAACGCCCTATATCTGGCTAATTTTATAAAATGTGAGTGCGCCTCTTAACTCCACGTTCCTCCATTTCCCTCGTTAACCACCCAACAGGACAAGACCAATGTCTGGTTTAGGAGGCGATTTCGCCGTCAAATTCGCCCGTGAGACATGGGCACTTTACGGTGTTGGCGTGCTGAGTGCCGGCCTGCGATTGTGAGTAACTGCAAATAGAGCTAACATATGAACATATCACTGACCAAGTACTGTTCAATAGCACCGCTCGTATTCGACGTCTTGGCCTTCGCAATCTTCAGGTCGATGACTATCTCATGCTCTTTGCAGTAGTCTGGTATACATTATTATGCATCGCCTTGAATCAAGTCGCCTCCGGTGGAGGCTCGAATCTCTTGACCGACGAGGATAAAGCCAACTTGACGGAAGAGAACATTGAGGAACGAGTCAAAGGAAGTAAATGGGTCTTTGTGTCGGAACATTCATTCATTCTCTGCGTCTGGAGTCTGAAAGCGTGCATGTTGGTGATCTACAGCCGTATCACGTATGTGCACTCTTCCAATCGAGAGCTATTGAGACCTCCAGGCCCCTAACTAACGCACCCCGGACAGTGAAGGATTGAAGCAGAAACGCTGGATCAACTATCTCGCCATCTATGTCGGACTCGGCTTTATTGCAACCGTACTGTCTCTCTTCCTGATCTGTCGCCCATTAAATCAATACTGGGCCGTCCCAACGGATAACTACCAATGCATGTCCTACCAGTACTACGAAATCATACAAGGCTGCCTCTCCATCTCCGCCGACATTTTCATGCTCATCATTGCCATTCCAATGCTCATGCAAGTCCGCATCCCGCTCAAGCAAAAGCTCATCCTGGTGATCCTCTTCGGAATGGGCATCTTCGTCATCGTCGCCGCAGTCTTGAACAAAGTCTACTGTCTCGTCCAATCCCTGATCTCCTACGTCTATATGAACTGGTACTTCCGCGAAGCAACAGTCGCCATCCTAGTCACAAACCTGCCGCTAGTCTGGTCCCTCCTCCGCGACGTCTTTCCCGCCCTCAAGAGCTGGACCGGCGGCTCAAAGCGCGGCACAGACCGCTACAAGTACGGCCCCTGGAACACCAGCAAGGGCGGCTCAAATATGCCCACGCCATATGGGCCACCTAGTCATACCCGCTCGGGAGACTTCACCATGCAAGAGTTCCAGCGCACAGCTACGATTTCCCCGCAAAAGGCGACTGCTTCGGATATTAGTCTGCCGCCTAGCGAAGAGCGCGATGCGAGCAGTGATGATGGTTCCGCGCGTGCGCTGCGTATCCGTCAGGATATCACTGTTACCGTGCAGCGAGACTCGCGGCCGTCGGATTATGAGCCGCATTCCTCGCATGTTATTCGGCACCCTGAGGATGTTTAATCGGCTACGATGTATACTAAGTCTCGTCGCTGTTGTTTCATTGCTTTTTTCTTTTTTCACGAATCCACGAAGTCCCGAGGACTTGATACCCCGTCCTATATCTACTGTGTTTGTTTCACCTTCTCTGTACATATTCACTTCTAGACTGTGCTTTATTCTCGGAATTACGCTGGCGGCCGGTTCCTGGAGTTCTGGATACAAGCCTATTTTTCATTGAACAAGCCGATGTACCAATTTTAGATAGATTAATTGCAAAACCCACCAGATCTCAATAATCCATTATCTATTCCCAACCACCTCCCAACCACAGTAAGGCGCCCCCACGACCAGCGAGTCAAGCACTTTCCAAACACAGTTAGCACACACCATGGCACGACTCGCCGATCTCCCGGCCCCTTGCGCCAATAGCGCAGTCAATCTTCTCTCATTGGACACGACGACCCCCGAGGTAAGAAGGGATTGGCCATGGGCGTTGGCACATGTGCAGATGGGTATGTATGCTCGTCGGGTAAGACTATCCCTGCAATGCACACGAATCTCTACCTGGATGGAAACCCTTCCAGAAAACATTGAACAATGCTGATATTAAATTACGTTCTTCCATGGAATTGCGTTCTTCCATGGCTCCTCCCCGAATCCCTCTATCTGGATACCGGATCTCCGCCCCATAGTTACTTGACTTAGTTAGCTCAGCTTACATGTACAGTACGCAGAATACTTGCCACTAAGGCGTGCATATCGAACCTTCATCCCCGTACCTGCAGTTGAGTGATTTATTTGCATTCATCCTTACCCACAAAAGCTATGATGAGTTGTACCAAGCTAGCAGGGCACAAAGTTTGGGCTCGAAGAAAATAACCTTCTGGAAATACGTCAAGTTAAACCCAGTCGGTGAGCTTCCCAGAAATTGGTGAACATTGAAAAAAACAGATTCAGCTGAGATTCAGCTCAATGTCTGGTTCGTCTCCAAGGTCCTCCGTCCCGCTCTGATCGGCGTGGCAACCATGGGAAGGATAGCCATGGCTGTAAGGTGTCCACTACGATTCCACGGATACCCTATGTACTATCCAGACTCTTTGCGAAAGGTTCCATGGATGAGTTGGTTATGGATTGATTGGGGTCGTTTACCAATGTCCAATTTATGGAGGTAACAGTGCGATTTGCGCGGGACCTACATGGAGACTGGGGGAATTGGTGTTGATGGGGGAGTATTCCGGTCTCCGGAAGATGAAGTGCCGGGCATGTTTTGACTTTTGGTTAATGGTTATTTGTGTGGGAGTTGTATCTTTATTCCTTCGCCCTTTGGTATCAACATGGATACATAGCACTATACAGTGTGTGTCTGACACTACTGTGCAATGCAAATAAGCATCGGAGTGTCTCCGTACGGAGTAACAGGCCAGGCCGCCCGGGCCCGGCGGCCGGCGTCGCCGCGTCACTCTGATGCGGATCACGTGAGCGCACGTGACCTCTACATGTCTTCCAAATTACACCGCATCCCTGAGCTCACTTCCATGCTTCTTCAAGTTTTTGATAGATTGCATCTGGCCTAGCCGATTGAATCAGGTTTGGCTTCGGCCCTTCACAGATGGTATCTATGAAGGAGCGTTCCGATGCACGAAGATTCAATAGGTTCCCCTAGCACATTCTTGTCGCACCCTACGGCACAGGACGATGTCATCTGAAGGGAACGACGTGTTTGATGCACAGCCGTCAACAGACCGAGACGAGCAGATCCGACAGCGAACGAGCTACTGCTAGTTCACGCGTTCAAAAACCAAAAGGTCCGCGATGGGCCCTGGTGCGAAACGAAGCAAAGTTGAAGTTCGAGAACAACTGGTTCGGACCGTTGATCAGGTTCCTCATAATCTGTCCGCCTGGCTCGGCGAGGGCATATGTCCCGAGAGGATGCGCCTGTATGACTTTGTACGCGCGGAACCAGTTGTTCTCAAACTTTTTCTTTGCTTCGTGTCGCACCAAGACCCAGTCCCCTGGCTTGACACCGGTCTTCGTGACGACGTGGCCGCATCATTGCAGACCTTTTGCTTTAGATCGCGTGGATGATCAGTGGCTTGTTCGCCTTAGAGCGAGCGTCGGCGAGCTGTCGGATTTGCTCGTCTCGGTCTGTTGGCGGCTGTGTATTGAAGGATCTGTTGGCGCTGTTATGCAAAAGGAGCTGGAAGGCGGATTTGTGTACCATCAATCTGCTCGTTACAGTATGCTGCATTTGAAATACGAGAAGGACGACTGACTCGGCATGCTTTGGTTACCGAGACTTGCATGGGCTATCCAAGGAAATATTGATCACTCTATAACTAACTATTGCTGTACCCGAAACTATGAATCTTGGCCCCCGTCAAGCTGAAGTGAACTGGACAGTCATCTATGCTAACATGGGAAGCCAAATCCGAACCAGAAATTGGACTGAAACCCCTTGGATGGACGAGTGCGTCGTAGTCAGCTATTCATTTCGTGCTAGAATAACACTAGTAGTGCTAAGAACTCTGTCCCCATCCCGTTTTCATATTTCTAAGCCCTGCGAGTGACATTCTCCGACACGGAGGATGAGGTGATGGAGGTCTCATCGCCAACGCCGGATTACGGGGTCAATCGAAGTACCGTCAACGTTGAATCCGGCGTGGAGGATACGCCCCTGTCTCGGGCCAACAACGGGATAATGAGAACCTAATTGTGGTATAAGATTAGCGCTGACTTATGGCAGTACTATTTGGATGCTCACAACGGCATCCCTCACTTGGCAGGTCCAATCAGAGAATATTCCCTAGTGAAAATCGGTTTCCCGACCCCTTTCACATCCGATATTAACTTCGTCTAGGCCCGATGAGGAGGGTGCATAATTGTTGCTGTCAGCCCAGTTTTTAACATTTGATTTATCAACGGCATAAAACTCCGAATACGAGTCCCATGCTCTACATTAAATCGGTCTAATTTAGCTTGAGTAGACTTTGGGGGCCCGGGGGTCAGGTACGGAGTCCGGAGCTTGGCTGGTGATTACATTGATATACAATCCACCATCCACGGATGTACCAGTGCTACCCTGGGGCTAGATTCAGAGTTAAATGTTGTGGTGTGAAACTTAACCAGGTTTCGGGTTAACTATGGACTGGGTGGGATAAGGTTATGGGCTATCCTGCTTTGCTTTAGCTGCAGCTCGTCGAAGCGCCGGGCCGGTTGCCGCTGTATCGGGCCCCAGGGGCCAGGGGCGCCCTATGTAGTTGGGATTCAGGATGTTTGCCAATACTTGTAGGCCACGCATATGCTTGGACTAGGATGTGTGACCGTTGTACGGGGTACCTGTGTGTCAGACGCTATGTTGCTAGTATAGCAAGAGATATGCAAAGACATCCTTCGTTCACTCGCTCTAGTCATTGGTTCATTACTGCAGTCTATCGTATGCTCTACTGGTCAACACTGTACACCCATCCTTCGCTTACCACAATGGGGGCGTTCCAATGCTTCCAGAATCTTCTAGGCACATATATCCTAGACACTTGACTGACGGACTCGAACTATTTGAATCTTAAATGTCTTACGGGTCTCGACCTCTCGCCACGCTCAGATCCAGCCTTGTTTCACGCAACCCTACCCCACGTGGGAGGCACATTTTGTCCGGAGAAAATTCCAGCTCGCAGCCAGCCATTTGACTACTGGCTGAATCAAACAGGTACCCTAGCTTTGGGCTGATCTTTGCCCTTGATTTCGAGACGTAGAGGATGTGGTTTGCTTCAGCATACCTAGTGAAGAGACCGAAGTAGCCAGCATGCATTCTGCGTACACGATAGACTTACCCATCAATTTTGAACTGACAAGTGTAGATACACGTAGGTAGTAGTTGGCTATCTGTATTGTGTAACTTTCAGCTTACCCACTCCTCATACTTGATGTTCTGCCCCTACAATCGACTCGCAAAAATGCAAAAAGAGAGAGCACCGACCGTGGATTGAACACGGGACTTCAAGATTTGCAATCTTACACTCTACCACTGAGTTACCGGTGCTATTGATGTCAGAGATGGTACATAGCACATATATCAATTAGACACAAATATCTATTTTCGCACAGAGCCTGTCATGATGAGCCGGCCTTGGGATGACGATGCCTGCATGCTCCCGTCTGATAACACTTCGAGCATTTCTACCTACAAACCCAAGTAACACGGCCATATACGGTACTCGTATCCAGGTATACTGCCCATTGATGAACTCCTCATAGCATGGAATCAATTAGATAGATCATAGATGGTATATGGGATAAGACATTTTCATAACTGTGTTGAAGGATATAATATGCATCTATACCTCCCGTCTTGCTTATCGGTCGTGGCGTCTTGTAGGTTCCTTGGTTGAAGTCAAGACGGGACGGTAAACGCCTCCATTGTGTGGTTCCAAGGTTGAAGGTCCTTCGTGTCAGATGTTGGCTATGTCACGACTCACGAGTGGCGATTCATGTTCGGAAGGGCCCAGGTCGCCGGATTAGGATATATAACGACAATATTCTCAAAGGGCGTTTAAGATTGGAGTGAAGGGCTAGTTTGTCAATTGATGGATTTATTTCCACAGCTCTTTTTTACAGATGATAGATAGACAGATTGATACTGTATTATTCCCCAAGTTGACCATTCTTCAGCTCCGGTGTTGATTTCGAGCACGAGGTAACTACAAATTCTGCGTAACTAGTGGAATTGTACACAAACAACGATAAAAGCTTGACAAAGAATCATGATGAACAAGATTCTATTTTGCGCGCTCTCAGTCATCTACAGCACCGGTAACTCAGTGGTAGAGTGTAAGATTGCAAATCTTGAAGTCCCGTGTTCAATCCACGGTCGGTGCTCTCTTTTTGCCATTTTTGTTTCTACTTCGGGGCTTTATCATCATCAGATTGGAGAAAAAGAACAATGGACTCAATAACGATTGATTATGATATTATTTTGATCTACACTTGTAACTATACGTTGAAGTAAGCACATGTCATAAACATTTTATTTTGAAAGTGGAAAAGAGAATAGAACATCTACTTGAATTGAGGCTCGAAGCCTTCGATTGAAAGACGTAACCGAGCGAAGTTAAGAATAGATTACATGCAAGACAGAATACTAAGACAGAGCCAACACCATGCTGTGAAAATCAAAAAGAAACATCGTGAATCGTCGCTTCATCGCTCAGTAGCATCGCTTTTGGGGCAGAAATCCGTCTAGTCATAAAGATCAGGGCTGACGGTATCACTCATCTCCGCATCGCTATCATCCTCGTCCATCATCTCATCGTCACTCTCACTGATCTCGCTGCCCTCGTGATTAGGCAAGACTTCGATGCGCCCGTCGTGCATGACGACACGGGCGATCTCGCCATCTTGAATGCTGCCACGCAGAATGAGAACGGCGAGACGGTTGAGGACCTCGCGCTCGATGATTCGGCCAAGAGGACGGGCACCGTAGGCTGGAGAGTAACCGGAGGCACCGAGGTAATCCTTGACTTCCTCTGTGCACTGGATGAGGACGTTGCGACCGTTGTGCTCGAGGCGCTTCTGGATCTCGGTGAGTCGGAGGTCCACGATCTTGCGGATCTCGCGCTTGGTGAGACGGTTGAAGATGACAGTGCTGGAGATTCGGTTGAGGAACTCGGGCAGGAAGTAGTTGCGCAGGGCGCCCATGACCAACTCCCGGGTCTGTGGATCGATGCTGCCGTCCTTGGTGGTCGGACGGGCGAGGAACTCGGCGCCCAAGTTGGAGGTCATGACAACGATGCAGTTCTTTGCATCGACGATGCGACCTTGACCGTCGGTGATACGGCCATCGTCCATGAGCTGCAGGAGGACAGTGAGGACCTCCTTTGCGGCCTTCTCGACCTCATCGAACAGCAGGATCGAGAATGGACGGCGGCGCAGGCTTTCGGTGAGTTGGCCACCAGCGTCGTGACCGACATATCCAGGGGGTGCACCAATCATACGGCTCAGCGAGTGTCGCTCTTGGTACTCGGACATGTCGAACCGAATCATAGCCTTTGGATCATCGAAGAGGAATTCGGCAAGCGCCTTTGTGAGCAAGGTTTTACCAGTACCGGAGGGACCACAGAACAAGAAGCTGGGAGGTGCGTTGGGGTTGCTGAGACCCGAGCGCTGCAGGCGAATGGCATTGGAAACAGAGACAACAGCTTCCTTCTGGCCAATGACCAGCTTGCCAAGGGACTTCTCCATGTTGAGCAGTTTGTCCTTTTCAGTAGTCTTGAGCCTAGTCACAGGAATACCGGTCCACCGAGCAACGATCTCGTTGATCTGATCCGGGCCGACTGCATCGGCAAGAAGTGCCTCGCCGCCATCGCCGGATTGAGAGCGACGTTCGGCATCGGCCTTGGCACGATCGGATTCAAGACGTTCAATGAGTTGTTTGGTCTCTGGGATGGCATAGTATTCGAGATCGGCAGCTGTTTGAGTGTCACCCATACGCTCGGCTTCATCACGCTTGACCTTGAGGGAGTCAAGCTTGATCTTGGCATCCTGCACTTCGCGGCTGCGCAGTTTCTCGCTTTCATACTTCTCGCGCATTGGGCGGAGCTCCTCGCTGACATTGGCAGCCTCCTGCTTGGCAGCCTCGAGACGAGCCTTGGATGCGTCGTCCTTTTCACGCTCCAGGGCGTGAATTTCGATTTGAAGCTGGCGGGCCTTTCTCTCCAGGGTATCAAGGGCTTCGGGCTCGGACTCGCGGGTGACCCGGACTGCAGCAGCAGCCTCATCGATCAGATCAACAGCAGAATCGGGGAGTCGACGAGCTGTCAAATAGCGGGACGCAAGAGTGGCGGCAGTGACGATAGCACCGTCTAGGATGTTAACACCGTGGTGAACTTCGTACTTTTCCTTGAGACCACGAAGGATGGAGATGGTCTCTGGAACGGAAGGCTCCTTGACGAGGACCTGCTGGAACCGTCGCTCGAAGGCCTGATCTTTCTCAATGTACTTGCGGTATTCACCGAGAGTGGTAGCACCGATACAGTGGAGCTGACCACGAGCCAGCATGGGCTTGAGAAGGTTGGCAGCGTCCATGCCGCCTTCGCCGCTGGATCCAGCGCCCATCAACAGGTGGATCTCATCGACGAAGAGAACAATGGTCTCCTTGGATTCCTCGATTTCCTTGAGGACACCCTTCATACGTTCTTCGAATTCACCGCGGTACTTGCTGCCTGCAACAAGAGAACCGACATCGAGAGAAAGCAGGCGGCATTGAGCCAGGTTGGCGGGAATATCGGCGTTGACAATGCGACGAGCAAGACCTTCGACAATGGTGGTCTTACCCACACCGGGTTCGCCAATGAGCACAGGGTTGTTCTTTGTGCGTCGACTGAGAATACGAATGACGCGGCGGATTTCCTCCTCCCGGCCAATGACTGGGTCGATCTTGCCCTCGCGAGCCAAGGAAGTCATGTCGATGGTGAACTTCTTCAGGTTCTCATTCTCGGTTTCCGCATCGGCGGTCTTGGAGTCCACCCGCCGTGTACCACGAATTTGCTGGATAGCTGTGTCGATCAACTTGAGGTTGGGGATATTGGCATCGCCCAAAGCGCGCTGAACCTGTGAGTCCTGACACACTGATTGAATGAGGTGATCGATAGCAACGAAGCTGTCCTTCTGGGTCTTGGATAGGTCGGCGGCGGATCGCATGACTTTGGCGAGTTGAGGAGAGACACTGGGGTTCTCAGGAGGAGGGTCTTGACTAGGTAGACGGACGAGTAGCTTCATGAGGGATCGGTCGAGAAGTTGGGGATCGCCGTGGGCCCGTTCGACCACTTGGCGGAAGAGTGGTGCAGTTGAAGCATCGTGAGAGGAATGGGCACCGGACGGAGTCTGTTGATCTTCAGACTCGTCTGGTGCGGGGTTGAGCATGGCAACCGCGAGGTGTAGAGGGAGGATCTGTGAGTGTGCATATTGATTGCATAGGCTGGCGGAATCCAGCAAGGCCTTGTTGGCCCGATCTGTGTATTGGGGGCCGCTCATGTTGAACGGAAGAGTCGGATGGGTATCAAGTAGGTGTAGGTGGTGGTCGTTATCAGGTGGGATGAAGGTAGTAGTGCCAAAGTGGCAGAGATTTCAGACAAAGTGTCAGAATAAAGCAAGTCAATGATGCAATGCAAGTTGTAGTTGAATGGGATATGTGGGAGCTGAAACAGGATGAAGCAAGTTCATATACTCCTAACGCCTGGGCTGCCCGAAGCTGCCACAAAGGACATGGCGTCACCACCAGGTTCCACCGCCTTCCAGAAGCTGCCCGATATTGCCTGACACGGCGCGATCGTGCCAGATGGTACGATCATACGGCACGTGACACAGTAAATTGACAGGTCACGTGCACAACACGTGATCCGTATACATGACTAAACCTTATCCGTCCCGAGATTAGTCCGCATTATCGGATGAGGTGGAGGTCCATTCCAAGTTAAATCGCGCAGACCAGCAAACCAGAGCTCTCGGATCTTCAGCTCTCCACGTTGGAGATGGTCTGGCCCTGATTCCGTTTAACGGAAGTGTCTATTTCGAGCTGACCGATGTACAATGTTGTACCTTACGATGTTTGTGTTGTCTGATGTGCCTTGCAGTGGATCGAAACAAGACAACAACTTTTGACCTTGAACTTTGAAGTGTCCCCCCACCAGCTCCTTTACCCGCAAAGTCACGCTGAGCATCTATCTACGATGTGCCCACTAACGCCCACCCATGACAGTCCCGTGCCGTGTCTTCTGATGCTCGTCGATTCGATTGTCTGTCAGCCACGCGACGCTTATACTCGTCTGTTGTGTACGTGTTGTATATCCGCGTTCCACGATAGCCGACAGAAAATGTCCCGCAGCCTGTGAATGACGTCACACGGGCTATATGCAGAGCAATAAGAAGTCGAGGAAATCGATCTCGAACCTTAGGCAGGATCAGACCTTCGAATCGCTGCAAGTCGATACTTTGCCGAGGATATACATAACCTGTAGTATCATATTTGTTCCTGCCTCTCATCAGATCCTGAGATCCCCAACTCCAACATGCTCACCGAGCAGAAAGAGGACAGTTTCACCAGATGCTCAAACAGGAGCCGTGGATAGGCGGAGACTTTGTTCCAGCCCAGTGCTCGTCGCTTGGCCTCCCATTGGCTTATCCACTCGGAAAATGAAAGGTTCCTGCGGGGCAGAGAGGGGCAAGAGGCTTTATGGCGTTAATGATTTGCTTTCTCCGATCCTGGTTCGAGGCTTTTCATGGCTTCGATATCTGCAATTCGTACAACTTCTACTTATCATAACACATTGAGCACGGGATTATCCGCGGTAAGGGGGGGTTTATGCCACTACATTCCACTACATGCCCATAAGCGTAACATTGACCTCCGGGTGAACTCGTAGATCTCAATCCCAATCCCCTCATCTTTCCCTAAATGAAAACCTACTCCGTAATACCCATAATTATTTTTCTTTTTTTTACCACGGTAGCTGCCATTCAGTTCTGGGTACCTCTCCGCCTCCCGAGGCTCACTCAACTCAAAAGGCAAAATCAAGGTCGTTAGCAGTGTACCTATGTCATTCGTATAAAATCAGTTCTAGTCCCCCCCCACACCCCCCATCTGCATCTATTCTTTCTTCTCACGCCATACTGCTTGAATCTGAGACCACCAGGAAGCTCTCACATTTGCCCGCTACATCGACACCCTTGTCTGTCGTACCTAGACTCGACCCGCTATCTAGATCAGAGATTTTCCTGGCAACGACTGAACTGCATTTGTTTCAATCCTTGATTGATTGATCAGAAGCTTAATCCACTGTTTATTTGAGATTACCTTTTTTCTTTACCTTTCCCCAGTCCACGATCTGCCTGCATACTGCAGAAGGAACGGGTATATTACAAGGATGCCGAACAAGCCGATATTTGTCGCTACGCATCCGCGGGCATGCTCAACTGCCTTTGAGCGGGTAAGAGATCTGCATTGAAGGGGATCGTACCGAGGAACTTATATTGACAGGATACAGGTCTTCATGACTCAGCGAGATACCATACAGTGTGTCCATGAGCCATTCGGCGATGCATTCTACTACGGTCCGGAGCGCCTTTCCGGCCGATTTGCCGACGATGAACAAGCACGTCTGGATAGTGGATTCGCCAATTCGACTTATAGCACCGTGATGGAAAGAATCGAGCGTGAAGCTACTGAGGTCCGACCCTTCTTTTTGCGAATCTCGCGTTCTTGCCCATCCCCTTCGTGACCCCCTCAAGTTGTGAACGTGTGGGTAAAACCACTTCCCTTGTCCGTACTTTTTTCTTTTGTTTCACCCTCAGATGTAGCCTCAAGGCGAACCCACCATATCCCCGCTACGAACTATAAACCGCGGACTTGCTCCGAGTTGTCGGATGATCATGGAGATCAGCACAGCGGAACCAATCATCACACTTTTCTTAAGAGGTTACTTACCGTGTCATAGGGAAAGCGGGTTTTCATCAAGGACATCGACCATTACCTGCTTCCGCCAAATGGCCAGCCCGCCAGCACCGCCCCATCTCTACTGCGCACTAAGCGTGGTGTCGGGACCAACGGCGTTACACACGAGGCCAACGGTGTGAACGGTCACACCAAAGGCGTCAACGGCGTAAACGGTCACCATGAAACCAGCGGCCAGACCAACGGCCATTCCAATCGTACCGCCAACGGTCACACCAATGGAACCTCAAAGGAACCCTACCCGTACGACACGCCCACCGAGCCGGGAAACCCAACCGTAATGCCACGCGAAATGCAAGAACAGTTCCATTGGGCTTTTCTAATCCGCGACCCGCACTACAGCGTCCCGTCGTACCTGCGGTGCACAATCCCGCCTCTGAGCGAGGTAACCGGGTTCCACAACTACGACCCTCTGGAAGCTGGGTACGACGAGCTGCGCCGGCACTTCGACTACCTGCGGGAGACAGGTCTGATCGGGCCTCGCGTGGCGACACGTCCGGAGCTGGGCGGTAGCGATAAGGCGCAGGGGGTTGAGATCTGCGTGATTGATGCGGATGATATGCTCGATGAGCCGGCAAAGACTATTGAAGCTTTCTGTGGTAGCGTTGGGTTGCCGTATAAGCCCGAGATGCTTTGCTGGGATAATGAGGAGGAGCATGCCGTTGCGAGGAATGCGTTTGAGAAGTGGCGTGGGTTCCATAATGATGCTATTGAGTCCAAGGCTTTGGTGCAGAGGGATCATGTGAGTTTTTTTTCCCTTTCCTTTTTTTTTCTTTCTTATGTTCCTTTCTTGTTAGTGAGGAGATATGGGACATGCCCTAACATCATCGGTAGAAACGCACCATCAAGACCGAGGAGGAATTCGACGCTGAGTGGGTGAAGAAGTATGGCGAGGAACATGCCACTTTGATCCGCCAGACTGTCGACCGCAACATGGCGGACTACCTGTATCTCAAGTCATTCGCCATGAAGGTCTAGAATGAATGAAGGTAGCCCATATCCAACGCCGACAGACATCTCCTTTGCTCGAGCAACGAGGACGTTGTAGTTCGGGACACCATCTCCACTTGGAGATTGGTTGATGATCATGATGATTCGTTATCTTGCTGCTTTATCGGGCTTGACGCTGCGATAGCCCTATACATGTTGCTGTACCACTGCGTGTGTTTGCCATTTGCTGTTCTGCTGGAGGTAATCCCTGCACTCGAGGCCGTCGATTCATAGCCTTGATATTGTTGCTATCATATTCAATATCCTGGTCAATTGTGCTGTATGAGTTGAGGCTGGAAGATGTAGACGTAATATGTTCTTGGAGGCTAGCAGGGTTGAGTTCCTCGCATCAAAATATGCAGTACCAGTCGTACTTGCACTTGAACTCCGGTCATGGCTGGTACTTTCCTAGTTTTGGCAAGAGATATCAACAAACAATCTGTGCTAGGAGGAAAGAACCATTGTAAGGAAAAAAGAACGAATGGAGATAAAATATCCTTATGCTTCAATGTGCAAGTTTTTCTGAGCATTAGGATGGAGGGAAGTTTTATCGATGCGCAAGAAGAGGTAGAGCCACCACTCTGGAACTTCACGACGCTGCCAACTAGTAACACAGCCTACAATGGATAAATCTCCCAGGCATCAATCCCAAGATCGTAGCGAACATCAGATTTCAACATAGATCGTAAGACGACCAGCTCAGATACATCATTCGTTATGGCCAAACATATAAACCCAACCTCATCTAGCGCCCATACAAACACAGACAAAGCAATTGCAGACGAACCTGCAATAGCCATGAGAACCCCGACTGGAAACAGTCGGGAGACAGAAGATTCTCGCATCTTCCAAAAATACAAAACGAGAAGAGCCAATCTATCCAGGCCATTCCTTCATACCGCGCTGTATCCACCGCGCGAGCCTGCTCCTTGCAGAGTATTGATGACACGACGGAGCCAGTCCTGGAAGAGGTAGGGGATATCGCGGATGGTGTCTGAGTGTGGGAGGAGGTCCCAGCCACGGGCACCGTAGCGATTGTAGTTGAGCCAGGAGCCGAAGATGAGGTAGGCGGCGGTGCAGAGGAAGGCACTGAGTATTCGATTAGCGGGGAGTTTTCCGATGTCTTTCTGGAACTTTTGAAATACTCACATGATAATCAACCAGGTGAAAAAGCCCCAGCTATTGGAGCTGGGATTATCGCCCTTCTCCTTCTCATACTCGTCGCATGCGTACTTTGTGCGCCAATCCAGTCTCAGGATGTACATATCGTCATCCGTGGGACCAAAGCTCTTGAACTGCAGACTGCTGCTATTTCCAGCCGGCGCAACGCCTTCTTCCCCGCCGTCCGCTCTCCGGCGCTCTTTCGGCTGCGCATCATCCGCAAGGGAATGCAGACCCTCCAATCCAGATCGCTCATGGTCGCATTGGAACTCAATGATCGCACCAGCCTTCTTAGCCTTCTGGTCATTCGCATCTCCTTTATATGACCCGCCTTCGAGCTTGACGCGCAGTCCCTCAGTCTCCGGATCGATATCCTTCAACCGCTTCACCTCGGGATTCATAGTGCCATGGCCGACAGGGTCGAGACCGACGATGGGGAAGCCGAACGTTGAACCACCATTTCCGTCTTTTGCGACTCGGTGGACAAACCCACACACTAGTACAGTATTATCAATTAGCATGGGTCTCCCTCACATAGACCCTTTTGGTATTATTGGTCGTACGTACCAGTTTTGCTAGTCCCGCACGTCGCGTCGCCATATCGGGCTGCAGATCCGAGGATATTGCAGATATTCAGTCGGTAGGTTGTATTCGTCACGTAGTCATCTGTCGTCACGCTGTGAGTCACTTCGTGGACGCCTTTTAGTGGACTCAGGTCGTATTTGTAATTGTCGACTTTGATGTGCGCGCAGTCAAATCCGGTGGCAGATGCCAGGCCGGTTAGTGTAGAAACGAGGAGTGAGACTCCATTTAATTGTATTCGCATGATCGGTGTGAGGTTGGGAGGTCTGAAGCTGGACTCTGGAAGGGGAGGAGGCGCTGATGCGAGCTGGGAGGGTTTTCGCGCGGGATAGAAGTTCGATAGCTCGGAGATGATCACGGGAATTGCTGTGTAGAGTGTGTAAAGGATGAGTGTGACCGGTTGCACTGATGATATGATTAAAGTTGTAGGAGGGACGCAAGTTCGGGGTCTCCAGAGTTTGAGAGGACGATGACGGGTGTGTTGAGGTGTTTCGTTTCTCCGGAGCGGTGTTTTGGCCACGCTAAATGAAGATGCCGGTCGACTGCCCAACTCGATAACGGATATGCCTTGAGAGTAAGAGCAATTTGGGAGAAGATGTTGACTTGTCAAAATAATTCTATGTTGAATGTGTACGGAGTAGAGAGCTACAATGATGTCACCGGGTCATCAAGTGAGTAGTGACCACTCTTGGAAGTACCCGATCACCTGCCCAGTCTAACTATATGGAATATAGACACAGTTCACGAGGGAAATAGACGTCAGGTGACTCAGGTCCTCGAGAATAGCAGATATCGTCTCTTTCTTAACGATGTCGACGATGTAGTGGCTGTTACTGACCTAGTAGACGCCCAGTCCAGCCACACACATAGATCCTCAAACGTAGACAGTAGTACGTTCCTCTAATTTCCTTACAAAACAACATAAAAAAGTACAAAGTCATGCCCTAACCGTATCAATAACCTACTCCCTCTATCCCCAAGGTAAACGCCAAACCCCGCACGGACCACCCACTCAAACCCGATATCAAACGCAACACAACTCCCAGCACCAACAAAAACAATCTACAACCCCCAAAAACAACGGCGAATCCCCCCCATTCAAAGCCCCATATAACTCCAATTCTACACAACTACAAGCCAAAATGGTGCAACCCCGCATGGTAAGCTACCCCTCCACAATTCGCGGACCCTGCCAAAACGGCCAACCCCAGCACGCAAAAGCTAATAGCGCAACGCAGCTCACAAAAGCCGACGAAACGTCAGGCAATGATGAGAATGAGGTCCGACGCGAGGATCAGGAGAAGATTAATCGATTTAGTCGGTTGCATCAGCGGGAGACTGTGCTTGAGGAGCAGTTGAAAGGGAAGCAGGTATGGGCTTTTTTTTTTCGCTTTTTCTCCCATGGATGGTCTTGTTATGTATGAAGCTTGTTGCTAACTGGTCTGCAGAAGGATAAGGAGGATTTAGAGGAGATTTCGATGGAGTTGGAGCTTGCTGATGAGGATGAGCTTGTGCCGTAAGATTGTCCTTTCCCTTGATTCTTTTATGGACTCCGCTGTTGCGATATTCATGTACTGTTTCAAAGCACAGAAGACATACTAACAGCCCCCAGTTACAAAATTGGAGACTCTTTCTTCCAACTACCGCTATCAGATGCTCAGGGGATGCTCTCGTCATCAACGGAGAAGATCGACGCAGACGTCACCAAGCTGGAGGACTCGCTCGGTGAACTGCGTGAGGAAATGCAACAGCTGAAGGTTGCGCTGTACGCGCGGTTTGGTCGCAGCATTAACCTGGAGACTTAATCCGGTTGAATCGATGTACTACCACTCTTCTCTCTGTGTCTCCATGTCGTCTAGATTAAATACGCTGAAATGGATGAATTTGATGGAAGGTCCGATTGGAGAGCATCTGCTTCATATTTGCTGATCATTGTGCGCCAGCGTGAAAATATGTGTAAAGTGCGAGGAATTAGGAGTCAGATGAAGGCCAGTTCGTTCATATCATTCAAACAAAACATAAGCAAAAGGTATCTAAGACGGCAACGGAGAGAAAGAAAAAAAAAGAATTAAAGCAGACCACGGACACAGATAGACCAAATCTATGACTCCAAGCAGCTGTGTCATACATCTGGAACGGCATACGCAGTATAAATCCGCAAGAACGGCAGACAACGCCCATGCGCCGCAGTGATGCCTGGTCATCCGAGGTTGGACCGGCTCACTGAGAGAAAAGAAAATCAATAAAACTCCAAATGATGGCCAATTCAGTGGTCACCAACGATCCCGTCCAAGGAATGAATGTTTTGATGTATATACGGCGACCGCATGTGTTATTTTCTGAAGAGTGTTTCCTGTATTCCAACTGGAAGATCACCGGAACTTGGCGCGGCAGCGGCCCATGATCTCGTTCTGACAGACTAGTTCGGCGCTGAACTCGCTGCCGTCTAGGGTGAGGTAAATATCAAAGTAGACACGGTAGAAGATGCCCTGGGGTGTGTCCATGCGCTCAAAGTCGGTCTCCAGGTTCTTGCGCGATAGATCGGACGTGAGCGTGACGACTTCCTTGATGCCTAGAGAAGAGTTAGTGGCGAATGAAAGTACACGGTCGTAGCTTAACTCACGTGGATCCTTCGTATACTCGGGGCAGACATCCTCGTCACAGGCATACAGCACATCCTCGTACATCAGAGTGGCCCCGGGCGCTACTTGACGGAAGAAGCTGACCTTGACTGGCTCGCCAATTCTGACGCGCTCCCCCTTTTGGACGAAGATCTGACGGGTATACTTGCAACGGTCGCGGCCATCCAAACTGGGCACACGGTACTGTTCTGGGTGATAGCCTTCCTTGAACGGTTGGAGGGTGGCCATCAGGTAGTGTCGACGGGCCACACGGTGAGTGATAACCCGCTCAGTGATACCTGCAGTAACTGCACCCTTAACGATCGCAGCCACAGAGTCCATCGGGCGGACCACCTTGGTTTGATACTGCGGTGGAACGTGGAGCTTGATCTGCTGGAAGAGGTATTCTGAAGCACCGAATCCACCGACGACCAAAACATTCTAGAATGCGTTAGACTCCAACCCCAAAGGCTAGATTGAAGCATTCTTACCTGAAGCAGACGATTTTGCGCCTGGATAGCGATGATTTGATTGCGCACCAACTCGAGGATACGGTTCACGACCGGCTCGAAGCACTGAAGGATCTCCTCATTCATGAAGGTCATATAGCCCTCCTCAATACCAGCCTCGGGGAAGTCGGCCTCGATACCCACATCCACGGCCCATTTTTGTCCGTTGTTGCGGAAGTCTGCCTTGATCCGGTTCTCAAAGTCCATGATACACTTTGCGTAAACCTTGCCCGCAGTCCGAGAGCCGTCCGGCAGCTTCATCTTGCGAATTTTCGCGCGCAGAATGTTGCTGAAGTTCCGATTCAATGCCGTTGAACCGCATGAGTCACCGGACCCCGCAGTGCATTCCATCACACTGAAGGGCTGCTCTTCCTCAACCTCGTATGCGATCAAGTCCACGGTACCACCACCGCAGTCCACAATCAGGATGGCATCGCCCACCTTCAAGTTGAGGAGTCCGCTCTTGGCGCAAAATAGCGCCGCTGCCTCGGGCTCCGAGACCAGCGTGAGACGGTTGTCGTTCTCATCGCGCAAGAAACCAGCCTGGATAGCAGCAGTTCGCGTCGCAGCCTTACCGGCATCATTCCAAATAGCCGGCACTGTCAGATAATACCGGATGTTGCGCTCCTCCCGAGTAAACACCTCTCCCAGTGTCTTTTGTAGCTGAGCGCGCATCGCTTGGCGTAGCTTGAAGAGGTAATCGGCAGCGACATCGATTTCGGACTTGCCCGGGGGAAGGGGAGGCAAGTTGATGGGGTCGATATATGTGTTTCCAGAGAGCATCAGCTGGAGTTTGAACCACTCAACCTTCTGCACTTGGGCTTTGGGATATCCGGTAGGCGCGAGTGCGTCGGCAATATCGGGGCCCCATCCTACCACCTTTTGGTATTGGTCGTAGTAAAGGACAGTGGGGATCTAGCAAGGAAATCCACTAATTAGTCTCTTCGTTCATAGCAAATTAGGCTGATTGACGGCGCTCACCTTTTGTTTTGTGTGGGTTCCGGCACCTGGCCATTCCGTGATGATGTCCTCTCTTGCTTCGTTGTTAGTCGCGAACGCGTATGCGACACCCGAGAAGGTCGTGCCAAAGTCGATACCGACAATCAGCTGGGCCTTGCTGCGACCGGCGCCTTCAACCTCGACAGCCGGATTGCGCCCGGGGTATATATTAGTATTCAGTGGTGCAGGGATGCTAGGAGCCATCTGTTGTTGCATACCATAACCCGGTGGACCGTTCATCGGAACACTGGGCTGCTGGTATTGCATATTTGTCGTGATGGGCGGAGGTTGTTGACCGTGTTGCACCATTGGGCTCGTTGGACGGTTGTTCATTGTATAGCTGGGGGGGCGACCCAACTGTTGTTGGTTATTCATTGGGAGACTTGTTGTTGACGAACTGCGGCCGGAGGCTGGTGGGGAGCTGGGGGTTGGAGTAACAATCACTGGATTTGGAGGATTCGGTGGACTTTTGTTTTTGTTCCTAAAGCCAAATGACTTGAATCGGGCACTCATGAGGTCCATGTGCGGCGACAAGAGAGAAGAAAGGGAGAGTTAGAAATGGAAGGGGAGGGGAAAAGGATGAAAGAGGGGGAATGTGAGGCTGAGGTTTACGAGGTACAAGTGGAGATCAAAGAGAAGTCTGAAAGAATCCAACTTCACCAAAAGATTTGTGAGAAAATAAGTAAAGTAAGGAAGCGGATTTAATCAGAAACAATCCAAGGGACTAGGGAAATATTAATTCCCGGACTGGCTTCACGTTAGAAGCCGAAAACTACATAACAAGCTACATCGTGTGTACATCGCTCTATACTTAGCTACTATTCCCATAAGCAACTAGTCGTGGAGCCCAAGGCATGGCCTCGAACTCGAAATAAAATGACGATTGACAAACTTGAATCTCCAATGTTTTGATGTCATTTCCAATTCATTTCTCACCGTTTCTTTCCCCTTGGCGCTCAGGTCCCCCGTGCGTATTCGAATTCTTTGTCAATGCATAAATGGATATCATCGGTGGTATGCAATATGATGTTCAAGTAGAAAGAGTTCCCTAGAGATCTCCTTTTTCCCGATCCATGGCTCTCAGACTGAGTCGTCAGGCTTCTTTGTCTCGTATTTGGCCCCCAAAGATGGAAAAGACTAAGTAGACTAAAAGAAAGGGAGGGGGCGAACACAGCCTGGTCTTGTCAACCTATGCGCCTAATCACAGGGGTGAATGGGGGTTGGGCGTTCTCCCGCCACCTCCCGTCCATCCGACCCCGCCCCTTCAAGCCTCGGTCATCTTACGCATCACCCAGTGAGAGGGCTGATACATATTTAGGAGCATGCTATCTGGATCCTGAATGTAGCCGCAAGCCCGCCGATCACCACGTTTCTCGAGGCGGAAGCCCATGCGCTCCACAAGGCACAGCACTTCTTCCTCGGATAATTCCACATTGCCAGGCTCACCAATCCCAGCCCCCTCGTGTCCGGTGTCGCTTGGTGTGCGGGAGTGGCCGTCGTCAAAGTGCCACAATAGCGGACCGACGTTGATCCAGAGCCCATTGGGTTTGAGGCTGTGTCGGATCGTCTCAATGTACCGAATAAGGTTTGGCGCCGTGTCGATGAAGAATACAGTAGTGACTGCATCGAATGCCTCATGGTTGTCGGGCTGGGTATACAATATGGTGAAATCCGCCGCAGACATGGACATTGTGCCCAAGCGACGGCCGGTATTGGCAGCCTCTTGCATGGCGAAGCCAGGGTGCACGTCAGGGATCATCACTTGCTGTAGTTGCTGTGTCCGGGATCGGAGATTGGAGAAATGCAATGCAAACGGATGAAGCGCATGCTGCGCCGGTCCGTCGGTATGGTTCAAAATCCAACTGCTGGCCAGCAGCTGGTGGTAAGAGATCTCGTTTCCCTCGGCATCATAGCCCGCCATGCAGATCTCGAAGACTAGACGGCCTAGGCCAGCGCCGGGCACGAGGACGCGGATTTCCTCACCATGATCGCGCCGTACCTTGAATTCATCGTGGAGATCTTGCAGAACAGGGTCGTAACAAACTTCTCTCTCCGCTCGCCCTTCGCTGCTCCAGTCACGGTAAAACTGGCGGATCGTCGAATGCGCTTTGTTGAGATCTGATGAAGTTGCGACGTCATGCCAATTCTGAGTTGGGCGGCTTTTGTCCGGGTTTTGCGGAAGACCAAAAGACTTGAGACCTAGCTCAAGAATCCTATCGGCTATCTCCGCATTGGCATCAATGGCATCGTCCACCTTGTTGAAGTTGTCAAGGATGGAGAACGGAGGCTCTGAGAGCATCTGCCAGTGTTCCGAGGGCAGAGCGTAAAAGGCTTGCCGTCGACGATGAGTCGTATTCTTGTGTGCATTTCGCCGATATTGTCTGCAAGTGATTAGCCAATTGTATTGATATCGTAAAGTTTGGTTCCAAAAGCGAAAAAGAGCTGCTAGCTGATAAATCTATATCAACCGTCTTATCCACGCACCTAAATGAGTCAAATGCAGCGAACAGCACCCGCCGTTCTTCAGGATCCGCAAAAGGATCGAAATCCCCGCCCCAACTGTTCTCCTCCTCAGTCTGGGGATGTTGGTGTTCAGATGCCATACGGAGTGGTCAGACTACACTGTCGAACTATGCTGCTCGAAACTAACCAACTTTACAAGCAGTAGACACCACGAGAGAAAGACAGCTAGACAGCAGAGATATGAGATCGGCAAAAACGGTCGAGAGTATATGGAGGGGCATAGTAAACAAGCGGTGATTTTTATTGGTCCACTTGGATTTACCGCTCTTCTCTCCGCCTTCTTGCATAGTACATTCAACGCTCCTATGTGACACCAGCGACAGAACCTTGTAGTAGGGCTGAAATGTAAACTAATGGGTAGAGCAGCAATGGGTAGTTATAGACACTCGTCGGTACTCTCGCTAGAAATAGTCCATATACCAAGTAGATAGACGTGCCTGATCCTCCACATGCACCCCATTTTCTGCCAGCAATAAACCACCAGGCGGCCAATAGCAATAAAGTCACGAGTAGCTGTTATGGTCAACCGTAAAGCGCCATAGCGGGGATTCGATATTGAATGTTCCAGGCTTCCAGCTCCTAGCATACTCGTCTGAACAGCTGCCGGCCATAATCTACATTGAACCCCCGCGTCACGACAAATTACAACTGAGAAGACAATAATCAACATGGCCGACGCCCCGCCATCAATTCCCTCAGTGGAGCTCACCACTCCCAGCATCAAACCTCAAGAGATCTCGTTCACATTGCCCAAAGCACTGCACACAACAGCACATGTTCACTTGAACTTCCTGGGACATTGCGCCATGGTATTTCTCGCAACCTCAACGCCAGGCGACTCAGGTGGCTCTATCAAGCCCATGGGGAGTTTTGTCTACACGATGCCTGATGTAAGTATCTCTGCTGTCATTACGTACTTTGCCCTTCAGCCTATTTTAGATTTTTATGCCATAAGACGTGAACAAGGTCCTGCGGCCGGGGTTTGCGTTAGCTCGAGATAGCTATTCCCTGCTCGGTTAGGAGTGGAATCATTTGCACCCTACCGGGGACGACAGCCCGCTATGTCCCAATTAGGCAGGAGACTTGTTCTTACGAGGATCTACAACTTGTGGCCGATCATTGGGTTTTTGTTTTTTTCTTCTTCTGCTAGAAGCTTGATTCTATGTTTGAAATGTCACTGACATTTGTATAGCGCGCATCTCCTAAGTCGACGATATCCACAACGCTCTACACATCAGCATCTAGCATTGAATACACAACCCGCATGGCCAAGATCCTGGCTAGGCGATTTGCGATTCCAGTTTATGTTGGGTGTAGCATTGACCCGCATGCTTTGGGTTTGGAGGTCCAGGAGGAGATGGAAGGGCTCACTAAGATTGTGAATGTCATTATGGAAAAGTGGGAAGAACACAAGCAGGCAATGACTGAAAATGCAAAGCAATAGGTCCGCTTTGTTGGAACAGAATTTACGATATATCTCTAGTGTTTCATCAATTAAAAGCCACCTGCCGAACCTGGACTCTGTCCGTTGAAGTCGCCTCTGTTGTGTACTATCTAACACTGCAGGACAATATGCTCTACCTGGAAGTCGACCTAAGTACACGTGTCTACTGAGCCTCTTTCAAGTGTCCATGCAGGTAGACTTCTGATTTGTCTGAAATGGAGACCCTATCTGCGGAAAGATCCTGGCCATCAAGGTCACATCGTCAAATGTCCTTCTAGGTCCGAACCCGAATACGACATCAGTGAGTGCTCTGGCTCTCTGTCAGTTGGAATTATGTTCCACGAACTTTGCATCCACTGTCTGATAAGCTCGTAGAGAAGTGGTTTTGTAGAAACTGGTCACAGGCTATATCAGTCATTTCGTCACACTCACGCATAGGGTATGTTTGGCGGTTGGGATCCTATGGACTATGATGGGAAACGATGTTTAGCCGGGATAGACAGAGACGGACTCACTGTTTTGTTCGTGGGGACAAAAGGTCTAGATCACGAAGTTTGAACAGAGTGGTCCTGTATCTGTCGATCCTGGACTCCCGGAATCCGATTTCCAGGTACATTTTGGCTCTGGGGAGATGCACAAGCAAATTGCATTGTGGCGGTGTCTTGCTATCGAAAGAAGAGGAAAGTACATCTGATATTGTTTACTCTGCGCTTTATGGAAGGTGTCAGGCACTCAGAGGCAGCCACTTAAGAACACAATGTCGCAGTTTCCAGAAATACCAAATTTAGAGCTTTGTTTACATTCTGCACTTGCCACATGCTGAGATCAATGTAGCTTGAAAATAGGAAAGAACGTCTGAGGTCGGTCAATTGACGTCTCGGCGCTCCCACTCCGACATTGGTCCAAAGTCAAAGTTGAAATTTGGATCCGTATCTGGCGCCTCGGAACTTTTACGTCCGTCAATGGGAAATCCTGTAGGGACCGGCTGCCGGCAATATATTTGATCTACGTACAACGTTTCAATCATCTCATACGTGCTCTTTTATTTGTCCGACTTCTTCGGGTGAGGACCCGAAAAGGTAATGACAAATGATATCCAAAAGACGGGTACTTTGAGAAGATATGTACAAAGTACGTTGGAAGAGGCTCAAGATCTACATGTAATGAGCTAACTAGTCTTTTCTCGAAATTTGTTTGTGACTCTACTCCGATTGTTCGTCCGTTTTCTATCAGGCCTCGAAGTCTCTCTGCGTATCCACTGCAAAAGAAAAAAGATCAGCTAGCCTAGTCATGATTGCTAGTCAGTTACAGGCCGCTGTATTGTTGTCCATGACTCCATGTGGCCTATGCTGACGGAGAATAACTTTCCCCCGTGAATACGACGGAAACAATTCACATGTTTTAGCTTGATAGCATCAGCATTCTACGATCCCCTGACACCACCGCTGCATCAACTGTGGACATCTTTCAATCCACATCGTCTGCCTCAACCCTTCTGTTTCAATATGAACGGCCAAATCCGCAATGAATCACGGATACCAAAATAGAACTCATACCCATTATACAAATCCATCTTAGTGTGAAGACCCAACGACACCACTAAAAGAACATCCAGAGTCAATTCGGCAACAGCATCTCACATCCCCACGTCAGGCCCGTAGCCAATCTCCCAATTCCATCTGAGACATACCCGCGGACCAATCCGCGGAAGACGTCGGGAGTCTCGGCTCATTAAGGTGACAGTTGCAGCGCAGAGCAAATCGGAATGACTCGGCTAACGGGTGTTTCATCTCGATCGTTGTCCCGTTGTGGGGCGCTGACCGATGCCCGTGATTTTTTTTGATGAAAGGAGCAATAATACAGATGTTACGCGCATACACGGCGTGGTGGAGAGTGGAGACTGATCTTGATTAGCGATTGGAATGGAGATTGAAGAGCTGTATGTCATCTCAATGACATACATATATTGGTCCCTTTCCGAGCAGATATACGTAATACCTTAGGGCAGCGTTGTTTTGTTGTCTTTCGCAAAGTGGGGTTACTCAATGATGCCATCCACAGGCCCCGAGATTCCTCTCTTAGGTTTGTCTCTGGCCGACCTGCGGTGTCCCGTAGGGTCTATGGGATAATTTTGTATGATGATGTTGTATGTACGAGTTCATCACGGAATTAGCTACCATGACGTATGAGACGATTAAATTTTGGATCTGTAAGTCGGTCCTCGCGTGGTCAACCCCTGATTAGCACTCTCCAATGAGAGAGGATACCTTCAGCCCGTACTTTGCAAGTGTGGAGGAATGGATCTATCTTGTACACCGCAAGTTCCAAATCCCAGTATCCAGTATATGCACCAGAGCCTTCTGGGCAGGTATAGGCGCAGGGGAATGGTCTTTCTACAGGGATATATCAGGCGGCTACCCCCGGTAGGTCAGTGCTTTGATACAGAACACGTGCTATTCGCGCAGGACCCCTGCATGCTCTATGGAGAATACTTCCGGCACACGGCACGAACCGAGAAAACTTTGGAAGTTCTCCAGGTCTCCATTATGGTTAAGCTCGTGCATGGGGCCCCTGTATCTAGAATTGACTCGGGACACAATGTCCTCTTTGTTAGGTGATAAACACTTTATTTTTGTTTATTTTATTCTTGTTTGCATCAATTTAAGTTCGACGGCGAAGTCCTAGTTGCCACGCGAGTCTTAGCTGCAGTTTGGCAACGAAATCCAAGTTCCAAGTTCATCTGCTAACCGAGGAAGGTGAGGGGAAAAGGTAGTTCAAGCCTCGATGACCACGTTGGGAACCTGCCAAGAGGAGAATTGCTGACTCTACAAGGGCCAAATGTCAGCGATACGACCCGCTGCGTTGGATTTCTTGTTTTTTTAAACTTTTTTTCCCGCTCTCTGTTCATCTTCGCTTGGTGAGCCGACCGGTGGAGACCCGAGAGCACATCAGTGACCTGGCAAGATTGGCAAGAGACTGACCTAGGACGGCTGAGGCTGTCTGTGCCATCTTTGATTTCCCTTTGTTCCCAGCACAGCTTTCACACTCGGTTTGTGTTCTTTGTGCTTGACCACTGGCCCCAGGCTCGTGGGGGCACCGTCTACTGTAGTTCGGCGCCACACCCAGACAGGGGGGAATTGTCAACTAGTGTCATGGACTCATGGGGACGGATGAACAGGACTGGCTTAGGCTGGAACTACTTGGTATGAGAAGGCGAGGAAATTGCCTGATCGAGCCGAGTTGTAAATAAATAACGTTCGGTTGAAGTTCGGGAAACCCGTTAGCGAGAGGAAGTGGCTCTGATAGGTGAGCTCGCATCCCAGTCCTCGACAGTGGACACCAAAGAAGTAAAGATTGGCTCTTGCCACTGGGTCCCGGGCCAACTATCCGGCCTATTTCCATGTGGTCCGGGGCCTGACTTCCGAAGTCGATCATCAGGGCTTGTGCAGAAGATGAAACGAAAGAGGAGGCGGCACGGCGGGCTGCCGAGACCTTCGTGGACCACGTATCTTTCTATTTTCCTTGTATTTTTCTTTCTTTTTTTTGATGATTTTGTGCCTCGTGTTGGGATCTTCTTATGATCTAGGATCCTGTTCCGAAGCTTAAAGATTCCATAGCACTGCAATCAAATACATTCGGGCTCCGTTCAAACCCCGAGAACACACCTTAAAATCTCCTTGATCGTCGCGCACCAACCTTCCCAAGGTTGTCTCCAGGTACCCTTCTGTCAAGCTAAGTGGGACCGATACCTCGGGGCTGCTGGACCACCTGGTATTCCAAGCTTTTAGCGGATTTAGGTGGGTATAGCTTTCGTTTTCTTTGGGATTTAGACACTGCCACTGCCGATCTCGGGGCTCTGTGGGGGTTTATATTCATGTTGTAGATAGCATAGTAGGAGATTTAGGAGTATTAGGAATAGGACAGACAGTCTGTGTGTATATCATAGAGTACTAAGAGTAAGAAAAAGAAATAAGTCTCGGCTCGGGTGAGATCCGTCGGCAGAAGATTCCTTAAACCTATCTTTACGATATTCTCCATCTTTGATAGCTTTTAACTACGCAGTACCATGGGAAGTAGTCGTGCTTTGCTTTTAATACGGGGGATTTCGATGAATTAGGAAGATCGTAATACTTCTTGTCGATCGGGTTCGTGTTTTTTATCTTTTTTCTTTTCTTTTTTCTTCCTTTCGTCCTCTCGTGAGATTCCATTTCATCGAAACGTTCAGGCATTCCCCGATCTCCCCTTTCTTCACAGGATTCCTTGATCTTCACACTGGTCCTAACCTCGGCATTTGGCCATTTGCATACTTTCCACGAACCCGATTGTCCGGTCCTTTACTTTTTTGGCTATTCTCGATTTCTTTTTTTATTTATTTTTCTATTTTATCCTTCGATTCCACTCTATTTCCCTTTTCTACCAATCCCATTCAACTCCCCAAAATGGCCTGACAATTCCCGTCAGAATAGCACTTCTTCAATGGTCTTGGAGTGGCGATAGGCTTAGCCCTACATTAATTTGTTCTCTTCTCTCGATCTCTTTTACCTATACACCATTCCCCCCCAAATATTGTGGCGGAGGTTGATATCTTTTCACCATGCAGCCATCTCATTATCGTGGTAGTCAGGGCTATGAACTCCCACCCGTGCAGTCGGTGACGTCGGGAGCTTTCCCGCCTCCCGCGCTGCTTTCCGCTCCGCCGAGCAGACCGGACAGCGGAATGCGGATGTCTCATCTATTGCAACCCATGCCTCAGCAGTTAGCTGCGCCAATGACATCGCCATATTCACGCTATTACGAGTCCGCGTCCGGCTCGCCGGCTGAGAGCAATGCACTTGCAGATGCATCATCAATGGGCTCGCTTCCGAGCCTCTACTCAACTAGCGGTGGACCTGGGCAACAAGGCTCCGCACAATTACAACAGAAACGCGCATATCGTCAGCGTAGAAAGGATCCTAGTTGCGATGCCTGTCGCGAGCGCAAGGTCAAGTGCGACGCCTCGGAGTCGGCCAGTTGTACGGAATGCAACAACCGCAGGGTGCGCTGTCAGTTTACCAAGGAGACGAACCGTCGCATGCCGTCCGTCAAACAGATCCAGGATTTGGAAAAGCAGCTGCAAATTACCAGACAGCAATTACATCTTCTGCAGACGGGCATGATGCGACCTGATCGCATGCTTGACACGGACGAGGGCATGCAGCCCATGGTGTTGCCGGAAATCGAATACCGTCCCGTGCGCCGGTCCAAGGCGCCCATTGCACAGGATTTCTCCGATGTGCGGTCGAATCTCCGTCATTACGGCCGGGGCATTCTGAAGGTGCCTACTCCCCACCGCCCAAAAGGTGCGGAATCGTTGGTAACGGGGGTCCCGCCGGAGCTGCCGCCGAAGACTTCGGCCGACCAACTACTGGCCCAGTATTTCAATTGCATTCACTCCGTCCTGCCTATCATACATTGGCCCTCATTCACCGCAGAATACGAAGAAGTCTATCGGTCGGGCACGTTATTGGGGGTCTCGAGTGAATGGGCGGCTGTGCTGTTTGGTGTCTTTGCCTGCGGTGCCATCCATACGACCGACCCGAACCGAGAGGAGGAGGGCAAGAGCTATATACACACATCTTGCGGGGTTATCAATGTCTGGCACGACAACTTCAATATGGATCGAGCTCGGGCGGCGCTGCTCGCAAGTATTTTCCTCTACGAGGTGAATGCGAAATCGGCTAGTTGGGTATGGATTGGTTCGGCAGTGCGGGTAGCTCAGGAGATCGGATTGCACATTGACTCGGGCCCATGGCCTGCAGTCGAAGGAGAGATGCGGAAGCGTGTCTGGTGGGGGTTATACGCCTGGGATAGGTTACTTGCTCTTGAGACGGGGAAGCCGGTATTGATCAATGATCAAGACTGTGACATCGATCTCCCATGTCCCGTGGACGATCAGTACATCACCGAAGCAGGCAAGAACCCCGAAAGTCAGCAAACCACGCCGCTGCTAGCTACAATTCATGTTGTCCGGTCCATCGGCCAACTTACACGCACCCTTCGCTCGGCAACCATCAGCCCCGCCACTCTCGAAACTTTCGAGCTTCACTTCAACACCTGTCTCGCCACATTCCCCTCCCAATATCACCCAAAAACTGACCAAGACCTCGACCCCCACTCCCTCGCCCCGGTGATCTATCTCCAAAATGCCCGCCTCCTCCTCCACCGCCACAACATCTCCCCCTTCTGTCCAGAAATGGTACGCGCTTCCGCAATGGACTACTGCGTCAGCACAGCTCTCGACACCGCCAACATTCTAGCCCGCTGCATGCGAAACTACCCCACCAACCCGGGACCGCCGGGCATCAACGACCCCCGCTCCCTATTTGCCTCCTGCGCCAGCTCTCTCCTCTGCACGCACATCTGGCGTTGCACGCTCTTCCTCCTCTTTCGCGCAGAGTACGCCGCAGCTCTCGCCTGCGTACAAGCTCTCGCATCGATCGGCGACGTCCGCAACGTCAACGCCGCCTGCGGCCGCTACCTCGCCTTCTTCCTACGGTGTCTCCTTTCCCGAATCCGCCTGGCCGACGGCCACATTCCCGACCTCGACCACGACGAGGAAATGATGGCCTACGTTTCAGGTGACATGCAGGGAACCAGCGATGGAAGTTGGGTATGGCATGGGTCCGAGACGGGGTCGCAGTTAGAGGGGATGTGGGTCTCGATGCCTGGTTCCCCGAGCCAGGGCGCGCAGACGGATACAGATGCCGAGTGGCAAGGGTGGAAGTGGATTGAGAAGACTGTCCAGGATCTCTTTACTGAGCAGCATCGTTTGCAGCAGCAACAGCAGGTGGCTTACGCGCAACGAGATCTCCCCATGGGACAGGGTCCGATGAAGCAGGAGCCTTCTTCTTCTTCTACTCTTGGTACTCCTGCGCCGGAATCGGCCGCTGATCCGGACAGACGCTCGGGTTCGGCGCATTCACGCATGACGATTGCTAGCATTATTTGAAGCGAGTATCTTGTTTATGGCTCTTTTCCTTTTTTTTTTCCTTTCTACTTGTCTTTGGGGTTCCTTGCGAGGATACCGAGATCATGCCGCATTGGCTGCAAGATTTGATATATTCTCCTTTTCTCTCCTTTTATACCTCCACCTACGTGTGACCGATACCATCTCCACCATTGCACAGTTCCTGCGTCGCTATTTGGGTTTTGGCTCTTGAATGAGGGTCGGTAATTGTGCGAATTACATACGCGCAGTTCTTTGCCATGGTGGGCTTTCTGTTGATCACTTACATTGCCGATACCCATGTCCCATGCCCAAGTACTTGTTCATAGCTTTTCTTTTTTTCTGATGTATATATCTTGGAATACCTACGAGCGTACGTATTTGATTTCGAGGTGTATCAAACCAATGAGTATTTCCATCTTTTTATTACCTGAATATCGAATGACCTCAACCCTTATCTCGCCTCGGAACTGTGTAATAACCTGGTGGGACGTGTCTTTAATTCACGCCTAAGGTTGCAAGCCACAAAAGATCTCCAAGAGTAAAATAAGGGTTCATGATCTGTGCTCGGCTTCGGGTGCGTGCCGGTGGAAGATCAGCCGCGGCTACCTAAACGGAGCGGATCCATAACATGAAGCAATGGCCGATGATTAGAGATAAATTTGATCGGGCCTCGGCATCCCGTGCTCAGACACAGGTTACTCTATTCTACAATCCCATATCTAATTAAGGCTACAAACCCGTATTTTATCCCGCATGCCCATGGTCCATTGTTTATGCTACCTACGGTAAGATCGTCGTAGGCTAACCAACTTAGTCCTGCAGATATGTTTGCCTAGATCAGCCTCTTATGTGAAGAGGGGTCACGGACCTCAGCTGAAGTTCTAACTTCTGCATCAAACCTCCTCTTCTCCGAACTCACTGTCTTTTCCTCCAGTTGCCTCGTGGTACTCGGGGAAGGTGTATATCCAACTTACTCACACTCGTTGTTATACTTTGTTGTTTTTCTCGGCTTAGGTTGCTTCCCAACCCTGCATGCATCTCGGCTAGCATCGCTTCGACAGTACACTTTTCATGGCATAATCATCGAGATGTTGACGTCGCCATATGAATCACTTTGGACTACCTCTGGTCAGACCCAACGCCCGGATGCAAATAAAGTCCCCCGGCGATGGAAGTTCACAGCAGCCTGGTGCGCGGCTCTACAGCTGATCGGGTGAGCGGGATAACATGATCAGACACGTGCTTGACTCGAGCCCTATCCCGCTGACAGTAAATTATCCGTGTTAGATATATGATGCTGGCCGTAGTGGTCGGCACCCCGGCGCATGAACTGCGAATCGATGCCAACGCGTCTAATGTCTGTGCCTTCGCGTTTATCGGTGTCTCCTACGGCGTATCAGCCCTGATCGCCTTCACCAAACGGCATCAACTGCGTTTTCTACTCCACTCGGTCTTCATGTGAGTTTCGAGAAAAAATAACACCCGTCTGTGCTCTACAGACGTTCGCTAACGAATGACTGTAGCCCATACGCGACCATGAATCTGCTTGCGCTTTTGAACATACTTTTCCATATTCATGGCCGAAAACTGCACATGAACACCCTTCGAATCGTGGTGATCTGCCTGCCCGCTGCCTTCTCGTTTGTCTACGCTGTCGCAAGCATCCTGATCTATCGAGAATATGGCCGGCAACGAGCGGAGGAAGCCACGATGCTACTCAGTGATGAAGAGTTGCAAAGACGTCAGCTGCTTCGCTTATTGGGAGAACGGGATACCAGTGCTCCATCGCCCGATCTCGTACGGAACACTTACCGCTTCGATTTGCCTGAGCCTCCGGAGGACGATGCGCGGAAGTATTGGAGTAATAATTCCTGAAGCATGCGACCGCGGATTTTCTTTTTATATGTGATATGAGCGTCAGAGCGTGTCGGCTGGATTTATGAGTGAAGATTATGCTGTTTGATTTGATGTCCGATATAACTTCTACTCCGTAGCATACGTTATGTGGCAGTTCCCCTTGCTGAGGCTTGGCCCGTGTAGATAAAAGATAGCGACGCAGGCTGGACGGACCTCGGCTGTTCCCGTGAGGGACCGACCGCATTTAAGAATCCTAAGCCATTGTCATCCACCTCGGTGACTTTCAACCCAACTCCCTAACCCTTTTCTTTCCATCTCCACGACTTGCAATATGGGCAAACGTGTAACGCTGTTCGATCCCCCGGCGCAGGACCACTCCAAGTCTCTTATCGAGAATGTCCTCGACCTGACGCCAGTAGTGGACCTCGGCCCAGTATGCGACATCCCTTTCTTTTCGATCGCGGCGGAAAGTCAACCAATATACTAACAAACGAGTTTCTGCCCTTTAGGATGTGTTCACTAATACCCGCCCGCTTTGGCATCCCCGGGGAGCCCGTGGCATCTACGGCGGTGCCGCGATCGCCCAGTCCCTCGCCGCAGCCATGCTGACCGTGCCCGCCGACTATGCCGTCCACAGCATGCACTGCTACTTCGTGCTCGCCGGTGACTCCGAAATTCCGATTCTGTACCACGTCGAGCGTGTACGCGATGGAAAAAGCTTTATAACCCGAACCGTGCAGGCGCGACAGCGGGGCCGGCCGATCTTCACCACCACGCTGAGTTTCAGCCGGGTCGGCAGTGGCGGCGAGAAGACGGTCCACCACGCCGTGCCGAAGCCAGAGGTCAAGTTCCCCGAAGATCCTGCACCGGGCAGTCTGAAGGCTCTTAGCAATGCGGGTGGCGGGGGTGGCGGTCCGTTTGAATCAAGGAAGGCGGGGATTTTGAACCGTAGGTTTGCTCGGGATGGGTTCTCTGCTGTATACGGTCTGCTAACCACGCTCGCCATATAGGCAGCTCTTCCAATCAAGAAGACAAAAAGATCCGGCGGTATATTCGCGCTCGCGGTGCAATCTCCGAACAGGGTGGGTATCAGGCACATCTATCGGCTCTGGCCTATATCACCGATAGTTACTTCATCGGTACCATCTCCCTTGTTCACGATATTCCGCGATTCTCTTCCCCGGGTGAACTTGAGAAACTGCTCAAGGCTCTCAAGAACCCATCCGATCTCGACGATGAGGATATTCATTCGGCTCTGAAGGAGTTGAAGGAGGAAGAGGCTGCGGAGCTGCGTCGTCGTGTCGAAGGAGCCCTGAGCAAGTATGCCAAGGCCGGTGATGATGACCACAAGGAGATTGGCATGATGGTCAGCCTGGACCACTCCATCTACTTCCACAACCCGTGGGCCTTCCGTGCCGATGAGTGGATGCTGACGGAGATGGAGAGCCCGTGGGCTGGCGAAGGACGAGGTTTGGCAATTCAGAAGATTTGGTCCAGCGATGGACTGCTCATTGCTACTTGCACGCAAGAGGTATGTTGCTCTTACATTTTCCGAATCCGCTAGAGCGAAGGACTAACTTGACCCTAGGGTGTCGTGCGGTTAAAGCAGGATAAGCCACCATTGTCGAAGATCTAGAGAGCTTGTGTTATACCCCTTTACCCCTGCTAGAGTGTGTCTTCAGTTTACTGTGACTTTATTTCTTTTCATATAGCTATCTTCAATCGTACATAGATTTGGACTTAGTCCACCCTCGACCTCTCATCTTTACTTTGTACTCGAAAGGTCATTATAGATGTTGCTCTGCTGCAATAGCATGTTGTAATTCCAAGGGTAATCTGTCTTTGTCGTAGACTCGTGTTCTCATCAAATTAGACATGAGTATACATCATTCTCCCAATCAGCAAACCAATGCAAAACACAACAAACCAGACAAAACAAAACAACTTTTGAGTTGTTGAACAAAAGCCCGACCCATTTTGACCCTTCCAGAGTACCCAAACGCGACAAATCAAATGTAGTCCTGTCAAACACATCCTCTCACTGCTCATTCCTCAATCTTCTCTTCGCCAACTCGTTGCCGATGATATTCCAAAACTTTTGCCCCCCAAACATCTCTCCCCTTATATTCACCCACATAATCAGGCCAACTCCTCATCTCCTTGGCAAGATTCTCCAGCTCATCCATGGGAAGCTCATCCAAAGGCGTAAGGTACGTCTTGACGCCGAAGACAATGGCCCCCGTGCGCGGCAGGCGGCGAAAGGTCTGCCTCTCGCGACGTATGAGGATCTCAGATGGGCGTGGATTGCTCAGTTCCTTTTCACAAAGAGAATTGGGCCGATAGAGAATATCTGTCAGGTTCTCGTTTGGTGCCTTGATTTCAACGAAGTAGTTGGAGCGTTCCATCGGGGTGGTTGGAGTAAGACGGGCAAGAAATCTTGAAGTTTATGGTCAGTATCTATATTCTGTTCTTGTGTTTGGTCTGGTATAGAACACACTTACTTGCTAACGGAGCTGGCAACTTGTTGGTGCCATAGTGGCACCGGGCCATGCAGTTGCGAGATAGTCCAGCCAATTCTCTGATTCACTGTCCACCCCGTTGGGAAGAGGCTGGCGCTAGCTGCCCTGTCTTATGTTAGAATTGGCGAGACTGGATTCGATGGGTGCCAGAGGTCAACATACAAGTAATATTCCCCCTCCTCATTCATCATCAGAATACTGAGATCCTCCATTGCCAGACGGACGGCGGCTTCGAGTGCCTCGGTCAATCCCTCATTGGGATCACGTCCGCTGACTGGGAATTTGTCACCAGTCATGTGGTTTTTAATGAACTTTTGATCGTTGTGTCTCGACATCTCGAACATATTAGGGAAACGCTCGCAGAGAAAATCGGAAACCTCCTCCAGTGCTTCTTGGCACGGTTCAATTGACTCCGGCAGACAACGCAAGACTTTCTCCCTTTTCTCCTGGAGCAATTGGGTCCGTACCCGGTGCTCGTCTATATAATTCTTGTCGAGAGTGAGCCAGTTGTGGGCGTCAAGCTTGCGGATGTCCATCAGCACGCGGTACCGTTCTCTGCCTTTTATGGGCTGCGCTGGGTACGGTGCCATGCGTCTGATGTCTGATGACTTTGCTGCATTTTCTGAGCAGGCCGTCTTTTTGAACTCTTCTAACCACTGAAGCAGTTGCTTTTGATGCCTGACTGCGAAAAGAAAGACGAAGAGCGGAATCGCCACGAGTGAAAAGATCATACTTCCCTCTATAAAAGAACCAAACTTTTGATTTTGAGAATGAAACGAGAAATCCAAAAGCACTGGGACTCAAAGGAATGAAAAGAAAGAAAGAGAAGCTTGTGATGACGAACTATGGCCGAGCGGGATGGATATGAATACTATAAATATCACTACGAATAGGGTATGAAGTCACCTCGGGACCCGACAGCAAACTACGATCACCAGACAACAAGTCAGCTTGACTAGTCTCGGTCAAAAATTGGATAGCTCAAGGGTATGGCAGCTGCATTCCACATTCCTGATCCAGCGAGCTTGTGCCTGCGGAACTGCTGTGATACGCCCAGGGATTCCCCGCAAAAAAAAAAGAGTATTCGGGGAGTATTGACAGCAGCCACATGATCTCCGACTTTTTTATATTTTCTTACATTTTTGCATGTTTTTTGTTAAATTTTTTCTACATCGAGACCAGGGCTGTGCACTGAACAAGGCAATTAGACAATCGGCTCCACTGAGAGTGGAGAAGATGACAAGCAAACCCTCAACCTCTCACTGGTCCTTAAGCTTCTCTTTCCAGTCGGACATGAGCGCTTAGAAAGTATGTGGACTCGGCCGGCTCCTGTAGCCCCGGCACCCCAGCACCCACGATCTAGGCACTGGAGATGCCCCCGGTCTTTAGCTTCAAACCATCGACAAGCTCTCTGTCCGTGCGCTGAACCGTCAGGTTTGCCGATAGAACCCCTTTGAACAGCCAGGCTTCTCCGGATATCCTTGGAGAGTCCATTTGTGCAGGAGTTGATGCGAACCGCGTCAGGCGCTTGCCAGCAATGTCATGTTTGTCTCCCCTACCCAAAGGAAATACCCAAAAGCCGAACAGACTGGATGTTTGATCTGAGTCAGGCCCAGAGTATTTCAGCTCCAGGGGAAATATTGATCGGCCCCACCTGTCTAAATTATGCCTTTTGGGGGGACACATATTAGATCTGACTGGCCCGGAGCCCGATCTAGTTCACACATCACACTGTCACTGAGCTAGATGGGCACATGGGATTAACTAGTCTGACGTATCATACCCCTCCAAGACCCGTGGGGTGGGTATCAAGGGGGGTTCTTTTGCTTTGACTTCAAAGGGTCCGTCCTTTGTCAATCCCGTCTTGAATCAGAGATACTAGGATCACGATATCTTGCAGGGGTTTCTACAGATACACTTGGGTTGAGATAGCTGGAGAATGTTGGGCGAACAATGACATTGCTTGGTCGACCTGCGTTAGATCAAACATACCTAAAAACAGGAAACGAGAAAATAACTAGAACCGAGATCACAGAAAGCTGTCCCACACTCTTCAGCGATCACCAGGACCAAAATACCCTTTTTTTTTTGGAGGCTCCACAGCCTCTGGGGTGTTCCCCGGGGCCGCTGCAACCGCACATCAGCCCCTTTCGCGCAAAGCGCGTTTGCCGCTGTTATTCTTCTTCGCTCGGACCTGCAGAGTACGCAAGCTGATTCTATATTTTCCCAGTCTGGCGGATTTTCATGATTTTCAGCTTCCCTGCACGTTTCCTTTCGCCTCCACCGTCATAGCTCCCCCGATATGCACCTGCAAAACGGATTTTTTCCACACAGACCACCCAAGCCGTAAATCGAATCGATCTGGTTATGTTTTGCAGATGTCTAAATATTCGCCACCGCGCAGGATCTTCAATTGTTTGCGCATTTCATTCGTAACCAGACGAGTAGGAAATGCCATACATCCAAGTACGGCATACTAACTTACCTGACTTAGAAGATGAAATCCTTTCATCTTTTCCCTTGAGATTGACTAGTTCAGAATCCGAAATTCCCCCAGAACCAATCAATGGCGACATTCAGTCTTCCTCTCAGGCTATTGCACATAACATAGAGTCTGGAACGTCCAGTAGATCCCTGCAACGATTAAACTTCTTCATCCTGGCTCTTAGGGTGCAGGCCAATGCAAGTCAACGGGACTTTGGCAATTGCCTTTTCTTAGTCCGATGTACTTCTTTTTTCTTTTTCTTTTTGCCCCTGTGCACAGACAACGCCATCACGCGCAATCAGTAGTCTTTGAAGTTTGATTAACGGTCAGAATGAAGGCAGTTCCAGTTGGTCACAGACTGGGCGTTTGCCTTGTTCGGGTACTGTCTTACGTATAAGCCCTTATTTCCTTATTTCCTAGAGATCGAGTTGATTTTCTTTGCATTAGTTGCTCCAGCCGAGATAAGCCTGGAAAGTCTATTTTTCAGGGAGTCAGGAGTGAGGATCCGGTGGGCTGTGTTCTCGTTTAGGGCTGACTGGGCGTCACATGAGTCTTTTGACTGGCATTTCTAGCGATCCAAAGTTTGCTATGCCTACTCCTTCTAATAAGTTGATGATTTCATTAAGACTAGACTAAGAATTATCGTCCCTAACTAGTGGATCACCAGTCATTTCAGTAAAGTAACGCTCGCCCAATGCAAGTCCTGGTCCCTGGAAAATGTAGACGCCGCGGATATGAGGAAACAAAAAAGAAAAACATAATGAAGAGCAGGCACCTATGCGAACGTTCTCCGTTCGAAGTGAGCGGAGTCCGAGACAGTGGATACCGGTCCTGTCACTTAAACATTAATAAGGCCGGGGGTATGGTCGTGTTTCGCCTCGTGAAGAAAAAAGAAAGATCAAGAACTTTTGGATCGCCAACCAGATGAAAACCGAAAAGAAAAAAACAGCAGAACAAACGTCCGCCATGCTGCCGTTGAAAGGTCTCTCCCATCAGGGTAGAAAAGTCGGAAGACAAGCTTCCTAGCTCAGCAAATAATCGACGCCTTATCCGTGCGAGCAGTATCAATCCTCGTCATCGAAATCCCAGTATTGCGAGAAGGAATAGGCGCAAGTGTATCATCCCCATTCGCCATGCGCTCTTCCCTCTCCAACTCCAACCGCTCAACCTCCCGAATCCGCTTCAGCTCCTGGCAGAACTTACTATTAGCTCTGATCCGATCACCGTAGCGAATAAATGCAAACGGAATAACCGAAACTCCCAGACTGAGGAATGCAATCAGACTGCAGGCCCAGGGAACACCGAGCCGGTTGAACATCGGCTTGGCCGCGAGCGGGAGGACGGCGCCGAAGATACTGCGCGTGCAGCTTGCAGCGGACTGGGCGCTGGCGGAGAGGGTTTCGTATGCGTCCGTTAGGTAGTTTAGCATTGCCATGAAGATGAGAAGGTAGCCCATTCCGAAGGGGATGCCGGAGAGGAAGGGGACGACCCAATGGATGTTTGGTGAGGCGGTCCAGCCGACCCAGAAGAGGGAGATGACGTAGAGAGGGCCGCCGATGCAGGCGAGTGGGAGACGGCGGTATTCTTCGATGAAGGCCCAGGGGGCGTTACGGGCTTTTGCTCGGGCTAGATAGCCATCGTACCATAGGAAGACGAAACAGGCGAGAATGGCGCCGATGCCGACTGTTGTGAGGGTTAGGAATTGGTGTGCCGAGATAAGACTGGGTGAATGTATAACTTACTGGGTAGAAACATCAAGCCAGAAACACCAGGGCTCATTTTGTAGATACCTGCATGTTTTTCCGTTAGTTTTGTGTTTATTTCGAATGGACTCTGGGACGGTCACCGACCTTGGAAGATGATTGGATATGCCTCAAAATAGAGGTAGAAGATGGCATATGCGAGAGCAAGATACAACGAGCTCAAGGAAACGATGTACTCGTGCATAATCATGCGGAAGGGCCGGGAGATCGTGATGAAGAACATTTCTCGCATATTGCGACTCTCAATGTCCAATGGCGATACAATGCTTGTGTTGCCGGTATCTTTGCGCAGCTTGTGTGCGCGACGCTTGAGAATGACCGGCGCGTAGGTTTCAGGCATGAAGATGACCAGTGGTAAGCTAGCTCCTGAAAGGATGAGCCCAATCCAAAAGCACCAGCGCCAGTCGACGACAGCAACAAAGCCAGATACCCAAGGTCCGATGATTGGCCCGAACGTTGTACACTGTCGATAGATTAGCTTTGAAGTCCGAACATTTCCTCCGGGATATCTGAAGACATACAGCCATAAAATAAGCCATCAGGCGACCTCGCAGCGTTGGGTCATCATGTACGTCAGCGAACAATCCACCAACAGTGGCGATAGGCGCTGAGGCAACCATGCCGTTGAATAATCGAAATACAAGCAAAGAAGCATAGGAGTCTGCGACGGCGCACGCCAGCGTGAACACCATGAATATGCAATAGGCAATAAGAAGAGGTGGCTTCCGGCCAAAGTACTCGGAACTAGGGCCCCAGAGCAACGGTCCTAGAATATAGCCGATGAGGAAGATGGAGATGGGTAAGACGAGAGCCGTTTCATTGGTGATGTCGAACTCTTCGGCAATTTGGGGGATGGCGTTGCTGCAAATCGACGAGCCGATAGTGCTGTTCATGACCTGCATGACACCAGATGCGAGGACTAGGAATTTTCTCCTCTGTTGGACAAGTTAGGTCTGTTTAATAGAGCTTCCGGCTTGTGGTGGAGACTGTTGTACTTACTGATCTCCAATTGACGGGGTTCTCTGGATCATTAGGCCCGAAGGACACAATCGTTTTGGAGGCCACCCGACGGAATCGAGAGCTTGTAGGATTTTCATAGCGTTCTTGGATGGGCTCATGGTGAATTTCTGAATCTTGACTTTCAGAGTCATGGGATATTTGCGACTCAGAGGAAGCTTTTACATTCTCTATACAGCTGTTTAGCATCGAACTCCTAAATTACAAAACTGAAAGCCTCGGCAAAGAGTATCGGCAACTGACCTGTTGTGGACATGACCTTTTGCATGTTCTCCTCGGGAGTGGAATGGTCTGCCATCTTGAGGACGTTTGCTCAACCATGCAATTCGCAAGAAGTACGTCAGAGGAAGATTTAGCCAGGACGCAAGACTTATAAAGGAATCAAACTCGAAAAAGTTACCCCCCACAAGGTCCCAGTAGCCGTTGAGTCAGACAAATAGAAGGTGCTCTAGAAGTGGGTTCGGCTCCACATCCGTCAAGCAATTTCTGATTCTGATCCCACGTTGTTGGAAAGTCTGTGTGCGAGACCAGTTTAGAAACTACGGCGGAAAAATCTAGCCTCTCTGTCAAATTCGGTATTTGGTGGTGTTGATCATCAGGCCTGGCTCGGTTAGCACGGCTTTTCTGACGCAAAACAGGAGCCAAGATGCTGTGGATTGCTCCAGTGGCAAGTGTAGATGGCACTGTACACAGTAAACTTTCACAGGGAATCTAATCTCGCACAGTAGGCCGATTGCCACAACCTACAATAATGAAACACCAACTGGTCTGGCTGAAGATACTACAAATGAGCTGCGTAAGCTGGAAGTGATGAAGAATTCAAAGCAAATATCTCGGCCGCTTGCATCTCATCATTCGATACCTTGAATTCTCAAGCCAATACCTCTGTCGATCAATCGATTGATCGTGCATTAGCCATTTCATCTAAAGGTCTTCCTTGTTAAGTCGGTTGGAACCAATAAGGCAAGTAGGAGTGGGCTGCGAAACCACAAGTTCCCATGACATGCGTGAATTAGATCGCAGGCTAGTAGACCCAAATCGAGATAGCCAATCTTCAAGGCGAGGAAGTTCCCTGTAGCGGGGACGCCAAGTATGTCAACGGGAACGGGGTTTTCCGCACAGCGTGGGCTCGTTTGGTTTCCATTCTCGGAGAGTGGTCCCGAACACGACTCCACATTTGGCCCAAACAGTTTATAAACAGACTAAAATAGTGAATGGCGTCGCCTAGACGTCTCAATATGCCCCATTGACATTCCCCCTACTGTGTAGTATGGTACCTGACTCTTGGGCATCTCCCGAGGTCGATTCTCGGGTGTTGGGCTGCAGTCGGCCAAGCTAAGGTTCCCCGGCGTCGTTTCCGGCCGCGCCCTGACGGGTTCGGCCTTGTCGCCGATCTGCTCGGACCACCCGAAGTCATGACGAGAAGAATCTGGAAAAGTCTGCTATCCCTTGGAAATCAGGTATGAACCTGTTGGGCATTAATCCGCATTATTCTTTGGAACCTTGGAATGAAATGTCAATCGCGTGGAGATCAAATGTTTGCCAAGGGGTAAGTACTCCGTAGGTCCGTCTGGGGTTTATCGAGAAATGGAGGAAGATTCAGTGGGTCGTGAGGCCTGAGGCACCAATTTTTACAATGTTGGTGCCTTAATTTCTGCCTCACCGCAAGATCGTGACCATTGTCCATACCTATTGCCCGGGAGCCCACATGGTAGGGCAGTTTGCAGCTCCAGCGATCGAAGGTCACAGAATGTATCCCATGGCCATCCCTCTGTACGCCTAGAAAGGCGTTTGCAGCCCTAGGTGCGAAATGGTATGGATTGTTCCACAAGGAGAAATCTCGAGGTTCAAGTAAGGACAGTCTATTCCTGATGACAATATAGTTTTCTGTTCGATTAGAGACTGTATATGTCTGCATTGCTGATGACGAGACAGCGATCAGCAGCTATATCGAAGAGGAACTTGTAGACACCCTAGGATAGTTATGATATGGAACTTACAAATGTCGATTAATTTCATTTCTTCCCTGCGCCCGGAAATTGACCCAAACACTGACACTCATAGCTGCGACTGGGAACAGACCGTATCCACGGCTATTGATGAGTACCGTATCATCCCGCCAGCCAAGAATATCTGTCCACTCTTCTCCAGCGTGTCCGTGACCGACGAACATGCGCTTGTATGCTGAACCACCATTGCTGAGAATGCAGGCAAGGCCGAATGGGTGCTCATTAGTCCCGTAGCGTACAAATCCTGTTGAGTCTGTAAGAATTTCCAATCCGTATCCATGACTTGGTTTGCACTAACCAATGCAGTTCCGTCGATTGAAGTAGTCCCGTTGTTCACCGTGTGCGTATAATTTTCTGGCACGAGTGAGTATGGGGATCTTTCCGCTGCATGATGGCCCGGATTGGGATTCGGGCCCTCCGTTGACACCGTAGAGATCTCCATAGAAGATGCATGGCTGTCCTTGGCTTCGGAGGAGGATCAATGCATATGCGAGGGATTTGAAGAATGGAGCTATGATAGTCTGAGAGATCTGTAAGTGATTGTCGGTTTGAGGACTGTGTGATGGTTGAGACATGGGCGAATATCACCTCTAATGACTGGCCAGGTTGCTATAGAATAGTAAGTTTTTCTGAGCCTGTTTGGGAAGGTCTTGACATACAGTATCATGATTGCCAACAAACGTCTAATGGCAAAAGTGTGGGTTAGCAGCAGTACTTCTTCACAAGACGCTCGAGCCTACCACAGCATGCAATGGCATCTGTTCTACCAGTGTGCCTGTAAAGATCTTCCGTAAATCACCACCTGCCGTCTTCGAGATAGCCGCAAAACGCCCCAAGAGTGGAACGTCGAACAACGAGACGCCGTAATCCATTAGTTGAAGGTATTTCAAGAGCAGACACACCTCCCCTCTCCAGTACTCTGCAACTATGAAATAATCAGCGCCAACCGTCTTACGCAGATGCTTCACAAAATCTTTCTGGAAAGAGGCAGAGAAATGCTTGGCTGCATCGATCCGCATGCCACTGATTGGCAATTCATGGCCTAGCCACTCTCCCCATCTGAAGATATCAGCTCGAACCTCTGGATGAGAATGATCAAGGTCGGCGAACATTAGGTAGTCGTAGTTGCCGTACTCATCGCTCACATCCTTCGCCCAGTCTTTGTTGTGTCCCACGATTTTGTATATTGCATGCTGCTGGTTCGCCTCGTCCCAGTCCACACCTGTGAAATGTTGCGAGTGGTACTTCATCGAACTGTATTTCTCACCGCGTCCCGAGAAGTCGAATCTGACCCAGCCAGCGATGATTTCAGGCTTAGAAATTTCCATACACCTGTCTAACTGACTGTCAACATCCAAAAGCTCTCTCGATCGTTCATTGTAGGCAGTGAAATAATCACCTTTGTGATCCACCTTGACAACTGTGAACTGCTCGGTTGAATCCGCTCCAGCCTTCTGGTTCAACACTGTATCCCAGTAGATTCCGATGTCCATGTCTCGTGCAGCACACACCAAGCTTTGTAGATCTCCCTTCGAGCCCCATCGCGTGGCCCGAGTGCCCTTTTGATCGAATTCTCCAAGATCATACAGATCATAAATGTCGTATCCAATTCCAGATGGGACCATCCCTTTGCAACCGGGAGGGATCCATATGTTATCGACACCGATCTCTTTGAGGTCCGGAAGTGCTTTGCGGAGGCGCTGCCAGTGGCGCTGGTCTGCCGGCACGTGCCATTCAAAGCCCTGTATCATGAGTTTGTTTTCAGGGAAAGACCACGCTGGTCGCTTTTCAGTGAGCATGATGGTATCTGGGTAAAGAATAAAGTATTTAGCTCGTGTCAATGCAAATTTGGCATATGAATCATTGAAGTCACCTTCGATTTCTCGCCACTTCCTGGCCCTTCTCCGGATCTTTAAGCAGCAACTCAGGAATGACAACATTTCAACAATCTCTATCGCGAGGGTGTGATGGGCTCTAACCAGTGCAAGACTTGAATGCTAGAGGAGGTTATGGGTATGTGATAATAATCAAATGTCCGACGCCCTTCAAAAGCCAGGGCCTGGCGGAACTGAAGAGTGACACTGGCATACCCTGCTGTGCGAGATACATTGCTGTGGAGGGTTTGATGGGACGCTCTTTGGAGCCCTCAAAGCGTTTTCTAGTTGCAAAACACTATCCATTCACCTTCCATATATTTTGCTCTTACCAAGCAGTGTTTATAATTAGGACTTCCTCATGGAGACTGCGCTCATACGGCCACAACTTCACCACCCTAAGGGGGAACAGCTCCCAGTCAGCTTGTACAACTGGTCAATGCGATGAACCAGTGTCACAAATAGCTGATGTGTAGACTTTAGTCTACGGTAGATATACAGAGTAAATGCATGGGGTTATCCATAGTATTTTCTTTGTCCAGTACTAAACCTCGGATCACGGGAACCAATGACCAATGCAGCCAAACATACAATAACTGGCTGTGCAGAGATGTCTCATTCCGCGGCTTTGAAATGGCATTGCAATCAACACGTGTCCAGTGTAACGTGGCCAACTGCGCGGCATACAGAGAGATCCTCTATTGCATTAATGATGAATCTTCATCCATAACTTACTCTGTAAACAGTAATGTGTTTATATGATGAACATCATGCATCCACATCTCAATTCTCAATCTTCTGCATCATCGACACAGCCTCGCTGGCTGATGTCTTCAGTTCATCTCCGATCGCAAGCTCAGTTCTAGCCATATCCCCAAATCTCTTTCTCCAAAGCTGCCATCTCTCCTTGGAGAACCCGTGTCTTCCTTCCCAAAGCGGGCCACCCCTCCCCAAAGCACCATCAAATTCCTCATTCCACTCATAGATCTCTTTCCCAAGAATACTGATCCACGCCGCCGCAGCAGGAATCAATGCTTCGAGACTCTCAGGCGATAGCTCCTCCGTCGGTGTCTCCAATGCCTCGCGCAGCGTAATCAGTGCAAACCACGAGTAAGCGAAAACAGGTTCCTTCGTCGCCATCAAGCGCGCGACCAATTTGTCCCGGTTGATAATTTGCGAAATCGTGCTCTGTCGACGGTCCGGTGGACTGGCATCAACGTTTTTATTCCATTCATCGCGGAATTGCCAGCCAAGGGTTGGCAGGTCTTTCCAGACTTGCTTCTCATAGAGCAGGATGGGCTCTCCGCTCGATGTTTTCGCATCTGGGAGTTTCGAGAGTTGGACTAAGACGTCCACAATCTTGTCATGTTGTTGTGGCAATTCGTATGCACATTTGATTATCAGTTTCCAGAGGCTGGTGATGCCTTCTTCTGGTTCTTCTTCGTTTGCCAGCGAGATTGAAGCCAGGTGCTCGGCGGCTTTCTGTGCAGAGATGCTGTCGCTGAATAGGTCATGGAGAATGGCGAGGCGAGAGGCGGACATTTCATCGGTAGCCATTTTGGAAGACGTCAATCTGTGATTACACGTTCGTGTAAGAGGTCTGATATGTGATTGTACTGGGAGATGTAGTGAGGTTGGAGAATTCTGAACCCGGGTTTTGTATGATTTAACAGTTTTCTTATCGGCGTGAATCACCGTCAAGTAAGCTGTTGGAAGACCAAGATTTAGGTAGTATTGGGCTCCGTGGCCTCTATCTACTAATATCATTGGCTGTGGTCAGAGTTTCAACCGCACCTTAGTTTAGGATGATAGTATCGAGTGCGCTAGCCAAGGCAGCATAGTTATCAATCACAACAGAATTTCTGCAATCAAATTGTAACTAGACATCTTTGCGGCCGAATCATATTTATATGGGCAGCCAGAAATATTTGCCCACGCAACCTCCGCGGGGTCCCAACTTCCATAAGCGGGGTCACCTATGTCAAACCTTCCTAATCGGGTACATGATCGCTGACTCTATCCTCCCTACAACAAACATGTACAGTTCAGAGATACGGAGGAATTACTACAGCAGTTGAAAACAGTGGCCAATTTAATGTGGCGCAAAATGATCAGGTTGTAGGTCACATCTGAACCACATTTCAATCGATATACTGACAAATCTTCAACCGAGAGATTGCCTCGGATGAAGTCCACCTGTTGTGGACATTCTCTTCAGTAAGATGATCCGCAACCAACCTGAGGGTTCCCGCAAAAGAGCTGTTCCCAGCGTTCGACGCAATCTCTGTCAAAAGCTTTCCATAGGCCCAAACATCATTCATTCGACGTGTATGGAATGGAAGATCCAAGGGTGATATTTCATGCCGTATCTCTGGAGCACGCCACTGGTACGTTACTCCACCTATGCCGCTTATATCAATAAGGATCGCATTGCCATCATTGTCGAGAACAATATTCGAAGGCTTTATATCCATATGGGTTTTCTTTGCGCGGTGGAAAACATCCAAAGCATTGCCAATCTGGACAGCCCATCGCTCCCAGTGGAATTCCCTAACACGCTCTTCATTAAGAACACGTTGTAAGGAGCCACCGCTATAGTACTCCATCAGAATCCCGTTAACAACCATTTGTTGGACACAATTCTGACAAGTCGCGTATGGGTTGGCGAACACCGCAATACCAGCTGGCTGAACGATCCCTGGCACGCCTTTGAATTGTTCGAGATTTTCAAGTTCTTGTTGTATCACATCTGAATCGCGTGGTAGGTAAAGGGGCCGATTGACTACCTTGAGAATATATGATTTTCCGTCGCGCTTGTGTAAAACCCGTGACACTGCGGCGGAGATTTCATCCTCTTCCTCCAATTCGGCGACATTGATGGCTCGAAAAGACGGAAATTGGAGGCATGGCGGATAAACCACTCTTGATGGGTCCTCTCGAATATGGAATTGCAGATTTTTGGTGTGTTTTGCAAACCCATTGGTGTCTTCTGGTTCGCGATATAGCTTCACAGGCTCGGTTGTTTCCGAGTCTCCGTTCAAGATCACTTCGGTCACAGTGTTATCCAGAAGAGCCATCGATCGAAAATCAATCAACCTCACAAAGTCTTGGAATTCACTTCGTCGTTCGCGCTTTGGTTTGATTTGCTTTGGCTCAGCATCATGGGTATGACAGTAGATTGTGCCCTCAAATGTTACTTTGATCCACCATTTTCTGTCTTGAAAATAGTAGACCAGATTCTGCGAGCGACTGTCAGGCTCAGGCTTTCTTCCAACTCGAAAGTTCCTGTCTTCACAGTACGATATTAATTCAAGGTCAGGAGTCGTAAAAAGAGGAGCTACTGCGGCTGGCATTGTGACTTCCAAGGTATGATCAGTGGAATGGGTAGTAAGTAGTTTCTCTTTTTCTGATTTTTAGACTGAGCAATGAGCATATCATCTGGATATGCGGGATTGCATCAAAAGAGAAAGGTTTAGTCGAGGGGTAGGTCTTTTACACCGTCTTTCCTCCAGTTAAACATTTATCACGTGACATCAAATGGTATGAGATCGCCAAGAAAGGGCCAAATGTCACTTACTCAGTCCCCAATGTGTCGTTATATTATGTAGCTATGTGTACACCTAGAGTACACATTTGATTATCAGTTTCCAGAGGCTGGTGATGCTTCTAGGATGTATGGCCAGTGCTCGATCCACTTTTCTGGGCAACACTGGTGCTGTCATTCGACAGCTGAGGCACCCACCTGCCTGTTCTGGCGAAGGATAGGCGGCACCTCGACCCCTCGGGGCCTTATTCCGACCTCATGGAACCTGGAATATAAGATTCACCAACAGCCCACATTGACAACTCCCTGTATAACCATCAACCCGATTCCAGAAAATAACCTATCCCTCACACCATGGAACAACCACACCTCGCAGGTCCCAGCCCCATCAACCCAATAACCTGCGTAGACATGCACACAGCAGGCGAACCAACCCGGATAATCTGGAACAACATCCCACCACTAGCAGGCACCCTTCTCGAACAAAGAGCACAAGCAAAGTCACGATTCGACGAATTCCGTCGACTCCTCATGCTCGAACCGCGCGGGCACTACGATATGTACGGCGCCATCTTACGTCCGGAGACCGAGCTCGTTGTCTCGGGCCAAGCTGATATGGGCGTTTTGTTTATGCATAACGAAGGGTTCTCGACGATGTGTGGACATGGGACTATCGCGTTGGGCCGATTTCTTGTCGATGTTGATGAGAAGATTTTTCCCCGTCGGAAACATTTGAGCTATGACCCTGACTCTCGTACGACTGCTCTGAATTTGCATGTTCCCTGTGGAATCGTGCGGGTTACGGTCCCTACTTTGAGCTCTGGGAAGTCAGATGCGGAGCGTCCGGTGTCGTTTGTTTCGGTGCCGTCGTTTGCGACTGCTACTTCTTTGACGGTTTCGGTGCCGGAGAAGTATCGTTGGGCTGAGCTGGGTGGGAGGAGCTCCGTTACGGTTGACATTGCGTATGGGGGTGCGTACTACTGTATGGTTAGTGCGGAGGAGTTGGGGTTCCCTGGTGGGCTTGGGGAGGTTGCTTTGCAGGATATGGACCGTGCGAGCAAGTTGCTCAAGGAGACCGTGGTTGCCAATCCGGAGCTGCAATATCTTACTCGGGATAGCAGGACGGCGGAGGAGGGGTTCTTGTACGGGGTCATGATCACAGACTCGCGGCTTGGACACGTCAGTGCCGTGGAGGGATCGGCGGCTTCTCGTGCCCAGTTGGATGCTGGAAGTGAGGAGACGGGGCTGTGCTTCTTTGCCAATCAGCAGATTGACAGGTCTCCCACTGGGAGCTGTGTTGCTGCGAGGGTGGCTCTTGCCTATGCTGCAGGATCTTTGGCTAAAGGGGAGAAGAGGGTCTATAATTCTCTAGTGACTCGTGCTCATAGAGGTCTTGCTGGCTTTGTTGGGTCCGTCTTTGATGATGCTGGGTCTGGTGGTGTACGAGTCTGTGTGGAGGGATATGCATACTATACCGGTTATCACACTTTCGTAGTAGAGAAGGAAGATGGCCTTGGGGTGGATGGATTCTCTGTCAGGGACATTGCTTTGTAGGTGGTTGTGCAATTGTATGTTTATATTGCATATGAAAGCCTGGATTGTCAACTCAATCGGGATCTGGGCCGGTGGCCTCGCCTCGACAGGGCGCGGCTGCCACTGGACCACTCTGTCCCATTCGTCACTCTTTCTTGAGGGTATGCGGTCGCTTCCTATTCCTGATCAAGGTAATTTCCTGCTAAAAAGTCAGGAAAAATAACTGGCTAATGAAAAGAGGGTAATGAATTCAGTCATATCCTTGGAGCAGCACTGTCCTGCATACAAGGGCGGCAACCATCGATATCCAAAAGAATGCAATTTTTGCAATTTTGACTGCGACACTACTACAAAGACAAGGAAATGGAAATGTTTGTAATGTAACAAAAAGGCGAGCTTGTTCTTGAAAGGAAAAGGAGACAAAATATTGTACATCATGTGTGAGGGATGGACAAGGCGTAAAACAAAAGAAATTCTAAGGGTAGTCTCTATTATCCTCCCGAGCATATTAGACTCGAGTCCTCTATTTACCGATCTCAACACCGCCAGTGGCACCGAGAATGCGCTTGATGTCACCGTAGATGGCGAACTGACCGGCAGTGATGGAGCCAACCATGAAGAGACGGGCACCAATACCACCGTAAGAGCCACGGATACCGAGCTCCTTGGCGATCTTGATGAGACGGGTGACAGTACCCTCACCAGGGGCACCCTGGGTCTTGTTGATCTTGGAGAGCATGGTGTCGGCGGGCTGGGAGATGATGGCGGCGGCGAGACCGGCGATGAGACCGGAGCCGAGGTTGATACCGGTCTTGCCACTGTCGGAGAGGGTCTCCTTGTTGACGCGGGCGAGGATGGCCTCGGAGACCTTCTCGAAGACGACGAACTTGGCCATGGTGTAGGGGACCCTGGGAACGTTTGAGTTAGGGTGGAGTCTTTTGACAAAGTATATTGTGGGGAAATGAACACTTACTGCTTGAACAGGATGGGTCCGAATCCGGAGTAGAAGGCACCAATGCCCTCCTCCTTCAGGATGCGGGTCATGGCAGGGAGCAGACCGCTGGCGAAGGTAGGCTGGGAGACAAGACGGATACGGGTGGCCTCAAGAGGGCACAGGGCGATATCAGCAATGAACTCAGCGGCACCGGCGGAGGCGAGGTAGACGGCGGTGCGGTTGTTCTTGGCAGTCTCGTAGCCAAGGGCGTTGATGGACTGCTGCTTGAAGAACTCGTATCCACCGAACTTGAAGGCTCCCTGGAGGAAGTAACCGGCGGCGGTAGGACCGAAACCAGTCAGGAGAGCGCCAGCACCCTCGTTCTGGATGACCTGGCGGAATCCACCGAGCATACCGCGGTTGTAGGTGACGGGGTCAAGCTGAATACGGGTCTTGACGCTGTGATGGACCGAAAATGAGCGGATATTCGTCGCGCCGGCGAGAGCTTCGCAGAAATAAACTTACACATCGAGAGGAGTGGCAGCACCGTGGGTGATGGCGCAGCACATGGCACCAGCGAAGGAGAAGCGAGCGTACTACAGTGTTCGAGTCAGTTGAAGGCGTCGTGAGGCGAGCAGGTTCAGGTGAACACGTACGAGGTTGAGAGCGCTCATCTCAGGGACATCCTTGGGGGCGGTAGGGGCGGCCATTTTGATGGATGTGAGATAACGTAAAGAAAAACGTTAAGAGAGGAGAGGTTGGGATAAGATAGAGAAGGTCAATTGAAGCCTTTAGGAGTGGAAGAGAGAAGAAAGGATTTGAAAGGGATGGGGCCGCTGAACCCGAAAACTTTTCGCGGCCAATGCGGGAGCCGCTCGGCAGAGCCACTTCAAGTCCGATCGCCCGGTCAACCGCCTCGCATCATTCATGTTAGCATTTCATCTACATTTGATCATTGGTTTTCTATAGTTCACTTTCAGTTCGTTGAATTGGCTATATAGCACTCTTTCGGGTCAATTGTCAGTTGCTGATGGCTCACCCGTCGCCGGAATTAGGCGGGATGAGGAATGTAAAATCAGGATTTGACATCTAATCCTGATCTGGATATAGTCTAGGGCTTCCTTGGATTTTATGCCAGGCTCGTTAAGAAGGAGTGGGGGTCAATATTATTAATGCTATATTGGCCATTTGATAGAGATCTTGAGGTTCAGAAGCACAAGGCCATTGCAATATCAGACCCACGTTGCGTGGGAACGGGAAGTCGGGAACGGTGCATCAGCCACACTTCTCCCTACGTCACAGTGGACTACCGGATGTATGAAACTCGGTCCCACCAAATATCACCTTTGAGATTAATACACGAGTCCGCCAAAAGAGCAACTCAGCAACATTGGGAGTAAACCAAGAAATTGATAAAAAAAATCGTAAGAAGAGACTCAATTCACCTCAGAAACAACAGCCGAATTTCCCCTAGAAACGCCGATGTACATTAGCCGGCATAAAAGTCGATAGTTAATGCATACGGTGTAGTTAACGACCGCTTCCACACTAGTTAACTAAGTGTCGAAGTAGTTAACTATTCCATATGTTAACAGCAATGGACATTCCGAAGGCCTATGGGGAAGAAAACTTGTTGGATGCCTGTTTCTCCTATACAAACAGAACATCAACAAGACAAATGTTGCCTTAATGCCGATAGGAGCTGGAATTTCAATAATGTGAGGACAAAAAGACAAAAATAATGCTCACACTCGGAGTCGAACCGAGGATCTCATCATTACTAGTGATGCGCTTTACCACTAAGCCATGCGAGCTGTGATTGGTGGATCTTGGCCACACCTATCTATAACCGGATACTAGAAATATATACAAATGAATCCTTGTCAGTTTGAGCCCGTGAGGTAAAGATTTGGTTGGAATCACTGAGATATATGTGCCACAGAGACATTGGGAAGGAGTCATGAGCCACTCGATTCGACCTGATAGGGTGAATCGGCTCACAGTATATGTCTAGGTATCAACGAGAACATGATTGCGATGCGAAGCGCCGAAGCATCGCCTTACTTACTGTGTACTACCCGGCATAATAACACCCCTCTCGACAGGATAACATTGTCCGAGCTCCCGCCGGCGGCAGATGCTCCCAGCAGCCGGCGCGCAGGCTATTCCCGGAGGGCAATCTGGAATGCCAGGCAACGAGATGGTTCGCACTGCCTCACAGGCAATAGCAAGAACTATGACGCGACTCCGATTTTTCCCAGTACCTCTGAAAAGTCGCGCCTGTCCTATGACCAGCGGATCCCGGGTTTTTGGAAGTACGTCGATGTATTTTGGGGACATGCCACCGCCGAACGATGGGAAAAGGCGGTCTTTAATAATCCAAATGATCCCGAGGCTCCTGTCAATGATTGCACCAACATGATCTGTCTTCGAAAGGACCTTCGCGCGGCTTGGCTGGATGCACTCTTCGCCCTCCGCCCCGTTTCCCTCTCCAACGACAAGACCGAAATGGTGATCGAGTCGTACTGGCAACCGCAGTACACACACAGGCCGTTTGAGACCATCCCGATCACCACAGCAGCTCTGTCTTCCGAAAGCTCCATTGGCGTGATCGGAATGGCTGTGATGGTGGGAGAAGGAGACCAAAGACGGCCCATCGAGTCGGGTTACCGATTCAAGATGACTACCCATACAGCTACGGGCATCCGCGATACGTCGAGGAAGGTATTGTGGTGATCGGGATGGTCTCTGCGAAGGTCCTTTCGAAGACAGATCATATTGGTGCAATCATCGACAGGAGCTTCTGGATCATTTGGATTAGTAAAGACCGCCTTTTCCCATCGTTCGGCGGTGGCATGTCAAAATACAACGACGTACTTCCAAAAACCCGGGATCCACTGGCCATAGGACAGGCGGGACTTTCCAGAGGTACTGGGAAAAATCGGAGTCGCGTCATAGTTCTTGCTGTTGCCTGTGAGGACGCAGTGCGAACCATCTTGTTGTTTGGCATCCCAGATTGCCCTCCGGGAATAGCCTGCGCGCCGGCTGCTGAGAGCATCTGCCGCCGGCGGAAGCTCGGAAAATGTTGTCTTGTCGAGGGGGGGAGGAAAGGTTCTTCGTTGGTGAGGACAACAGTGCTGATCCGGTCTGGGAGGGCAGGCGGCGCCCTTCCAGTGAGGGGCAGGCGAGTGCAGGAGCGAAAGACATGAGCACCAGGGGAACGGAATTTATATCTTTCGCATTGTTTTTGATCACATGGTCAAGGTCGTATGCGTTTTGTCGCATCCTCAAGATCGTGAACCGTTACATACAGTCAAGATCGTCTCGTATTGTCGCATCAAGAAACCTCCGCGAGGAAGGCGCACGTCTTCGGTATCCGCATTCAACCCCCGCCTGGGGAAAGCGCACTATCTTGATTCCACTGTCTAGGAAGGAGCCGGCGCCAAATGCGCGCCAGCCAAATACATCGAGAACTTGAGTATGCAGAAAAATCCGACCGTCGGACGTCTCTAAATGGGTCATACATAATATCAAATGCATAGAGCTTCCTTATAGCCGTTTCATCCATTCTCGATCCCGGATTTCCTGCATACGGTTCTCGGCCATACGTGCTCGTGGAGGCATTCCCACCGGAGGAGATCTGATATGAGATGTGGAGGTAGAGAGATAGAGGCACGCTCACGCTGGATAGCATGGATGCGTCTGCGCCGGGCACTCCTAATCTCGTCCGATAACTCCACAATATCATCTATATCATCCTATCGCCGAACAGTCGGAATCCGAAATAGCGGTTACCTGTTTGGGGGAAGGCATCATAACATGATATATATCTATCACAACCTATAAACAGTGTCATGCGAACCTTGAGTCGGGCAGTTCAGGTATTTGCACGCATTAGAATGAGGCCCTTTCCCCATGATGGGAAGCCCTTACATGCAAAAGACGTCGATTTTCCGTGCTTGATTGTATGTGACTAGGAACTGATGCATCCGCATTGTGTACTGACTTCTCGAAAACCAGCATGCTCTGCATATAGTACAAGTATCTTCACAGGCGTTAAAAACGCACTGCTTCTCATCCAATCAGCTCGCATGGCTTAGTGGTAAAGCGCATCACTAGTAATGATGAGATCCTCGGTTCGACTCCGAGTGTGAGCATTTTTTTGTTTCTGGACAGTTGGTAAATTCCTCGATGTGGGCCAGTTGTGGGTGTTGGTGCTGGATTTTTGTTGGCTGTTCATCGTCCCACTTCTTACGAGATGGGCTATGGAACCAAGCACGGCCCAGACTGAACAAATTATGTATGTAGGATGAGATTAGGTTGGTTAGTTTGTCACTTTGTGGATTCATGTTGAATAAAACAAGACATCCTGGATGCTGCCCGCAGCCCAGGTGGTTGTTGTGTACTAAAATCACATGACATGGAGTCAAACAAAGTTTTAAGGAAGGTACGAAGTTCCAATTTTGGAGAGATGCGAGATTGGCTTAAGTATTACTAAACGTCATATGCTGCCAATAAGTACTAGCTCGCATAGCTCAGTTGGTAGAGCGCGTGACTAGTAATCACGAGGTCTGTCGTTCAAATCGGCATGTGAGCAATTTTTTTATAAAATTTTTGGTCTTCATCCTGACTGTTTTGTACACAGTACTATCAAGTACTAGGAATGCAAGTATATACTGCGCCGAGTCAGACAAGGCAGCTGCGCTAAAGGATCACGGAGAGGCTTGGTATGATATTACGTGTAGCCCACTTATCGTGGGACAAGTCGTTGCATTCAACTATTTGAACTATGTACCTGCAAGATAGGAAACGAGAACGTCCCGCCAGACCGTAGGCCACCCGTTGCACCGGAAACAAGAAACTACACCGAACAGATATGCAAAATAAACCCAATCCATAGGAGATACACCGTAAGAGATGGGCCCGGGTGAGGTCGACTGCTGTAAACAAAGGGGGAAGAAGTGCCTAGTCTAGCTGTTGGGCAAGCAGCACAAAAGACAAGAGACAGAAATAAGAACGAACCAACCTTGTGCTCCGTAAGCATGGAACGCTCGATGTAGAAAAGATCGAAAACTCAAGGACGCTTAGAGTTAGATGTTCGGTTCGGGGCATAGATAGCGCTGCAAACCGCATACCAGGTCAGAGACAACGGGCAATTTGAGGACGATTTGTCGAGGACGATTTGGATTCATCGTTTGATGTTGGGGACCAGCCCCGGCGGGATGGATAGAGGAAGTACGAGATAGGGCCGTTCATGCGGGGGTTGCGGAGGTGACTCGACGTTTCGCGGCTGCTTCGGTTGAATCCTGAGAATCGAAGTTGGTATTAGTCATTCTTACTTGTCGCCATGCTGGGGGTTCGTATCGCAGGGCGTTGAGATAACGGTTTCCAGGGTTAATGGTATGTCAGGTCCCATCTGATCTCGATTGTTATTTGCACACTTACGTCCAACTCGCCGATACTGCGTTTCTGGCCGGCTACCTCCGCGCTTTTCTGACCGGCTGTTTCCGCCCGCTTGACGACCTTTTTCTTCGGCCGGGAGGGTCGGGTCTCACCGGGCTGGAAGACGTCTTCGGGCAAATCGAAACTGCGAAGGATTAGATCTAATGCATATCAACCGCAGAATAAAGAGAAGCGTACTTGCGGACATGGGTAACAGCCAGTTCCATGACTGCCTCCTGGTAACCTGGCCACGAGGTGCAAGCTGCTTTGAAGATCTGTGAGTCGGTCGATATATCCAGAGATCGCGATTGGCCTGAATGAAGTTAGCAACCTAGAAAGGTCATCCAAGAGGAGCGGCGTGATTACCTGGCTCTAGAGGTTTCAACTCCAGGCCGATGTAATAAGTCGTCGTGTAGACAGTCTGGCCATCATTCCCGTTCTTTTCCTCGACTTTAATTTCGGCCGGCCCTGGAACCTCTGCATTCTCCAGCGTGTTCTGCACTGCGGCTTGGTGAGCAGCATCTTTAGTCTCGTCCGTCATCTCGGTTTTTGTGCCTTTGGCCTGGTGCTGGGTAGACCCATTCTTGACCGCATCCATTTCTTGCTCGTTGGCGACGAGATGAACTCTTTCAAACCCTTTCGGGAATGGATGAGCCACTGCAATGATGGGCTTGCGGTCTAGTGCGCCAACGAGGTGGCGTAGTTTAGACTCAACGAGACCTGACCACACAGACTCGGCTTCCTTAGTCCTACTAGACGCCGTGATGCTGAGATAGTATTTGTAGTCATGGGTAAAGAAAGTGTGGCGTGCGAAGAGATCTTCCCATGATAGCTGCTTCGTCAAGATCCTGTCTACCATATCACCACCTCGGTGCAACTCCCTAAGGATAACAGCCTTGGTGGACAGACTGATGTTGTGGGTCGCGCACATGGAAGGATATGCAGGAGTGATGATGGGCATCAGATGGAAGCGATCACCATGGTAAATCTGAGATTTATTAGTTCATATCCTCGACGAAAAATGGTGCGTCGTGCTTACCGATGGATTCCAAACTTTGATCTGGAGGGGACCGTCCTCAATCTGTTTCAACAGTACAGGTTGAGGCCACTTCCACCGTTCCATGATCTTGAAAAACTTCCCCACAATGACAGAGCCAGTCGCTTGCGGGTATAGTTGACAAACTCGAGCCACCAGCATCGCCCATGCAACACCGCCCGGGAACCCGACGATGTTGGAATAAATCGCTCGCCCTAAACAGCCACATATGAGTCAGTGAGAACAGTGGGAGTCATAACAGGTGCCAGTACATACGTTGGGCCCACAGTTTGATTGCGCGCAATGCAAGGCGGAATGTCTTTTGTTGCGGGACGAGCTCTAGTATCTCATCTGTGACACGGGTTCCATTTAGCGATCGCACCTCGCGTTCATCAAGTCCTCTGAGGTAGTCGTTGTTCTTCAGATCGAGATTCATCGGGATGGAGGGAAGCACAAGCCGGGCAAAGATCAAATCAATACTGATTCCACATAGCTCAAGCTTGATGATTGGAACGAACGCATCGGGAACAGGGGTCATCTTCTCGATAGCTCCCTCGGGGGCCATTCTTTCGAGGATAGGAGGGAATTCGGCGAAGAAGTCCTCGATCAGGACGTGTTTAGGTCCAACGACTAGCGTATCGATATCGGAGCCTAGGTGACGATTGTCAATAACGGCAAATGGGAGGATATATTCATCCGTAGCTGGCCACTTACCCGGTCCATAAACACCCAGCCTGTAGCTTCCATAAGTGAAGATTTTACCACCGGAGGCTTCAACAGCCGCAGGAGATAAACCCTTGTTGCGACTGACAACTTGAACAAACTCCACTGTAACGCGCTGGAGTAACTGCAGCACTTGTTTTCTATCCGATGAGTGTCAGTTGGGGAACCAGCGCAATACCAACAAATGTAAACATACCTCCGTTCCGTTTCAGCCGGTAGCTCAAAGTTGTTCTGAGCCTTCAGCTCGGCGATGAGATCGTCGTCTGCAGCAAGCTCATCTTTGGTCGGCAAGGTAGATGCTATCGGGGGCGTAACACCCCATTGTCGGGCAGGCGCTGTTGCCATTGCGGGAAGGAGCCGATATGATTAAATTCAGGACTTGTCTTACAAGCTCTGATAGGATAGGGATCAGATAACGAAAGACGAGTTGGTGACAACGTCGACGGCAAGCAGTGTGACAGGGGATTGAATTTAGGCCAAGGCGAGACGAAGGTGGGGAATTGTATGAAAAGAAAAACAAGATCGCGAACAAGACGCGAAGAGAAGGCAGAGAAGGAGACAATGGAATTAGAGATGGAGTCGCAAGGTTCATCAGCCATCTGCGCTTCCAGACCGGGGAAGTCGCTTACTCATTGTCACATGATCGCAATATACATCCAAGGCCGAGAGATTCAAATGTGGTATCAATGGACTTTGCTATTGGCAATCACAAACTACATTACGTATGGCTGCGTGCAGGGTAAGTACTTAGACTGAGGTACACGTAACTGTATTAACATCGACCTGTCATCATGTCATCGCCTCTGACCACTGCTATGGTCAGTTGAGACTTGAGCGCGCTTGAAACCTTCTGGGTCACTGGGTGAGAGAATCGACCCCGTCACCTTTGTTGTCTGCAAAGAACTGGGCAAGCTTATTATCAAGCCACTTCACGTCATCCTTACTGTTACCGGGGCCTCCTGCCCAATCTGAATATCGAGTCAGCTTATTATGGACGCTCATCAAGACTTAGTATGCTTACGGCCCCAAATGGACGGGAACACACCAAGTGTTCCAATACCTGGCTTCATGCAAGCGACTTCATACTCCGAGTCTTCTGGTCTAAAATGATAACACTGTCAGCGTTGGCTCGTTAATGAGTAATTCCAACTTACGGGAAATAGAGATCTGTCTTGGACGGCAAGACGAGCGCTTTCGCTTTGATGGATGCCATTGCCTTTTCGAAGTCACCACTGTATAGCTCTTGTTGCGAGACATCACCATTCTGCCAGGTCTGCAGTAGTACCAACAGATTCTCGGGTTCTTAAAAAACTTCTCTTAGTTTCGAGATTCACCCGGGAGCTCGAGGGTCAAGCCATACCTTTGGAACAAGCCCACTTTTCCCAGAAGTTGACCATGAAGTCTTCGAGATCTTTGAACTTCAGCTCAGTTTCATATAGTCTGTGTCGATAGAATGCTTGACTAAATCCCCTGTTATCAATGCCTTGGGTAAGTATCAAAGTATCAACTAAGGGTGGAAATTATGGCAATCCTTACCAGCCAGCATACACACGGCCCATTGCTTTGAGGCCAACATCCTTCTCTTCCGCTGTCCATGTATACGCCTCTGCGGTCTCTCTATCAAGCCCAATGTTCCCTGTCCCTGCTGAACGGCTCTTTTTGACTGCAATCAGGGATGTCTTCACACCCTCGATGAAGACCTGATTGTGCGGAGAAGTTTTCGCAGATGCACAAAAGGGGACCACAATATCCATGAAGTCAGGATACTGCGTTGCCCATTGGAAAGTCTGGGCTCCTCCCATAGACCACCCAACAACAGCGCGCAGATGCTTGATGCCTAAGTGCTGAGTGACAAGCTCATACTGCGCCCGCACATTGTCGTAAAATGACACCTTCGGGAATGGCCCAGCACTCGGCCGATTTGATGGAGAGGATGACTGGCCGGCTCCGAAAAGGGCTGGGATGATGATGAAGAAATTGGCTGGGTTCAGGAACTTGTCTTCTCCAATCAACCAGACGTTGTCGGAGATCACTGGAGCGAGTGTTAGACCAATTCTACAGAGAAAATAAACCCACTCTAAACATACTTCCAGAGAACCAAGTTGGATAGACGATTGCTGGAGATTTAGGGTCGCCGAATGTCTTGTATGCGATATGGCAATCCGTGATCTTCTCGCCGCTCTGGAGCTCCCAGTCTCCAAGCTTGTAAATTTTATATTGTTCCTGTGACATGATGAGACACTTTCTGAAATTTCAGAATCAGAAAGTTAAGATGGATCTGTCAGTACTCGCTGGTGGGCCGGGGTGGCGGAAGTTCTTGTCTTTATGTTGTACCGTTGGAGATACCTCGCAACCCCGCTCTGCTGATTCCCTGTCAATTTGTCACAGATAGTGTAGTGGGAGAACTGCACGATGGCGCAGTTCTCCCACTACAATAGGTACTTGGAGACCTTGCCAAGGATCTTTGGAAGCTTCCAAGGTTCCAGGGCGACATATCTAGTAAGTATCTCAGATAGCCCTGGAAGTTCAGTCTTGATTGTAGCCAGGTACCTCCTGAGTTAATCCCCTTACATATCCATTTAGACCCGATGTGGAAGATGGAAGGATGGGCCCTGGCTATGGGCGAGGATGCCCTTCTCCGTACGAACTTGGGGGCCCTTGGGGAGAATTCATAAGCACACAGTGGAGCTCTCCGGGGTAACCTTGGAAGATCAAAGATCCCCCCCCAGCTGAGCCCTTTTGCCCGCTCAAGTACCTTGAAATGGGAGAAAGATTTCCTACCGGGTCTTTTAGTATGCCCAAGATGCGATAGCCACCGTGAAAGAGATGATTCGATATTGAATGGTCTATATACATAGGTATTCTTCAGATCTTAGGATGCATATCCACAAGACTTTCGCTTTCAAACCGATCTGGACTTCTCTATGTCGTATGTTCGTGTTCAAATTCAGATTCAAAGGCCAAATCAAGAAGCCTCGAATTCCGGCCGAGGAATCTCAATTGCTTCAGTGGTACGGCCATAAGAGATGCCACCCAGACGACTGATAGGCTTAAGAACTTTCAGATCAACGAGATTCCTTTCCTCATTGATAGCGTCATCCCTAACCCAGAATCGGACGCCCTCGATAATAGCCAAGACACCAGTCTTCTTTCCAGGAGTGACGCGGCTCTCAAACTCCTTCAACTCGACAAGCTTGCCCTCAATTGAAACAATGGACTCCTTCACACGAGCAGGCTTGACAACAGTGGTAGGCGCCTGATGGAGTCCCGAAGTCTCCCACTCGGAGACGCCATAAGGTGCATTGATAGAGGTCGAGTTGGCGGCTTCGAGGAAATGTTCCGATATGATGTTGATTACGCACTCTCCGGTATCGTTCAAGTTTTTCAATGTATCCTTGGCTTTCTCAATCGACCCCGTAACGCCGACGGTGAAGAGCGGGGGGTCGTGGTTGATTACCTGTGAGTAGCTGAACGGGGCAAGGTTGGTGGTCTTGCCATCCGCAGACCGGGTGCTGATGAGGGCAATCGGCCGCGGAACCATTGCGGAGATCAGGAACTTGTAGTTCGAGGCAACGGGGCGGCCCTCCTCACTGGGATCGATCTCAATGTGGTCCTTCTCCAGACATGCGCCGCCATCATTCGCACCATCGCCTTGCTTCCATGCGGGGTTCGGGGACTTGGTGTATGTGACTTCGGCGTCGCGGCGGAAGTCTGGCCGTGAGGCTTGGATTTTCTCGAAATCTGCGGGGACTCTGAGCATCGTGGGGGTGATGCTAAAGGATCGAGTTGGGCGATTTGGTTGGATTGAAGTACGGGGTGTTGTAAGACGAGGAGGACTTGAGATTATAAATCAGCTCTACTCGCCGCTGGGTTCGCTCGCTGCCCCGCGGCGCTGCATGGTGGTGACGCGAGAGCTCCCCCTGACCATGCTGGAGGCGGGAAACGGAGTGGGATAATTACCAAGATCGTAGCAATGCAAGTGTCGGAGTAGTTCGGTAGGCGCCTTTTAGTAGATGCATCGGGACGAAGGGAATAGTCTGATCTTCTGAGATTCTTATCGCATTCTCGCCAATTTCAAGCCGATTGCCGATTATTGCCACGAACCGAACTCGCTTATAGGAACAGTATTGCCACGCGGTTGGTGCCATTGACTCTATCAAAGTGCGTGGTTATACCCCGTCTCCCGTCTACATCTACCGTCTCTCGGGCCGATCAAGGGCATAACCCCGGCGACACTAGCGATAGAGCCACGTCATAAGTATAGGCTTGTACAAAGTACATAGGCCTCAAGGCGCCATCAGATCATGGTATCGAGTTCTCATAGCAAAATCATATACAGTTAGTCTGTTAGCAATGACGACCTTGTAAGAGATTGTCTCTCGGCAAATAAATTAGTGCATACATAAAGGACTCGTTCCTCTTCCCGGATCTACAAATTCTACTGTGTATAGAGGGGACTCATTGGCAATAAAGGCACCGAGGGAAAGTAGCAATTTGAATTTACCCTCAATACTGCGTACATTTAGCCAGATGGCAAAACCATGGTCATTTCGATGCACCTGGAAGGCAGCTGATGTTCTAGAAACCGGCCGAGTGGACCCAGTTCGCGCTAGTCCGGATAATACCGTTCAAATATCTTTCTAGAATTTCTCTGCAAGCGAGTTTCCAGGGTTTATCTGACATGAAGGTTTGAATGATTGTAAGCTTAAATATTACCTAGTAGCAGTTTGTAAGGTAAGCCATTTGACTTTGTAAGTTATGAAGTTCGATTGAAAAAAACACCCCAATTAGTGCGGGAAACGTGGGGGCAGTGATACGCTCCAAACCCACTCTCCCCCATAAAGCTCCATACTTAAACACCGGAGTTGGGGAACATGGTCGGAGTTGATGCGAGATTTCCGATATTTATCCTTATTGCATTATGACCGCCCCACCAACACATCCCATGACCATCACCTGGGGACCATCACCTGGGTCTCCTGTACTTAGGGAGGTCCGAACGGGGATGATGTGGCTCCGTTTCCGGAGCGGTCAAGGGGGAAAGGAAAATGACTCCGTTGTTTTCGATCAGAAGATAACCTGACCCACGTACATCGTGAGATTTCCACTGAATTGTAAATGTGCATTTTGTTCGAGTGGCGTAGTACTAGCGAGGGCAATCGCGAGGCCTTGTTGACTCCCCTCTTTCCCCAACGCTTTTTCTTCTCTTGACACTTCACACATCCCATCGACATTTTGATTCCTTATTGGCCCGAGTCAGGCCCCCCGGTTCTCTTCCTGATGAAGTTTTTGTTTATATTATCGCACGATCTCCCCTATATCGCCTGTTCGATCAACTGCCTCGGAACCTAGATTTCGAGCCTCACGCCCCCTGGGAACACACCGACCAACCCGCCGAAGCTGAGAGGGTGCAAATACCCAATGGGTCGTGACCACGGATAAACATCGGCTCGCCATGAGCTTCCCTTCTCCAAAGAAGAATGGCGGCCATCCTTCGGCTCCGAGACAAATTCGCTTTGTTGCAACCGATGGCCAGCCGCAAACCAAGCGCCGCCGCGTTAATGCAGCGTACGTGCGCCTTAGACACATATGATCGGTCAAATCTGAAGCTGACGTCACGCGCTTTGATATAGTTGTCTAACATGTCGTCGACGCAAGATTCGATGTTCCGGCGAACAACCAGGTAGGATGCGCAGGATGCCCCGCCTGCTAAAACGTTGCTGATGGATATATGAGAGAAGTGTGCAAGACTTGCTCCGACTACAAGCATGTCTGCCTCGGATACACCGACTCAACCGCCCACCTGCGAACGCAGTCGGATTCTGCGTCACGAGCGCCGCCGCGTCTTTCTGTGCCGAACGCACCTACAACCCAGCGCGGTTCCCGGGCAGTCGAAAGCAGCTCCCCGAGCTGGCGCCGATAAATATATTAAAAGCCAAAGATGTCACGGAGACGAGCACCAAGGCAAAGGGACCCGAGTCGAAGGATGTCTTTTTCTTAGAAGACAAATCTTCACGGACGAATCACGAATTTGAAGCACCAAGCGCCGGGGGCAGTCCAGAGAGCACGCGTACCTCTATAGGCTCGGAAAATCGCACGCATGTGCCCTATTTTCGGTACTTTGGTCCTACCGCGATCGTACCTGGCTTCAAGCAAATGGTTGTACAAGTTCGAGGCTCTCGCAGAAGTAATCCGTCCATGTCCTCAGACTCTCCATCTCCGCTTCGCAGCCCCAGACCTTCTGATATTCCCGCGAGACCCCTTGGCGCAACCGTGGACGCCCGCGATACAAATATACCCTTTTACGACCGAGACGATACGCTTCCAGTTTCGAATCTTGTAACTCATCTGTGCGAACTCTTTTTTGCCCATTTAGGGTGCAGCTTCCCTTTCCTACAGCGGGAGAGATTCCTCCAGGACCTCAAAGATAAAAGGGTTGATACTATGCTGGTAGACGCAGTGTGCTCGTTAGCTGCGAGATTTTCGTTACATCCCTTACTTGGCTCCCCGCAGGCACAGCCTATTGATCGCTCGCAGCCGCCAGTCGACGATAAAAAGTCGGATCGGGGTCGGCCCTTCGGTCAGCGTGCGATGAGCGCTCTGGTGGATTCATTACAATGTCCAACTCTTTCTGCCGTTCAAGCCTGCTTACTGCTCGCTTACGACCAATTCGGGTCAAACCATGATAGTGGACTCTGGATGTACCTCGGCATCTCAATTCGGATGGCGCAGGACCTTGGGCTACAGAAATATCAGGGCCTCAAACACAACTATGGACAGAGCGGCGTCACACCGAGTGAAGTCATGACAGGCCATGCCGGGAAACTAAGAGAGGACCAATACGATGATTTGGATGCGCAACTGACGCCAAAGGCGAGTCCACACCCTGCCACCGCGGAGCGAGCCAGGGAACGCGAACGTGTCGATTCGTTCTGGAGCCTCTTCTTTCTTGATAGAGTCATCTCCTCTGGTACCGGAAGACCAGTGACACTACGGGACGAGGACATTGAACTTTGTTTTCCGCTTCAGTCTGAATCCCAGCTACCGAATGGGTGGCCGGCGCCTTTTCCGCCGCTAATTCGGATCATCCATTTGTACGGTCGAGTCACCGACCTTATCAACGGTATCCAGGATGTCAAAGACGTCACATCGGATACATTGAAGATGTTGGCCGGGATGGAGAGCGATTTGACTGGTATCTACCAACGCTTGTCTCCAAGGCTTCACTTCAATGCAGGCAATTTTCAAGCCTACGTCAAAGCCAAAGAGGGAACCAACTTCATTCTCCTTCATTTTTGGTTCCATACCCTCATAGTTCTCCTTCACCAACCTACCTTGTTGCACTCGTTCGGTGGGTCAATTCAACATCTTTATCCGAATAGTCGCGAGCTGTCCATGTCATCAGCCAAGACCATTGCCGACATCCTATCATTCTCAGAGCTGGTTGACGGGAAAAGCTTCATCGGCAACCCTTTCACGAGTCAACCGATGTACATTGCGGCATGCGCATTCCTCATGGAAAGTGCGTATTATGCAACCCCTTCATCAGGTGCCGACTCCACGCAACCTCCACCATTGTTAGCGAACCAATCCAGTGGATTCGTGATGCCTAATATGGAGACTTCTGATGGAACGGAACGGAAATCTACCCCAAAGCATATTCTCCTTGCTTCTGTTGCCAAAGAGAATTATCAGAGGTGTTACAAGGCCTTGAAAGCGCTCAACACGTACTGGGAAGGTACTGGGTACATATTGACAGTGCTCGACCAGAAGGCGAAGGGTATTGTCGATCCGCTGCTTTATGCCGTGGAGGAGACAAAAAATACTGAAGGTATTGCCCCCGGATTACCTCTTGGGCAAGGGACCTGGCGTGCGGGTAAAGCCCCAGCGGACTTCGGCTCCGGTACAGACAAATTAGCTGAGGTCGCCGACGTCTCATCTGATGGAAGATGGTCACCACACATTGATCCCAGTCAAGGTTTGTCGTAGTAGTCAATAATCTCCAAAACCATTTCACTAACTGGTCATCAATGTGTAGCAATCGGATGGGCACTCACGGGAGCGACGAATTCTTCCCAACCCAACTTGAGTCTACTATATCAGATGCCGACGACCGAGACCGAGTCGCACCCTGAGCGACCGACGTACTCGTCACGGTACAGCCACAGCTACCCTACTCTTCCAGCAAATGGCGACGAAGGCCCAGACTCGTCATACCAACAGCCCATCGCACCAGCCAGGGCCCATGAAGAAAGTGCACTCCCCCTCGCGGCACAAAACGCCAAATACCCCCATCCTTCATCCGGACCAATTAGCACCGAATCCTCTTACTACATGGGGATGAACTCAACATATCCCGAATCAAACACACAAACAAACCGCCCGGGACAAACAGTACAACCCGCCTTCCCCGGGATGCCACCTGGGCTCTCATCCTCCGCCTACAACTACTCAATGCTTCCAACGACATCCCCACACTCTAACAAGAACCAAATGGGTTCGCGCGGCTCAGGCGCCGACCTCGGGCCTACAATAGATGATGCCAGCGGGATGATGATTGGGAGTCACGACGTTGATATGAACTCCCTTCATCAGCAGGACTCTTTCCCGTTTGCCAATGGCGAGATACTGCCATGGCTGGAATATCTTCCTCAAGATGTTCTCAGTTTCTTTGGCGAGCACCAGAATTACCCGCTCATGAGCCCTGACGACGTTTCACGGCCGCCGTAATGTTTGATGTTTCGTTTTATCGTGTATATATTATTTTTCCGATCATATTTGCCTGTGTTCTAGCGATGCTTCTGGTTCTGCTTAGCAACGGAATTTCACGTTCGGAGACAATATTTCCATGGCGTTTTGTTGGATGATATCCTCGGCCAGAACTAGATAGCCTGGGGTTTTGGCTGGGTTCAAATTAGCATTAGTATGATTTTTGGGATCTAAGGCCTGAGTACATGATCATCCAGATCATACAGAATTTTTCCAAAATCTATCCATCATGCATGTGAGCAGCATTTGTCCGAGGCTATCGATGTTGCCCTGGAGGCGGAAGTGGGAGGGGACTCCAACTTTACATTGCTCGCTCTCCATCTCAGTGCGAAATAACTCAAACACCACAACCTCAGTGTGCTCAAAGATCTGTCGACAGAAGTCACAGAACCCAGAGCCCTCATGGCCTATGGGTTATGGAGGTGCTACCACCGGATATCACCGCTTGTGGCTTGATGATCGACGTGTCAGGTGTCGGTTGCCCGGCACAACGGGCGGTGAATGACTTGTCAACACGCGGACGATTACAAGCGCCTTGGATTATTATTCCACGATCACATAAAGGGAGAAAGGTATGTGAGACCTGATTTTATCAAGTCTCTCAAGATCTTTCCCTTCGCTCCCTCGGAACAACCAGGACCACCCCGGCTAGCCCATTGCATGATAATCTCATGGCGCAGTTAACCGACGATAGTCAACAAGTCTCAGCAGTCGACTCGACAGAGATCCTAAGCCCCCAGCCATTCGCCCCCCCAGGGAAAGGCTTCCTCGTCTCCTCCCTAGAATATAGCAACGAGCCCTCCGCCCATGACTATGACTACAACTCATCGTCCTCCTCAACCCGCCACTCAACAATCGATGTCTTCGGCCGCGAGGTAGACGATGAACTAGAACATCTAAAATCAAGAGCATCAAGCCGCTCCTCTCTATCTTCCCTCCCAACCTCCGTGCGCATTCACAGCGTCCAAAAAATGAATGAAATGTCCGACATGGATATCCACGAAAAATTAGCCGGCTACCGAATAGAACAGTCAGAAGCGAGCTTCGGAGAGTTCGAGGATACACCCGCAAACCTCCGCACAATCCGACAGCGCGAAGCAGCATTCCGGAAACCGAGTTCTGTCAGAGCAATGCAGATGCACACGGAAGACGAAGCCGACGACGACGAATATCTGACGCCTCCGCGCCGCAGAGCAGTATTCCGATCTCCTGGCTCATCACCGCTGAAACGATCACCGTATTACTCCGCCACCGCTTCGAAGCAACCGAAGCCTAAGAAGGAGGCCCCTCTTGTCCTGCTTCACTGCACCCTGCTCCCGCCGTCTATCCCCGTGCCGGGCGCGTCGGATCCAAGGAACCAGGAAATTTTGGAAGATGAGCTACCAGCGGAATATTGGCGCCGCTGGCGGCGTCTGCAGGAATGCGTTGGCTCAGGAGTGGTACGGGACAGAGGCGTGTTGATTTCACATCCGCAGGACCTGTACGATATGCTCGAGGAGCGACTTCTGGAAAGTCTGGAGCTAGTCCGTCCGCGGCTGCAGAACGGGCACTTTATAGGACGTGAGGAGCATAGCTCTGCATCGGGTTCTGAGGGGGAGCTTTCAGACGTAGGCGAGAGTGAGACGGACGGCGAGCAGGGTGATGAGTGTCCGGACTGCGGAAGCCATGTGCGGCACGGCGATAGCAACCGCAAATGGGAGGTTAGGGTATTTGCGGCGAATGGGCTAATGCGTGCCGGGGCATGGGCGGCTGCGTGGCGGGATATGGAGAAGGTGGATGTGGAAGTTGGGCTTTGGTTGCCTTCTGATGTGCGCCGGAGTCTGGAGAGGAGACTTGCGGAGGCGCAGATGATTGTCGCCGAGCAAGTCCAGGCTCAGGGGCAGGGCCAGACGGCGCAGATGCAGATTGCGTCCTTGGCTAACGTGGAGCATGGGTTTCCGCTGGGGAGTCTGCAGTCGCCGAGACAGAGCCATGCGCGGATGGTCAGTGATGTCGGGTCGTTCCGATCTGATGGGGTCTCATTCAGACAGGCTTTCCCTGGGGTCGAAGCTCGGGTCCAGCCTGTTCCGGATGTGAGATCGCAGAAGAAGGAACATGAGGTTGCTCTTTCGACACTTCTCTTCAACTACATCCGTGTTTTGGCTGCTGATCGGCGCAATCTTGCGCTCCTCTTCCTCAGTGCTCTTGTCGCGTTCCTTGCCATGGGATCTCGCCAACGGCTGTACTCTGACCCTGCTTCCTTTTCACAAGGCCTGCCCCACGGGAGCGGAGCATCTTCGCCTTCTCTAGATCTGAGCGATGTCTCATCTGTGTCACATGTTTCTCTTGCAAGTTCACTAGTTGCGAGCGACATGCTGATCTCGAGTTCAGTTGCTTCTCTGCCGACCTCTGAGTCTGTGATTACCCCTGAAGCTGAGGAGATTCATATCTTCTCCCAGTCAATCGAGCCTACTTCCCTTCACCTCACTTTTCCTGGGCCTACAACCTCCGTAGAGTCCTCGGAGACTTCTGCATCACCCCAGTTCCAGTCTCAACTCGATCCACTTCTTTCTCTTCCATCTGCGGGTGCCCTTAAGTCTCCCGCTACACCTGAGGATATACCGGATTCCTCAGTCGATACTGTTGAACATTCAGTGGTATCTTCCGAACAGCTGCCTATCGCCGCTGACTCCACCTTTACATCGGAGGAGCCCATCAAGTCTACAGCAAACATACCGTCTGGACTTGAGGAGACAGCGGATACAACTCTGGAAGCGACCGTTCAATCCTTGATTGCGCCTGCAGAGCCCAACCCTCTATCTATCGGGGAGACACCCGCTCTTCCAGACGGGCCAGTCAAGACCATCCAGGCTCAGTCCCAATACTCGGAAGAGGAGTTAGCATATACAATCTGGAATGGCGAGGAGGAATAATTAGATCCATCCTGGTAGAAGGTCATCGTTTGCCTCCTTCACCAGTCTATATTGTAACGACCACGACGGAAACGATATCAGGCGACATGTTTTGGGATTTACTTGAATTTACAATGTTTTGCATTTGGGCGTCTGCTGATTTAGCCATAGCTTTCACTTTTTGACGACCATCTTATTTCAATTAGCGCTTGCTTGTGTTTGGCTATATAGCTCAGGGGGTTATTTTTGCATTTTCTTTGTTGTAACTTGTAACTTGTATGTACACAGTACACACGGAGGAGTACTCCGAACTGCGTATTAGTAGTACACAGTAGATCAATGCCAAGGCCCTAAATTATCCGTCTCCACTTTTCCCCGCTCTCGCTATGATCGTCCCTTGGATTCTTGGAACTGATTAGATTTTGGATATCAGATCCGTGGGAGTACTCAGGTACACACGAATGGGATTGTGACATTGCCTTAAGGAGAATCAGTATATTGCAGAAATCACGACTAGTCCATGTGGTCTCTGCCGGCTAAACCTTATGACCGGCTTTGTCTCCCTTAAGAATGCGGGGCGAACAGTAGACACATGAGGCCCTCGAGGTGTGTTCGAGTACTATCCCGCACAACGTAGATCAGGAATCCAAAGAGGATTGAATAGGATAAAACAGACTCGGGATCGATTATTCATTATCGATTAGAAGTAACCTAGTGGTTTTCTGGATGTGCTCGGTTCTGTAATAGGGCCAGGCTCATGATATCAGTTTGTGGGAGTCGCTCTGGCCCAGCGAAATTTTCTCAGCGCAGCAATAAGTCACAGCCATTCCCGGATCTTTATGACCTCCCATGTTCAAGAAAGAATTGGAACCTTGAAAGAAAAGATGAAGACACTTAGTAACCGCCGCCGTAGCCACCCTGGGGTTGACCACCGTAGCCGCCCTGACCACCGTATCCTTGACCACCGCCATAGCCACCTTGACCACCGCCATAACCACCTTGGCCACCGCCGTAGCCGCCTTGACCACCGCCGTAACCACCACCGCCGTAGCCACCACGGTAACCGCCACCGCCGAAGCCGCCGCCGCCGCCGCCGAAGCCGCCGCGACCACCGCCACCGGCAGCGCGCTCAGTAGCCTTGTCAACACGGATCTGACGACCATCGAATCTGAAAGAAAGAGGGTGGGTGTCAACACAAATCTGATCGATAACCACCGTTACGTCGCGTCTGAATCGCGACAGCAAGATTGTGCACTGGATCCAGGCGCGAAGAATTTGGTTTCGTTGTTTTTGTTTTGGATTGTTTTACTCATCTCATAATAGAAAATGAGAGAAATCAATCTGAGGATGTTGTTCAGCTGCTTACTCCTGGTTATTCATGGCATCCATCGCGGCAGTAGCCTCATCTTCAGTGGCGTAGCGGACGAAACCGAAACCGCGGCTGCGGCCGGTGTCGCGGTCCTTGACAACGGTCTAAACAGAGGATGGTGAGGTTAGAAATCGTGGCAATGAGAAGGTAAACTTCTAAGGGAAACTCACAGCATCCTCGACGACGCCGAATTCCTCAAAGCGCTGGCGCAGACTTTGATCGTCTGTGTTCCAGGAAAGACCACTAGAAAGGGATTTGTTAGTAGGTATCGTGGGACGATCGGTTGTGGCAGTCATACCCAATGAAAAGCTTCGACATTTTGATGGAAAATGGGTGGAGAGATCTGAGGAATGGAGGGGAAAGGTGTGGGGGGAGAAGTGTTAGGTGTGAAGAGGGGCGCCGAGCCCAGTCTTAAATACAACCCGGCACGGAACAACATCACCCCACGGGTTCCTCGTTTTTCAGGCGCCGAATTTGAGTTTCAATTTCTGATTGAGTTTTGATTTTGTTGTCTATAAAAGGGATTCGCCTGTGTAGTGTGTTTTGGGTTATATGTTGGGTGTAGTAATTATTCCTATTTGTATGCTGTTGTAACAGAATCAGCCCCAGCGCCCCATGCGGTGGATCCCCCTTCCCCACGCTGTCGGTCCCTAAAGGCCTAAACCGACTACTGTACGGAGTAAGTCATTTGCCAGTCGGCGGTGAGAGCATGTCATGTGATCGATGTCCTTTTTCAATAACCTAGTCTACTCCGTAACTAAGGTCAGCACCACTTAACTACCACCTGGAGAATCCCACATGTCGGGGAGGGCACCAGTCACAAGGGCCAAACGTGCCCGCTATCACAGCCAGAGTTGCCATCTATGGGCGTACCTTAATGTATATTACTGTATATAATTCCATAGCGTGGCACGCCCACATACCCTTCGGGAGGTCCGGGGACGCAGGCTGCACCTGCGACACACTGGGCGTTAAATAGCACTACTACTACTACTACTACTACTACTACTACTACTACTACTACCACTACTACTACCACTTAACTACCTTTTCTCTACCATGACACCCATTTTGTTTTTGTATCATTTCTTTTGTTATAGTTTACCTTTCTCCATTGGAGGCCGACTGGTCGGAAATGCGCAAAGCGAGTTTCCAACAGTCGTCCAGTGGGCTGACACCCACTCTTTCCAGCTGTTCACTGTTAGCGAGCTTCCCGTCAACTGGCAAGCCCCCGCCAACTGGCAAGACTATATTCCTACTACCCCAATGATTCACAGCGCCAGCATGTATGTAAAGCCAGCTAAATCGAGGTAATTAGAGTATTATTATAATCATAATCATCCCAGAGTGACACGTGCCGCGTCTGATCTATTGTTCAAGAAAGTGACACTTAACCTTGTAGAGATTCCTCGTCCAGGAGTTGTACCCGAAGGATATGTGGACCATCGAGCTTCACCTTAGCTGTTGTCAGTTCTTTGGGTGAAATAGTGCATTCAGGCTAGAACAACAACTATGATGAGTGATTGAAGACGAAAAGAAAAGCGAAGAAGAAAGAAGTTAGTCAAGAGGCCTTTCAATCCCCCTCTCGTCATACCTAACCGGCCACAGCGAGGGTCTGTAATTTTGGTAGAAAATGTAAGGGCCGGTTAGGACCTGGACTCGACAGACGTCACTCATCAACCCAACCACATGACTATTTTCGGCCCGTCGCTCAACCCTCTTCATACACGTCTGATGATCACGACAAAAGCAACAAATGAACGTCAGAATTGCAGCATAGGTTGCTTTCTTGGTCATGTGACCTCTGCTTCCTCGCATATATAGGCTTCACACCTAGATACTTCTCTCCTTCATCCATCTTATTATCTGTGATTCCATCGTCCCCTTCATCTCTCATAGCGCCCATCATTTTTCTGGGCCTATGCCTCTTTTTATTCGGTCGATCGCTTTGCGGGTGCCCCCTCGGGCGCCTCCAGTACTCCGTATTCGCCCGGACCATACTACTTCATCGGCATTACATCCAACTTCTTTCGTCGGGCCTTTACGAGAAGGGCAGAATTTCAGTCGCGACGTGGAAAACTTTGATGCAAATCAGGTATTTTCGAGGTTCCATATTACCACCAGCGTGAGATACGCGAGCCTTTCGGTGAAACTGAGGGTCTGCAACGAGTCAATGAGGAAACCGTTAATGCCTCACTTGTTAGTTTTCTGATCGCCATCACTTCGATGCACCCAGCGCTGGTCAAAGTTTGTGACCGACCACGAGTTGGCCTCGCGTGACATACACTATGAAAAGGTGTTACTCGGGGACGAACATGGCCAGATGGCCTTCAGGGCCGATTCCAACAGTCGGTGGGGCAGACCATTGGAGCGGCCCTGGACGCTCAAGATATCAGTATAAGTTTCGGTGATTTTAACAAAGCCTCTGGTGTTGCTTACGACAAAGTCCCGGACTGCGCCCTCATCGCCACGAACTAACTAGCCCTTCTGACCTAGGCTTAAAGCTATAGGAGAGCTAAAGGCCCCTTGGGTTGAAGAGCACGATCTCTTGGCCTGTTCTTACAGAGACGATGACAGGCGGAACTGCTAGCCCAGCCGATTCAGTATATGTCGGAACTTGACGTTGAGTATGGATGGCTGTTCACATACCACCAGCCAGTCTTCCTCAGGCAGACGTACGTGAACAATGCCTGGTAAATTGAATAGTCACCGGTCATTGAGTCTACCACACGATATACCCCAACCGATGGTAATGCCGATGGCCATTCCGCTGCGAGAAGAGAAAATTATTCTCCCAACACCCTGATGTCGCGGCCAGTGTCACGTACTAGTGACATAGATTTGCAACTCAGATGAGAAGAGTCCACAGGTTCATCTACTCTTGGAGGCTTGATGCAGCCCCGTCTCAAGGGCAAAAGCGACTGGTCCACATATGGGCTTACCTGCTTCCACTGTATTTGGCCGCCGGAGAACCACCGGGAGGATCCAGAAATGCGGACGCCCAAAAGATGGTAAGCTAATTACTTCACACCGCAAATAAGAATTCTAACTAATGGTATTATTCTAGCTCTTCAGAGATGGACGAACCGGCCTTTAACCATGCGCGACAATCCCCCACTGGGTGATATCGCCAAAGGAATCCTCCGAGTTGACCACCCGTCGCCAAGGGACCTAAGAACCACTATCGAGTGTTCAAGGACGGCAGTGGAACAAGTTCGATCGCCTATGTTCTGGCGTTGTAAAAAAGAGATTGACAAGGGAGATAATGGATGGTTGCCGGATTCCGCCAGACGTGAATACGAGCAAATGCTTAAAGTGATTCGAGCCTTTGAAGACAAGCGCGAGCCTTACAGTCGAATGCTCACAAATGGATCTTACTATCTTGGGTATGTCGTCGCTGGAAGCGGAATGAACCGGATACGAGTCAAAGTTCCGCGAAAAAGACGTTCATACGTATATCGCAAAGTAAAGAGAACAAGGTGGATGCTGCCTCAGAAGACAGAGGTACCGTTCAACTAGGACAAAACTCCATTTTGAACTACTGCTAGGTTTCCAGGTTTAAGCTCAGCGGCTTTATCATGGGCGGGGCGATGATTATATTTTTGCTGCGACCTGATTATTATCATTTTTGCTAGCAGAGTGGTTAAGTATGGTACAGTTCCCTCTACTAGGTAGTCTCATGACAGTTGTGCGCTTCTTCAGAATGTACTGGATGAATGAAAGGGTCCTCTGATTTCCTTACCAGCTTGGAAAGGACATCAGTTCTGTATGAATTCAATAGTCCGATATCATGATGATACGATATATGTTAATTTACTTACTCCAATAGCTGGCTCAAACAATGGTCATAGAGCACGACCTTGATAAGACCGCGAAAGAGCAGCCGCCATTTAGCATCAACGAGGTGTTTGCTATCACGAATCATTTAGTAGCTGCCTGTGATATAGCCTTTCCCACAGTCCGTGTCCTTTTTCAATTGAACACGCTGCGAAATATGACGGTTTCAACTTCAGCCCGACCTGGAACCTTTGTACTGTCTTCCTGTTATGAAGCGGAAGATGATGCGTTGAAGTGGAAGGACATTGACCTGTATATGGTAAACACCCCCAATATCCCGACGCTCCAGTCTCTCTTATGAGGGTTAGGCATAGGCGATCACATAGTTTATACAGTTTGCACCTGTAAGCTATACCAACGGCGATAGCATGGTAGCGGGCATTTGGAGATAATTCCATCTGGGCGGTGACACGGCGTGGTGGCTTCTGATGCTCTGATGGATTCAACCTTGAAACCCCGCCGTGGAATGCAACCCAATCGAATATGGCCATTCTCACGATCATCGAACTGGGCCTCGCCCGGGATGGACTCGGTTGAGATCACTCTGATCCACTTCCTGAGTCCCAGCCCCATCTGCACTCTCTTGCGGCCTTGCCTCCGCATGTCTTGAGCGGAGAATGCATTCATATTTCACTCCAGAGTGGGCACTGTCAAATGCCAATGTTCTATCTGAGTATCTGTGAATGACTGAAGCCAAAACTGATTCAATTTGGCTGGGCCAGATGCAATCTATCAGAAGTCTGAACAAACATGAAAGTAGGCACAGGCAACGGCCTACATGGAGGGAGCGGTGCAAAGTGTGCAACAAGTATTGGGTCACATGCTCACGTGACCCTAATCCGACACGGGCCGCACGGCACCCTATCCCTTATTCCCTTTGACCAAATCTGGGCTGTTACGCTGTATGGATAGAAAAACTCGGATACTAACTATGATCTCTTGTTAGTAGTCGGAGCCGTAGCAACATTTTTCCGGAGGTTATAGACATGATCAAGGGAATTATCGAAGATAGGACGTCACGGTCGTCACCTGGTAATTAATTCGAGGGTATTCGACCTTTTGAGGCGGTATCGCGCTGTTCCCCTTTCCCCAAAATGGACGTGGGAATAGCCTCGTTTCCCATTGCTATGAAAGGCGGTGACCGAAGGCCCGTGACTAAAGGCTCGTGACCGATCGTCCCGCCTCTTGCAAAGCTACTTAACTCTCTGTCCTGGTGCCTCTTCTCCTTTCATTCTTGACCTTTCCAACCATCGTTGTTCATCGCTTTGGCCATCCTTTCTCTCGCGTTTTATCGTTTGTTTTATCCTCCTTGACATTACCCATCTTGTGCTTCCCTTTACCAGAAAGGTTGGAAGCACGCGTCGATCAACAAACCTCGCCGTCTCCATTCAACATACCTGCCTTGCCATGTCCCACACTGGCCTGGCTGACAACGATCTTGTGCAGAAGCCACCAGAGGTGCCGAAGAGAGGCGGCACCGA